TTGTTTTCGACGGTGAGAGAATGTTGCAGTGTTTGAAAAAGCTACAGCACAACTCAAAATAACAAAGAATACACAAGACAGCTTACCTTTAGCCAGGAATGAACGGCTACGTCCAGTGCCTTTTATTGAACAAACGTGAGCTTGAGCGAATTGAACGAATTGAACAAACGTGAGCTTGAGCACGATACAGAAACACGAGCCTGTCAAATGGAAAAACTCGCCTGCAAAGCGCACTGGGATTACGTCACAATATTGCGCAAGAATGCAGATTTGTGTCGAAAACTACAAATCGAGCCGAATTTAAATCGCCCAGGCCCTAGCCGAATTAAATCAGGCCACTGGAAATACTATCACAATCATTACAGAGGCCATATCAGCCTTACGTTCACCAGAAACTGGGAATTATTAATGATATTATTGCAAGATATGGTCTTTAATTTGTCTCAGTTCAAGCTGAAAGAAACGAGGGGAGGGAAGGGTCTGTAAGAGTTTGAGAGAAAGAATAGACAAATCAGCAGTAAGTTGATTATCCAACACCATTGCAAGTTGGAGTAGGCTCAGAAGGCTCCTGATTCCACGGTTCGACTCAAGAATTGGCTCAAACTAGATGGATTATAAACAAATTTAATCACGAGAAAATATCAACATTGCCACTATCTTGAGAAGGCGGCTTGTGCTCTTACAATTCCGCAATGCATTGTCCTCTTAAAGCGTGACACGATATAACGATACCCGTAACAGTCGAGATTTTCTCGTAAAATACGTACTCATGCATTTAAAAATCTTGATACCACTATCAGTAATGGAAAAAATCACTCCAGAGAAAGTGAAAACAAGTTCTATTTACAACACTCGAAGTACGCATTCAGATCCTGTAACATAAACACAGCGTCTCCCTTATTTGCCTTAGTTACTCACGGGTAACTCCTACCATTTAACCTGAAAATAATATACAATACCTTACACACAATTACATATCTACCACAGAGTGAGAGGTGCAGAAGATTATATTCTGTCCCTAGCCTACTCTCAGGACTTTGCATATCACTCAGTCTGATGTACATGAACACATGAAGATAAGATAGCTTTAGACAGATCGCGTAGAGAACAGTAAAAGTTTTAGCTAAACTTCGTCCTTTGCAATGACTTTGATTACTAGCAACATAATTGAAAACAGTGGTTCAACGCTAAAAGAGAAAAGACTTTTTGAAATCGGATGCCAGTTTAAAAAAAGGTAGGTGGCTGACTTGTTAAATCTGTACGTATTACATACCTATGCGCTTTTGTTTACCCACAAAGTACGATGGGATTTGTAAGACTAGCCACACACGACTTGCAGACATCAGTAACGAAGGTGACTCCATGGACCTTGCTCACTAGGACTTTTTCTCTGGTCGCAATTTTGTCATGAATTTCAATTAGTTATGATCAAGATCCGTAGCTATATTCTTTTTAAAACTACAGCGTTGAAAAGTGAAGTGAAGGGGAGTTTGTTTCGCTTTCAAAAAACAAAAGCAGCGCTCGCAAGCGTCGTAACTAATTAGGCCTGTCGTGCAAGATAAACAAGCTACACGGCATCACGAATATTCACGATCATCATGTCCTTGAGCGTAAGCGGCCCATTCTTTCGATAAAAGAGAAATAGTCTATAATTTTGCGATTAGAGAAAGGGGAAAAAGGGACCAATTAGTCAGCTGGCAGCGTTAGTACGCAGCAGATATCTGATATCCGCATGAACAAGGAAAAGATCATGAAGTTTGCCGACAATTTAGAGACAAGCGAAGGACTGAAGCGTAAATCGCTGCACGCTGCACATGATGAACAGCGGATAGTAAAGATGTAGACCATATTTTTTCAAAACGATTTGTAAAGGTTTTGATTGACGATAAAATGTCGCTTTCTTCGTTACTCATTAATATTCACATTCTCGATTATCCCGAATAGTTCGTCCGGTCTTTATGTGCAACTGAAAAACTGCACGTCGCATCGTTTTCTGAGAAAATTTGTGTTATTATGATATATTTAACGTTCGAGAAGGCTACTGAGAATCAAAGGAGATGTATTTCTTTGTTCTCAATCTTCTAAAGAATAAAATTAACGTTAAGAGGGAATATGACGCAATCTGACAACAATGTGCTTATCAAGAATCTCGTTTGATCCGTCATCAACTTCAGTCAACGTTCTTATAAAATTTTTGGTTTGAATACTGAATAATTTTTCTCTTTTTCATCGGGATCATTGATCAAAGTTGCCTGTAAATTTTAGGAAAGCTTACCGATCTGAGCTGATCATTAGGCCTCCTTCACTATATCTTACAAGTAAAACTCCGTGGTATGCGGGAAACCCATGATGTGACATTTATATTGCGCAATAACACTAATGTAACGAATAGTTTAGTTGTTTTTGATACTTTGTGACCTGATGTCTAAGATTTCGAGATTTCACTTTGGGGATGTATGGACGGTCACGATTTTTTGGTGGAACTTCTTGGGTGACGACGGAAAATAATCATATCTTATAACATATATGAAAAAAAATAAATCCCCCTCATGGTAATCAGATACCACTAAATAGGAAGATCATTTTTAAGTACCGCCGGCAGACGTCACCGACAGGTCGTGACCCAGTGATGAGAACATAAAATGCGAAAAATAAGACGCCTGAAAACAAAAGTATTTCTAAAGCTTAAACAAAACTTTTTGTTCCTGGAGAAAGAAGCTCATTAGCTGTTGTTTGGTCTTGTCACGCCACGCTTTCTCTTGGTGGTGGACAGAGATGCGTTGCATGACAAGACAACCAGCAGCTAACGGCTGGGCTGCAATGAATGCTATGCGTGACGACGTTTCACGTTTCACAAACTGGCTAACACCGAGCAGATGGCAGGAAAATGCTTTGAATTTGACTCAAGGTAGGGATCGGTAACAAAATTCTCCTTACAATTACAAAACGCTCCAGAGAAGCTTAGAACTGTAGCTAACTTCGAGGTTATGACGTAAAAGCGTTAGACACGCGCGTGCGAGAGCCGGTCGCGTGAAGACATCCTCGTTCCCAGGGCCTCTCTCTTTCTCCCTCGAGAAGTGACGTGTCGATCATTTCGAAGCTTCAATATCCCCCTTGAAATCCCCGGGCATCTGAACTTTTGAAGATTGATTTGACCTCCGAGAAAACATTGTGTTTAAATGCCCACCCAATTTTTTTCAAAAGGCAAAATCAGCGACCGGAACATTTACACACTGACCAATCTTTAAAACCTGGATCTTGTAGACCGTTTTTTTGAGCCGATCCTTCGCGAAAGTTAATTTTTACACCTCCATATTTATAGATAGAACTCTTGTATTCTCCACCTTAGCCAGGCTAGGGCTGCCCGGGGAGGGGGATTGGAGTGCAAAACTTTCGCGAAGAAGGAAGAGAGAGGACCCTGGGAAAGAGGTTGGCCTTGGAATTCACTGAGTGCGTATGAATATTTATATATCGCTCATCAAAAATAAAATCAAGCTGTTGTATTTCTTTCACTGAGCGAGTCACGCGACAATCAAACGCGCTTTATGGTGATAAACGATGAAGAAGACACTTGACCAAAACAGGTCTCTTAATTGATGTATTTCTGAAAAGGCCGAAATAACAACGATATAGCAATTATCTGTAAAGAAGGATAAAATATCATGAATCAGTGAAGAACAGCGAAAAAAAAAAGAGGCTCTACACTTTGTCCATTGGTAACCACACAATGTCAATTCCGCGAAAGCTCAGAGAGGCTCCCTTGTTTGCAGTATACTTGCTGGCGTAGCTATTACCTCTAGTATACAGATCCGTGCGTTATATAAATTGAAAAAAAAAAAGCTTCTAAGCTTTCCTTCGATGACAAATGCTGCGATCAGAGAAGGACGCGGGCCAAGACGAATTACATGGTATTCAATTTTTAGCGCGAAGGTATTCTCTGTTTCCTTTTACAAGATCAACGTTAACAGTGAAAAATAATTAACTCCGCAGTTCTGATAGTTTTAGAGTAATTTTTTCTCGTTTTATTATAACGATCACAATTTCAACGAATGTAGTTGGTGGATGAACTACACTGGTTTTTACTAATATATCTGAAAAGGTGTCATCGGACATTTGGTTTGCAGAATTGAAAACAGTAATCTTACCATCCTACTATCCAAAGCGAGTGATTTCCAACAATAATTGTAGGAAACTGTTTCTGGAGCTTGTCAGTTTGTATTTCTCAAAGATTGTAATGCTTCAGCGTTTAAAGATTGTAATTATAAGCCCTTTTTCTGATGAATACATTTTGTTTTTCTCGGAAATTGAAATGGTTATAATTACTTGGTAAGAGGTTTTCGCGTCGACAATTTTGATCTGTAATCATACTCGCGATTGACAAATCGAACTTCCACTTCGCAGTCATCCGATTTCTTTAATTTCTCGTATGTTTGCATTCAATGAGTAAGTGCAACCATGAAGGCCTTACAAAAAATACCAAAGTGAACTTATCACGAAATTTCTTATTCTCGCACGCTTAATGCAAGTAATTGGCAGTTGAAATTGGGATTCTTTTCAGTCAATATTGAATATGTAATATGGTTTCCAAACAGGGTTGCAAATTAAAAGAATGACACGTCAAGGAAGACATGGCTTCCTCAGTTTACACCAAAGAGCAACTAAACTACTTCAGAATTTGTCATGTAGTCACAGATATCCTGCCACAAGAGCTGCGATCCATTTTTAAACAAGAGTGGGACAGTCGTTACCAGGCAACGTTGGGAGAATGGAAAGATACGCCTCAAAATGGACTGGACTTCTACAACAGGGAGTCTCCCCTGAGCCGAAAGCGAAATGCTCGTCCGCTGGAAGCGATAAGAAACGGAAATAGGGCACAGTGGGATTGTACTACACTTTTTTTTGCAATCCTTTACTCCAATTTTATTGGCCACGGACTCGATGCAGCAGTTCGCTCGAATGTCGATGATCTCAGAGAATTTCGCAATGAAGAGTTCGCTCACATGCCACGGGGTCAGCTGTCAGATTTACAGTTCAGACTTGCTGTTCAAAAGGTGAAGATCGCATTTCAGTGTCTTGGTCTCTCAACCAATGATATTCAAAATATCTGCAAGCAGAAAACTTTTCCGACGAAGGAACTTCAAAGTGTTTTGGAAAACGTTAAGATCCTCTACCATGAACTCCGTGAAACCAACGTGAAACTACAAACCTTTAAAGAGCAAAACCGTTTCCTTACAGAAACACATCAACTCCTTGAAGAAGATAATCAGGTCCTTCAACACCAGCATCAAGTCCTCGAAGAACAGCACCATATCCTTGAGGAACAGTTACATAGTGATGTTTCTTCATTCTGCATTCTTCCGCCTAAACCATCGCACGAAATCGCACCTCGCGAGAGCGAGGTTGACAAAATAGCAAAAGAACTTGAACGACTGAGAGAAGCAAATGAAAATGGTTTGAGTTACTTATATGTTTGGGGTAACCCTGGAAGTGGCAAATCTCAACTAGCCGGTCTGGTAGCTCAACACTTTTACGAAACAGCTAACAAAGACCCCAAAACCCCCACATTCATAATGACTCTTAACGCTGAAAGTTCAAAAACGCTCCTGGAATCGTACGCTTGTTTGGGAAGACAAATCAAGTGCCCTGAATACACAATCATGCAAACCCTTAACTCAACAGATATGCAGTTTGAACAACAAATCAACAATCTAAAAGATTTGATAGCAACCAAAATACCTCTTTACGGATCGTGGCTCTTGGTGGTCGACAATGTTAGCTGTTTATGTGATGTACATGATTTTCTCCCTCGGCCTGGAAACCACCTGTGGACGAAAGGCCAGCTACTTATCACAACACAGAACTCTGCATTAATCCCCTCTGAAAGCTCATTTGTCTCTCACATCTCAGTGAGTGGAGGCATGGTTCCCACAGATGCCCGTTGCTTTTTAGCGAAGGTTTCTGGTATTAGACAACAAGGAATGGAGGATAAAATTGCGAAAGCATTAGATTACCAACCCCTGGCGCTGGCTAGTGCGGGCGTTTACATGAAAAAGGTTCGTGAAAGTAAAGTTGCCAGAAGCTTTGGATGGAAGGAGTACTTAGAAAAGCTAGAAAGAGGTATGCGAGCCCTTACTGAAAAGGAACTGACAAAAACCAACCCAAGCTACAGGAAGTCCATGACTGTCGCAACCAAGCTGGCCATTGAAAGAGCGATTAACAGTGACAGTGTTGTTAAAAGCGCGTTTACACTCCTTTCCCTTTGTCCTCCACAACCATTGCATTTAGACATCCTTGTAAACTACATTTTGAACGATAAAAATCCGCATTTGGATAGAGAAGAAATCGCTCTTCAGATCCAAGGCTACTCTCTTCTTATGTTCGATGAGAGAGAAAGTGGAAGTTTTGTTAGTGTGCATCAAGTTGTGCATGAAGTCAGTAAATCTGTAATCAATGAGTGTCAGAAGAATGATGAACACGTTCGAAGTGTTGCACTAACTGCAATGTCCTTCAACCAATTCATAGACATTCATCTACCACACACTTGGAATGAGGTTAACTCTATTCGTGATAGTGAGCATCTCATTCCACACTTGACTACGTTCGCTGCAGAAGTTGAAAAGGTCTTTCCCCACGAAGATAAATATCAAGTTACCGAAGAAGACGTTTTCAACTATTCCAATATATCACAATGTGTCAAAAGGCTTGCAATTATTTGCATGAATCACCGTGAATTTTCAAGTGCAAAAGTTTACTGTGAAACAGCTTTGAAACTGGTTGAAAAGGATAAGCAGAGAGGCAACTGTGAGTATCCTAGAGACGTTGAGTTAAAAGAACGTGGACCCACGGATGATGCCCTCGTGAAAATTTGCAATTTGCTGGGTCTAGTTCAGCGTAGATTAGGTGACTTAAAAAGTTCTATGGAGAATCATAAACGTGCCCTAGACATTCAGCTAAAAAATCTTGGACCCCAGCACGTTGATGTGGCAAACTCATACCATCATTTAGGTAATGTACAGCACGACTCGGGTAACCTGAAACAGGCCATGAAGTACTATGAACATTCTTTGGAAATCCAGCTGGAGAATCTTGGTCATGATCATATTTATGTGGCGTTTTCATTGGCTAACATGGGTGTAGTGGAAAGAAAAGTAGGAAACCTGCAAAAGGCTAAGGACCATTTTGATTGTGCTTTGGACATTAGGTTGAAAAAGCTTGGACCCGAGCATGTTGATGTTGCGAATACTTACTATAGATTGGGTGATGTACAGCGTGAATTGGGTGACCTGCATAAGTCCAAGCAGTATTTTGAGCGAGCTTTAGACATTCGGTTGAAAAGGCTTGGACCCGAGCATGTTGATGTTGCGAATACGTACTATAGATTGGGTGATGTTCAACGTAAATTGGGTGACCTGCATAAGTCCAAGGAGTATTTTGAGCGAGCTTTAGACATTCAGTTGAAAAGGCTTGGACCCGAGCATGTTGTTGTTGCGAATACCTTCTTTAGATTGGGTGATGTCCAGCGTGAATTGGGTGTCCTGAAAAAATCTAAGGAGTATTTTGAGCGAGTTCTAGACATTCGGTTGAAAAAGCTTGGTCCCGAGCATGTTGATGTCGCTCTGAGTTACTTCAAGTTGGGAAACGTTGAACGCGAATTGTGCAACCTTGTGCAGGCCAAAGAACATTTAGAATGTGCTCTACACATTCGAATGAAAGAACTTGGTCCAACAGCCTATGCCCTTGTGGCTATTTACAATTTACTAGGTCTGGTTCAGCGTCAGTTAGGAAATTTTAAAAATTCCAAGGAGAATCATGAACGTGCTCTAGACATTCAGCTAAAAAATCTTGGACCCCAGCACGTTGATGTGGCAAACTCCTACCATCATCTAGGTAATATACAGCACGACTCGGGTAACCTGAAACAGGCCATGGAGTATTATGAACGTGCTTTGGAAATCCAGCAGAAGAATCTTGGTCATGATCATATTTATTTGGCGTTTTCGTGGTTTAACATGGGTGTAGTGGAAAGTAAAGTGGGAAACCTGCAAAAAGCTAAGGACCATATTGAATGTGCTTTGGACATTAGGTTGAAAAAGCTTGGACCCGAGCATGTTGATGTTGCGAATACTTACTATAGATTGGGTGATGTCCAGCGTAAATTGGGTTTCCGGCAAAAGTCTAAGGAATGTTTTGAACGAGCTCTAGACATTCGGTTGAAAAAGCTTGGTCCCGAGCATGTTGATGTCGCTCTGAGTTACTTCAAGTTGGGAAACGTTGAACGCGAATTGTGCAACCTTGTGCAGGCCAAAGAACATTTAGAATGTGCTCTACACATTCGAATGAAAGAACTTGGTCCAACAGCCGATGCCCTTGTGGCTATTTACAATTTACTAGGTCTGGTTCAGCGTCAGTTAGGAAATTTTAAAAATTCCAAGGAGAATCATGAACGTGCTCTAGACATTCAGCTAAAAAATCTTGGACCCCAGCACGTTGATGTGGCAAACTCCTACCATCATCTAGGTAATATACAGCACGACTTGGGTAACCTGAAACAGGCCATGAAGCATTATGGACGTGCTTTGAAAATCCAGCAGAAGAATCTTGGTCATGATCATATTTATTTGGCGTTTTCGTGGTTTAACATGGGTGTAGTGGAAAGTAAAGTGGGAAACCTGCAAAAAGCTAAGGACCATATTGAATGTGCTTTGGACATTAGGTTGAAAAAGCTTGGACCCGAGCATGTTGATGTTGCGAATACTTACTATAGATTAGGTGATGTACAGCGCAAATTAGGTTTCCGGCAAAAGTCCAAGGAGTGTTTTGAACGAGCTCTAGACATTCGGTTGAAAAAGCTTGGTCCCGAGCATGTTGATGTCGCTCTGAGTTACTTCAAGTTGGGAAACGTTGAACGCGAATTGTGCAACCTTGTGCAGGCCAAAGAACATTTAGAATGTGCTCTACACATTCGAATGAAAGAACTTGGACCAACAGCCGATGCCCTTGTGGCTATTTACAATTTATTAGGTCTGGTCCAGCGTCAGTTAGGAAATTTTAAAAATTCCAAGGAGAATCATGAACGTGCTCTAGACATTCAGCTAAAAAATCTTGGACCCCAGCACGTTGATGTGGCAAACTCCTACCATCATCTAGGTAATATACAGCACGACTCGGGTAACCTGAAACAGGCCATGGAGTATTATGAACGTGCTTTGGAAATCCAGCAGAAGAATCTTGGTCATGATCATATTTATTTGGCGTTTTCGTGGTTTAACATGGGTGTGGTGGAAAGTAAAGTGGGAAACCTACAAAAAGCTAAGGACCATATTGAATGTGCTTTGGACATTAGGTTGAAAAAGCTTGGACCCGAGCATGTTGATGTTGCGAATACTTACTATAGATTGGGTGATGTACAGCGTAAATTGGGTTTCCGGCAAAAGTCTAAGGAATGTTTTGAACGAGCTCTAGACATTCGGTTAAAAAAGCTTGGACCCAAGCATGTTGATGTCGCCCATAATTACTTTAAATTGGGAAATGTAGAACGTGAATTGTGTAACTTTCAGAAGGCTAAGGAACATTTGGAGTGTGCTCTAGACATTCAGTTGAAAAAGCTTGGTCCTGAGCACCTTGAAGTCGTGCACACTTACCATAACTTAGGCATGGTGCATCGTGAATTGAATAATCTGGGACAGGCCAAGAAATATCACCAACAAGCATTGGCTATACGCCTAAAAAATCTTGAACCCGAACATGTTGATTTGGCGAGTTCTTTTCACCATTTAGGTAATGTGCAATTTGTGTTCAATAACATGCAACAGGCCAAAGAGCTCTACGAACTTGCTTTAGACATCCAATTGAAGAATCTCGAACCTGATCATACTTTTGTGGCATTTTCCTACCAAAGTTTGGGTGATGTACACCGTGAATTTGGCGACCTGGAACAGGCCAAGGAGTACTATAAACGTGCCTTAAACATTCGACTGAGAAAACTTGGTCCCGAGCATGTTGATGTGAAGCGTAAGCAGAATCAGTTGCGTAACGTACAGCTTGCCTTGGATGACATGCAACACAGCACGAAACGTTAAGAGGAGGCGGATTTTTTCTTTCACTGTAATTTTTCTATTGATCAAGTTCAGTCAAACGAGAAAATGAAAAAGTAATTTTCCTGCCAGGGAGTGAACGTTGTAAAAAGTTACTACTCAACCCTTCTCTTTTCACAACAATCACTTAGTGTAGGAATAGCAAGGCTGAAATTGGCAAATCAGGGACTACTCATTATCCATAACCTTAGGAGGGTGGGGAGAAGGGGAAGCCAGAGGATTTTAGTTGTGTCACAATACAATCTACCTGATTACCCCCTCCCCTTCCTAAAGCTCTGTAGTATTTTAATGATCCCCCATCACTGCCAGTAAATTTTCTATGATCTCTCTTTTATACTCTGTCAGCGATGACTGATCCCCTCCATTCTCACAAGAAACCATGTGATTCCAAAAATCCTCCCAGTCTTCCCCTAGAGGATTAATACATGATTTGCACCTATGTTTAAGACGAATAGGCGCTTGAGGTATAGAATTTGATAATAGAATATTCTTGTGTGCCACTGGAAATGCAATAAATATTTTTTTCTGATACAGTTTGTCTTGCCACTAAAATATTTTATGAGTAAAAGGAAAATAAAAATATTTTTAAGTCAACAGTGTTACCAGTTACTTTTCGGTTTCATTTATTATTTCAAGTGAGTAGAGGTAGTTATCCCTACAACCAATGAGAATTTGATCGTCAAACTTAATTGGTGAAGAAAATACTTCACCAGGCAATGAATAAAAAACTAAAATAATTCTTGAGTAAAAATTCAGAATATACAGGGTTCCAACATGTGACAAAGCAAACGTTACTAATTGAGCGTCACGGTTGTCACGGGGCCTTGTGTTACACATTGTGTGACAAGACATACTTCTTTCCATCACGGCTACAAAAGGACTTGAATACACAGGCCCATCTGTCGTAAATCTCCATGAAAGCTGACCATTTAGTGACAAGCAATACACACATTTGTCATGAGAGCCAAACACAATACAGTGTGAGATCCTGGAACCACATCATATATCTTGGTACAAAGTCGGTGAACAGAACATTGCAGCTTGTGTCTCAAACTTCCATAGCTTATTACCTTGGAAGTCAAAACAATAAACAAACCCATTCACGCATGCGTAAACTATACCGATGGATGTCAACAATGGTGATGCAAACACTGGCTTAGGATACTGCTGACTCTAAAGTACTATATATTCAGTAGCATCAGTGGCAAGAAGGTGGCCACCTAGTGTAGCAATGAATACTAAATGAAGTTTCTTACTTATACATGGAGAACTGAAACAAGATCCTGCAATGCACTGTGTTGCAGAAATGCACTGCCTATTTGTGACATCAAGGGCATACAAATAAGTGATCATGTGACCCAACCCAGGCCACTCCAGTTTGGGGGTCAAAGCAGGGAGAACTTTTCACTGTTGCAAATGGAGTAAGTTTCTAAAGAAACTGTGGTGCTGAGTCGGTGGGAGAGTATAGCAGGTAATTTAGCGGGTGGGTACATAGAGTGGGCCATCATAACAGCATACAGAAATACAATTAATGGGTTCCATTTGATAAGATAAATAGCACATCAGGATATTGGAAATACTATCACAATCATTACAGAGGCCATATCAGCTTTCTATGTTCACCAGAAACTGTGAATTATTTATAATATTGTTTGCAAGACATGGTCCTTAATTCGTCTCAGTTCAAGCTGAAAGAAAGGAGGGGAGGGAAGGGTAGGAGAGAGTTTGAGTGAAGAAAACAGTTTTAACAACCAAATCAGCTGAATTTCCAACACTGTTGCAAGTTGGAGTGGGCTCAGAAGGCTCCTGTTTGCGCGGTTCGACTTAAGAATTGGCTCAAACTCGGTAGAACTTTAATCACGAGCGAACATCAGCATTGCCCGGCCGCCATCTTGAGAATGCATTGCGCTCTTAAAGCGTGACACGATGTCACGACATCTGTAGCAGTCGACAATTTCTTGTAAAATACATACCCATGTATTGAGAATCTTGATACCAGTATCAGAAATGGAAAAAATCCTATTTACAAGAGTAGGAGATAGTTCATTTGCATCTGGATGTCCAGATCCTTTTTTTTAATCAAGAATATTGAGTTTCCTTTCAAGGTAGCCACAAAGAGCACCAAAAGGTTTCGTTACAATTATGTCCAATAACTCTGAAAGATCAACTTCTGTCTCCTTCTCGTGAATTCTTCTCTTTGCTTTAGTAGTTGCCGCTAAAACTTCATGTTCTTCTAGTGTTTCTCTATCGCCTGGTGCACTTGCTCTCCGAGGTCTATGGCTTTTATCGCGTCTTGAATTCTTCTTGTCGTGTTATCGGCTCTCTCAAGATTGTCTTCAATTTCTCTACCCCATAGCGCGATTTTTTCTTTGCTTTCGCCTTTGCCGATTTTCGGGGGTGGCTAAGAGTTTTTTGCGTGACGCGTGATGGCCCCAAAATTTACAGGATAACGCGTGATTGAACCCAAATTATCCGCGTGACGCGAGACCGGACATCACAACGTGATGAGTGATCTTTTATTTTATAAGCGTGTGACGCGTGATTTACAAGACTTACCAAACAGACTTCCGTGATAAGTGAACGTTATTCGACCTAGAAGGATACCAATCATTCAAAGTAAATAGAGTCTTAATAAAGATCAATAAACCGTGGCAGCTGTGACACTATTTTCTGGTCCTTTTCCGTCCTTTGCTGACCTTTAGTTGACCTTTGATGTCTTTGATCTTCGTAGTCCAAACAATCGTAACACCATGGGCATTAGTTAATGTAGTTAACATTTTCTCAAGGACTATGACCTTCAGTGTTATTTTTGTCGACCGCCTGGTTGTAAAAAGCAGTGAAAAGTTCTCCCTTGCATTGACCCGCAGACTGGGCTGGACTAGGTTGGGCCACATGATCACTATTTGTATGCCCTTGATGTCACAAATAGGTAGTGCATTTCTGCAACACACTGCGATGCAGGATCTTGTTTCAGTTCTCCGTGTATAAGTAAGAAACCTCATTTAGTACTTCATTTAGTATTCATTGTTACATTTTGTGGCCACCTTCTTGCCCCTGATGCTACTAAACACACAGTACTTTGGAGTCAGCAGTGTCCTAAGAGAGTTTTGGCGTCACTGTTATTGACACCCATCGGTATAGTTTGTTCATGCGTGAATGGGTTTGTTTATTGTTTTGACCTCCAAGGTAATAAGCAATGGGAGTTTGAGACAAAAGCTTCAGTGTTCTGTTCACCGACTTTGTACCAAAATATACGATATGGTTCCAGGATCTATCACTGCATTATGTTTGGCTCTCATGACAAATGTGTGTATCGCTTGTCACTAAATGGTCGGCTCTCGGGGAGATTTACAACTGATGGGCCTGTGTATTCAAGTCCTTTTGTAGCCGTGATGGAGAGAAATATGTCCTGTCTCACAATGTGTACAAGGCCTTGTGACAAGCGTGACACTCAACTAAAAGCGTTTGCTTTGTCAAGTGTTGGAACCTTGTATATTCTGGATTTTTACTCAGGAATTCTTTTAGCTTTTTATTCATTGCCTGGCGAAGTATTTTCTTCACCTGTTGTGTTTGACAATCAAATTCTCATTGGCTGAAGGCAACTATCTCTAATCACTTGAAATATTAACCCTTTAACTCCCAAGAGTGACCAAGACAGTTATCGTGTTTATTCCATGGAAGATTATTACAGATTAATTTGAGGCATTTAAGTTTTACGCGGGTTATTTCCATTGCGATTTTAAAAAATTCATTTACAAAACTAAAAGTACGCGAAAAATGTCCACGTTAGTTTTCCAGTGTCAAGGTTAGAGTTCTTTGACGTGATTGGCTAATTTGTGAATTCAGGCGCGCCGCGCGTGAATACAAAAAGAATACAAAGGGGGAGAGGAAGAGAAAAATTGTTACTTGAAATTTAAAAACGAAAGAGACTTTGTACAGCGATTGTTCGCCAAGACTATTTGTCTCATTACTTGCCAAGTCCTCGAAAATTATTTACAGAGACAAGATTGGAAATACTATTTTGCAAAGTTGTATCGATCTACAATGTATCACTCGAGATATATTGACGACTTATCTTTGCCACCAAGACTTTTCGAACACGGACAATCATTTAGCTTCTAACATTGAACCCATCGAGGTTACGACTTAAAAAATTATCTTGGAATTTTTTTCTCAATTTCTCTCAAACTCTACGAAAGGACGAACAGGATATCGTTAAGAAATTACACAACATTTTCTTTGCTCATGATTCCTCTCAAAATAAGGTTCTTGATGTTCTCTGCCGTTTTGTAGGTCATCCGAAGCCGGTTGTACGTTATCCAACTCAAGGCGAGAACGCTCTACCGTAGCATGCTCGGGACCAAGCTTTTTCAACCGAATGCCCAGAGCACGTTTGTGATACTCTTTGGCTCGTTCCAAGTCGTTCCAACGTTCACTCCTTGGCAGATGAAATGCTTTTTCACTTTCTCGTTTGACTGAACTTGATCAATAGAGAGGTTACACTGAAAGAAATAAATCCACCTTCTCTTTACGTTAAGTGCCGTGTTCCAAGGCAAGCTGTATGTTACGCAACTGATTCTGAATACGTCTTACATAATCATGCTGAGGACCAAATTGTTTCAGTCGAATGTTTAAGGCACGTGTATAGTACTCCTTGGCCAGTTCCAGGTCGCCACGTTCACGGTGTACATCACCCAAACTTTGGCAGGAAAATGCCACAAAAGTATGATCAGGTTCAAGATTCTTCAATTGGATGTCTAAAGCACGTTCGTAGAGCTCTTTGGCTTTTTGCATGTCATTCAACTCAAATTGCACATTACCCAAATGGTGGTATGAATTCGCTATATCAACGTGCTCGGGTTCAAGATCTCTCAGGCGTACAGCCAAAGCTTTTTCGTGATATCCCTTGGCCTGTTGCATATCACCTAATTGACGCTGCACGTCACCCAATCTATGGTAAGTAGGTGCGACATCGACATGCTCTGGCCCAAGCTTTTTCAACTTAATGTTTAAAGCATGTTCAAAGCTTTCCTTTGCCTTCTTCAGTTCACCTAATTCACGCTGTATACCACCCAAGTTGGAGTAAGTGAGCGCAACATCATCATGTTCGCGTCCAAGCTCGGTCAACTGAATTTCTAGGGCATGTTCACAGTTCTCCTTGGCCTGTTGCAGATTACCCAAGATACGTTGCACATTTGCCAAGCCAAAGTAAGTTCGCGAGGCATTAACACGATCGGGTCCAAGCTTTTCTGACCAAATATTTAGAGCACTTTTGTAAGACTTTTCGGACTTCTGCAGGTCACCCAATTTACACTGTACATTACCCAACTCATGGTAAATACGCGCAACATTAACATCCTTCTGTTCAGGCGTTTTCAACCTAATGTCCAGAGCACGTTCAAAATAATGCTGTGCATGTTGTAGGTTTCCCAGTTCGCTCTCCACGAAACCCATGGTAGTGAAGGAAGATGCCAAATGAATATGATCATGACCAAGATTCTCCTTCTGGATTTCTAGAGCACGTTCGTGATACTTCATGGCCTGCTCCAGGTTACCCCGGTCGTGCTGTACATTACCTAAATGGTGGTATGTATCTGCCACATCAACTTGCGCGCGCTCATAATATTTCAACTGAATGTCTAGAGCACGTTCATGATTTTCCCTAGAATTCTGCAAGTCACCCAACTCACGCAGAACTTTGCCCAGTAAGTTGTAAATAGCCGCAAGGGAAAGAGGTGTGGGTCCGAACTCACAATGCCCTTCCTCCTTATCCTCTTTAGCCAGTTTCAAAGCTGTTTCACAGTAGACTTTTGCGCCTGAAATGTCGCGGTGATTCCTGCAAATTACTGCTAGCCTTTTAAAGCATTCTGATGCACTGGAATGTTTAAAAACATCTCCTTTGATATCTTGACATATATCTTTGCGAAGAAAGACATTTTTAACTTCTGCAACAAATGCAGTCAGGTGTGGAATGAGATGCTCACTGTCAGGAGTAGAGTTTTGGTCGTGCCATTTGTTTGAAAGGTAAGTGTCTATGAATTGGTTGAATGATGTTACAGCTAATGCAACATTGTGATGGTGTTCATCAGGCTCCTGGCTCTCGTTGATAACAGATTTGCTCACCTCATGCACAACTCTGTGCATCCTGACGAAATTTCCATTTTCTCTTTTTTCGAACATAAAAAGTGAGTTGCCTTGGATCTGAAGAGCAATTTCTTCTTTATCCGAACAAGGATTTTTATCATTCAAAATGTAATTCATAAGGATTTCGAAATGCAAAGGTTGTGGAGGAAAAAGAGAAAGGAGTGTAAATGCACTTTTAATAATACTGTAGTTGTTTATCGCTCTTTCAATGGCCAGCTTGGTTGCAACAGTCATTGACTTCTTATAACATGGGTTGGTTTTTGTCAGTTCCTCTTCAGTAAGGGCTCGCATACCTCCTTCTAGCTTTTCTAAGTACTCCTTCCATCCAAAGGTTCTATGACTTTGAACTTGACTTTCACGAATCTTTCTGACGTACACGCCTGCACTAGCCAGTGCGAGAGGTTGGTAATCTAATGCCTCTGCGACTTTACCTTCTACTCCTTGGTGTCTAATCCCTGAAACCTTCTCTAAAAAAGAACAAGCGTCTTTAGGCCTCATGCCTTCGCTAACTGAGATGTGAGAGACAAAGGAGCTTTCAGAGGGGATGGAAGAAGTGTTCTGTGTTGTGATTAGCAACTGGCCCTTCTTCCATTGTTGGTTTCTGGGCAGGGGGAGAAAATCATTTACTTCAGATAACCTTGTAGCATTGTCGACCACCATGAGCCAAGAACCGTAAAGAGGAATTTTGGTTGCTATTAAATCCTTTAGATTGTTTAATTGTTCTTTATAATGCATCTTTGTTGAGTTAAGGGTTTGCATTATGGTGGATTCAAGGCATTTGATTTGTCTTCCTAAAGAAGCGTACGATTCCAGGAGCGTTATTGAACCTTCAGCGTTAAGAGTCATTACAAATGTGGGGGATTTGAGGTCTTTGCTAGCTGTTTCGTAGAATTTTTGAGCTACTAGACCGGCTAGTTGAGATTTACCACTTCCAGGGTTACCTGAAATATATAGGTAACTCAAACCATCTTCATTTCCTTCTCTTAGTCGTTCAAGCTGTTTCGTTATTTTACAAACCTCACCTTCGCGAGGTTCAATTTCGTGTGATGGTTTAGGTGGAAGAATGCAGAATGAAGAAACATCACTACGTAACTGCTCTGCAAGAATATGGTGTTGTTCTTCAAGGAACCGGCGTTGTTCTTCAGATGTTTGAACGTTTTTCAAAACATTTTGAAGCTCTTCAGTCGGGAAAGTTTTCTGCTTGCAGATGTTCCGAATTTCATCAACTGAGAGACCAAGTGACTGAAATGCGTTCTCAACTTTACGAACAGCGACTCTGAACTGTAAATCTGATAGCTGACCATGTGGCAGGTGAGCGAACTCATCATTGCGAAACTCTCTGAGATCATCGACACTGGAGCGAACTGCTGCACTGAGTCCGTGGCCAATAGAATTAGAGTAAAGGATTGCAAAGAAGAGTGTAGTACAATCCCACTGTGCCCTATTTCCGTTTCTTATCGTTTCCAGCAGACGAGCATCTTGTGGTCGGCTCCGGGAAGACTCCTTGACGTAGAAATCCAGTCCATTTTGAGGTGTGTCTTTCCATTCTCCCAACGTTACTTGGTAACGACTGTCCCATTCCTGTTTAAAAATGGATCGCAGCCCTTGTGGTAGAATATCAGTGACTACATGACAAATTCTGAAGTAGTTGAGCTTTTCTCGAGTGTAGACTGGGCAGGCCATCGTTTCTTTGTTGCGACATTCTTTTGAACATTTTTAACCCTGTTCAGAAACGATGTGAGAGCTGTTTTAATTGTATTAGGTTTCTATGAACATGGAATTTATCTTTCTTCATACTTCAAATATAATAAACGTAAAAAGAAACGGGAAGCATATGTAGAATTTTCACTATCGCAAAGTTGCAATAATCTGTAAAGAGAATCGATGATAATGAATTTAGATTTAGGTAACGTAGAGAGGATGAACGAAATTCAAAATGCAGTGCAAAAAGATTCCCTTAAATGTTTCAGATGCACTTGCGTGAATGAACGTATTCGTGTATTCCCAATACAAATATGGTTTTCTCAAACCTCCAATCTGATGATCGTCTTGAACGCATTTGTAAGCTGCAGTGAATTACTAAACTCTTATATTGGCCATACCTTCTTATTTCAAGTCAATAAAACAATTTTAAAGTTGCCTTTATTCGTTTATTTTGCGTATTAAGAATAATCGGCTTGTTTACTTTAAACACTGGTGTCTCAAGTCACCCTTGGCATGACTTTGTAAGTCAATATGTGATTTTTCGACAAAATTAAGAGAGGGATCCCATGTACACCTTACGGAGATGACCGTTGGAAAGGGTACCAGAATCAAGTGTCTTTGATATAAACAACCAAAAGTTTCGACTGTCAACTTTTGTCAATAGAAACACAATCCATCGCTGCAATAGAAAATTTAGTTATCTGAAGGGGAGCGAAACCAGCGAAGCGAACAAATCATACGTAAGGAGAGCGAGGTGCTTAGGTTGCAAAATTGAAAAGGTGAATATAAAATAGGGAACTGAAAACACACAAAGTTAAGTACAGCTGAATATAACTTTTTTAACAAGACCTTCTCGGTGCACTTTGGAGAACGCTTATTGGAAAATGTATTATAACGATATTCGTTGAGTTATCTAGAGAAGCCGTGATTACGAACGCTTGCGTTGCGTGATCACAAATAGATGATGAATTAATCAACCTATTATTCTCAAAGAGTAGACCGAACATGAAATTAACAGGATAGGTTCCTCTATCTGTTTCCTTTTTTTTTTCAATTCTTTATTTCCTTCTATCTGTAAGTGTTCATCGTAAATCTGACGGGTGATACCAAACTCGTGAATGTGAAACATGGAACAGAAAATAAATAGTAATCATCCATAAAGCACAGTCATTACAAATTTAATGAAATTTTTTTGCTGTGGATGAGGTAGTTTCAAGTTGTACTCATGTATTAGAGCATTGGAAACCCAGTCCTCTATTCTCATCTCTCTCTTCTATTCGTTTTTTGTTTCTTCATTCTCGTTTTTACTCTCCGTTTCCTGCTGCCCGTTACAATTTCTATTATTTATTCCACGTTTTCTTCGACCTTTGTATTCTCTGCATATTTTGATCTCAAAGTGTATGTAAATTTGAGTGAAGTTTACCATGCGATCGACAAAACTTGTTCTTTCGGCTCTAACTTGATAATACAATATAATATTATAAACAGCTTATTCCTTGTAATTCCTCTATAGTCACCCCAACAAATCTGAAGGATCCCTTGTATCAATGGTAGCAAAGTATTCTTAACTTGTCGCTTTGTTTCCATTTGATGAAATCAAAACTAGATTTATTATTATCAATGTCTAATATACATATGTAAGTTTTTTCAGATGTTTCAGTTTGGAAACTTGTCGTGACAAGAACAGTCACATGTAATCTTCGCCATCGAAGCGGCCGACAGATGAATCAGCATATATTTCAAGAAAAACATCTGTTTTTTTTCTAAAATAGTTTAAATAGTTGTTTACCTTTGATAACTGCATTAGTTTTCATAAGATGTTTACTGCTACTGATCGCAAATATTGTAAGAAATGTGATAGGAAACAAACCCAATTGAATATCGAGTGATACGAATGATGAAGTGACGACTACAATACCAGTCCTTTAGGAAAAAATATATTTCGTTCCCACGATGGGAATTCAGACATGTCTAGACATGAATAATCCGTGCTACTTGGATGGGAGATTAAAATCTACGAAGTAAATGAGCCGTCAAATAACGAACGCTGTGTTATGATCAAGTTATCTAATTGAACCAAACACTGTATTTTATAAGTTTTTTCGAAGTTCACTAAAATTTTGGCAAATTCACTATTGTAAGGTGATGAATCAAGGATCACCACTTTCCCTTTCCCCTCCCTTGCAAATCAAGATTACGCCCCCGAAGGCAAAAATCTCGGTTGAATTTCTCAAAATATCACGTATGCAAATATTGTATTGGCTCACCACTCCACGCTAGTATGATTTTGCATTTAATTTTTTGTTAAAGGAAAACAGCTATCGGATATTCTATATGGTTTATTTAAAGGTCATCTGTATACATCTCATAGATACTTTCTTCGAGGGAATTTTCAATCCTAAAGTACTCTTACTCCCCACGGAATTGACAGCTTCGATTCCGCTTGAAAAATTAAAGCTAATTGCATTCTCAGATATACCTAAGTTGTTTCAAATATTCAGTTTCTGCTCAAAAAGACTCGTAGTAACGAAACAATTCAGGATGAATCTCCACTCAAGAGAAAGTTGTAGTTCTTACTTCGTTTTGAATTTTTCGGCTTTAATAACTCAAGTAGTTTATTTGGATGAACATACAACTTGATTAAGAGAGTGGAATCATCGATTTAGGACAAATGCAATGATGAACAAGCCAAAGTAAGTTTCGATTGAAACAGAGATAAAATGACGATTGAAAAGTCAGTCCTGATTAAGTATATGTACCTTTGCCACGAAAGATTTCAGTCAGAAATAATTTGCGCCACTCCTTAAGATGAGAGATTGCCTGCTTTTAATTAAGTAAACGAGTCATCAACTAACAAATTCCCGTAAACTGATTAAGTAAATTAACTTAAATTAAAAATTAAATTAACGCGAATACTATCTTTTGTTTGTGACATCAAAATTTAAAATTTGTTTTTTTTGTGGCAATGTATCGCCGCCTTTTAAAGAACATTGTCAATGTGATTACCTCTTCCGGTTTCGGAAGAACGTTGACTGAAAACATCAGTTTATAATTAGCTCTTGACAGAAGCCCATCACATGGGCTCCTACACTTGATTAAAGAACTCTTATCAACCATTTTTAAGAGTCTGTACTTACCATTTCAAATTTTACATGTTCGCCATACTATCACCCGCATCCTAAAGAAAAGGAAGTTGAGGCAAACCAAATCAAAGTCAACAAGCTCGTCTGCTGTATCCCGTCATAACCTGGGGCTTTGCAACAATTTGACTCAGCGGGCAAGCAATACGTGCAAAATGGACTTTGGCGTTTAGTTTGACCTGCGAAATGAAAACCTTTTTGAGCAATTTTCGCGTCTTTCATAATGTGTGCGAGACAAAACAATTGCGGTATATCAAGAAATGATAAGAAATAAAAAGGTGCCGCGCTATTTTAATCAAAGTTATATATTTGCACCCTATAAGGCTTTCATTAGGCAGAATAATGATTAATTATTATATTTTGCAGGCACTAACATCTCAGATGACTTAAATCTTAGCAGAGAACTAACTTTTGCTCCTTTTAAGGATTGGGACATTCCTCAGGAATGAAATAATAATTTCAAAATTTACTCTTGATTGAGTTGTATGGCTTTGATCAGGAACATTTCCTTACATTCTATCATATCTTACTAGCAATAAAATACAATTAACGGCTTATCGCCTAAGGCTTTGCATCAATACCCTCATAAATACACTTGAGAAAGGAGAGTAAAACATCCTCCTCCTCATTGCTTCAAAGATCTAAGTCAATATATTGCAATTGGAAAAGGCCAGATATTTTCACCTCTCTCTGAACAACCAGTGAAAATCCATCCTTTAAGGAAAGTTGGCATCATTTAGGGGCAATGAGTCACCCAGATAGGAGGTTCATCCATTGTAAACTGCTCAAAAAGCAGCCCAGTTCCTATCAATTGGGGGTTCATTTTTAATCCGTATTTCACATTACCCATAATGGGTAAGTGTACCTTGTTGATTTCCTTGAGAGCAACAAAGGACTGCAATAGGTTTGGGCCAAACTGTAAATATGAAAGGGAGATTGTGCCCCCTTTTGGGTTTTCTGATGGTAATTATTTTCTTCTTCTTTTCCAGTTTAAGGTTTTCATTCTTGAAACAAGAGGTATTTATCTTTTAAAATCAAAAATGTTTGAAAGAGAGTTAGGAAAAGGACAAAGGAGAAAAAAAGAATATAACAGGGTAATTTAGTATCACCAACTGAGTTGATAACGTAAATTAGCCACCATAAAGAGTTTAAAAGCTGACATTTCAAGCATTAGCCCTTCATCATAGCAATTGTTAAGGGCTAACACTCAATTTACATTATCAACTCAATTAATAATACTAAATTACCCTGTTAAACTCTCCCACTGACACAGCACCACAGTTTCTTTAGAAAGTTACCCCTTTTATTTACAAAAAAATGTGTCAAACAAAGCAAGGTGAATTTTTGTGGTGTTTATAATTTAGATTCCGAGTACAAATTATTCCTTTACATGATAACACATGCATGTCAATTTAATTAAAGCAGTCCAAATTTTTTTACCATTCCCTAATTGTGTGTAATGATATAAATAGAAAACTGCTCCCTAAGTAATGCCTTGTCATTGATTTTATGGTCACATGACAAATTCTGGTCTTTAAGAGAAAAGAAATTAACCTTTAACTGCTCTGAGCAAGACTTTTCTTTTTCTTTTCTTAAATAATAATAATCTCTCATTAGCTCTTAAAATGGATAAACATGTGGTCCATATTTCTTTTCTTGCACATATTTAGATCTGAAATCCAAGATACCATGAAAATTTTTAACAAGAGTTCACAACAGATCACATGAATCAGTTTATGTGCTACACAGGTAAATATTGAAGATCACCATCCAGATTCCCACACAGGTTTAGACATGGCTTTCCTCTGTGCAGATCGACTTGAACCACTGGAAATCCTTGAACTTGCTACACTTGCAGAATCACCAATCATGAAACTGGACTCACTGGAAGAACGTGATAAGTGGGAGACACTTCCTGTGCTGCTTTTTGCACTGCTTGGTCGGCTTCTTGAGGCTGTTTTTGAATATTGTTTCTGTTTAATATGTTCTTTGATTAATGAGTCCCTTGATAATGTCCTTGTTGGTTTGACTGTTTGAAGCCTTTCAAGTAATTTCTGAAAAAAAGATTCATAAAATTCTCATAACTAATTTACCAGCAAATGTGTAGCTTCTAGAAGGGAGAATTAACAGTCAGATCTTGAGATTTAAAGGGTAAAAAAGAAGCAGTTTCAGTTGCAAAGATTACTAATATTTTCAAATCAACGTTGATAGGTTATGAGTTAAACAAAGTCAAGTGTGGATGAATCTTACTGGCTTTGTGACAAGTAAAAATGTTATGGATAGCACACTTCTGAGGAAAATGTTGAAATTCATAACTGATATAAGACCAAAAGAGATAATAAAAAAAAAAAAAGAGAGAAATTCACATCCTCTGATGCTACATATTCCTGTGAGGTCTTCATATTAAGGATTAACTCCCAATCAGAGGAGCACCAACCTTCCAAAATATGAAACAAAAGATATTTGAATTGGAAGCACCTCCCCTCTCTAAAAAATTGACAGAGGACAGCTACATTCCAGTCTTTCCTCTCAAGTGGAAAGTCATGTAAACCTTGTACATGTGTGCTTATTTCAACAGAGTTTGCATATTTGGGTGGGGTAGGTGGGGGCACACAATAAGAACTAATTTTCATTCATGATTTATTAAGCAAGTAGGGTACTTATTTTTTATGTTTAGGCCAATTAGAGAGGTGGTCATTCAAGGGGGGGAGAGCATCAATTCAAAGGATTATCATGATGGCGATCCACAATCTAAAGAAAAATGTCAATATATTAAACTATCATTCAATTATCATGCAGAGGCCAAGAATTATCTGGAATTTCCCCTTTTACAAAAAAAAGATGAAAAGTCTTCTCCTGGATATTTTATAAACTGTATGTTGGGTGACTGAGATATTTATCCAGTATTTGGGAGAATCTTGATTATTACAGAAAAGTGGGCATATACGCCCTTACAATGGAACATAAGCCAGTAAAGAGCAATATTTGATTGATGTCCATTAAAATGAAAAGCATGCAAATCAACCAAGGCAATCCATCTTTTGTTTTTTTGTGTTTACGCTTTCAGTGAATCATTTGATGTTTCTTGTTATGCATTAAAAAATTCTGACCCCTCAAAATTATGGTTATCATAAAAACAGAGAAAGGTTGGGAAATAGCGCGCCTATTTAACATTCTACAGGTTTTAATTTAGTCAAGTAGAGTGAAATACCTCGGCGTATCTTCCTGTACATTGCGAGTGGTAAAAAATGCGTCAGCATTGCATAATTAATTCATCACGCAAAGCATAGTTTTCAAATATTAACGTTGTCAAATATTATAAGATAACTATTTGCCTAAAAGTAAGAGGAGTGTTATCGAGTAACAGCGAAGCACAAACAATAAACTTACTGTGTAGATTTTGTCTGGTCAGAATTTCGTTTTGCTTTTTTTCTTACTTGAAGGATTTTTTCAAGACTCATAATATCAAAGAGCCCCTACAAGACTTCTCGTAATACTAACCTGATTTTCCATATCTACTTTTCGTTGAAACCTGTATCTGTTGACCTCAGACGAAGTTTGTACCCGTAAGGGTTCTGAAACAAGTTTCCTTGGTTGGGCAGACTTCGGTCTTCCTCTGTTTCTTGTTATTTCTTTTAAAAGTCTCTTATTTTCTCGATCAATAGCATCTACTGTGGCATTGCTGAAAGACATGTTTTTACGATCTAGAGGCCGAGGGCGGCGAGACTCGTTGAGATGTACAGCACTTCTTGGTCTCGATCTAGACGCCGAGGACACCGAGGAATGTCTTGAAGCAGTATCGTCGAATTCTCTGTCCTTTTGAGTACTTTGCCGATCATCTTTCGAAGTCGGACTTCCACAGGTTTCCTCTGTTTTTGATCTCTCTGGTTTTTCATTCAGTTTCTCGTTAATATCGAGAACGGCTTGAAGAAGGAGATTCAAATCTATCTGATCAGAATTAGGAAGCAAAAAATGCTCCTTTCTGAGACGGTCGTTGGTTTTATCACGACATTCGCTCCCCGTAGAACTCCTGCGATGAGGTTCCGTGGACGCCATGTTTCTTTCCGAACCGTCTTCTTCGGAAACGATAGGTCCGGTTACCATAGTAACTGCTAACAACGCGCAGAATTGTCTTAGAGCCCAGACTTCTTCCGCGGGGTAAAATCTGAATAAGCGGTCAAATCTATCCTTACAGCGGTTTCTGACTGAACAGCCTTCTTGTGGAAGAATTTCGTCGTGGCATGGAGGCAAAGTTGAAAGAAAATGGATGGTGGGTACTCATTTTAAATTGTTGAATATCCATTCTCCTGCTACATCTGTTTTCGTTCACAAACATGCAGCCTTGCACTTAGCTTTTTGCCTTGCGCGCTTGGTTTTTTTATGCTCATTTAGGCGAGAAAATAGAGAAGTTGCGGTTTTCTCGTGTGCGCTTCACGCTCAACACATAACTAGATCTGCTGCGCAGATCGCCTTGAAAGCTGTTGTTGTTTCTTTCGATGAAACGATTATTTCGCCTTCCAGGTTTCTTTCCTCCGAAGGGATTGCAGAATGTGAAAGGGTTTGCAACAAAGAGAAGCCATCTTACCAGGAGCTCTCAAAGGCAGCCCTTAATGTGAGTATTGGAAGCCCAAAACACGTCGAAGGAAACAAAGATGTTGGAAAAGATCTTGTCTTTGCTTTGTTACACGATTGCTCTCTAAACTGATCACCTCCTTGCTGTATTAATGTAGTCTTTTAATGGTGCTAGACGGAGTTTACTTGTCACAGAAGATTTTAGCCACTGCTCATTAAATATGAACATTTTAAAGTTTAATGCACTCATGAATCGGCTTGTGACGGGACATCCAGCTAAATATTTTGGTTTGTTTCAATTGATTTTTTGATGAAGCGTATCTCATCTTTTGCCTAGGTTGTTTTTTCACCACGCAAAACCGTGAAAATCGTGCCTGGTATCCTTGATTTTGCATTTTTCTCGAAATCGCCAATCGATCCCCATGGAAAAAAGTGCAGTGAATGAATGTTAGAATTTCTCACTTGAAATGAACGTGTGTGTAATGATTCTAAACCATCTGTGGTCGTGAATAATTTGTAAAAACTTAAACCACTGATGTATGTATTATCCTCAAATCTAGTACATCATGTATTCCACTGAATTGTTTCCATATTTGCTTGGAATATCCAGCATTATTTGTTATGTACATATGAACACATCCAATCTCATTGTACATCTCCACCTGTACATTGGATGTTATTGCCTTGTGTAAAGCACAGCTGTAAAGGTATCTTGTTTGCCTGTAGAGTGTCCATATTTGTGAGAGTAACCATGAAATTATTTAAGCTTTTGCTGAAAGCTGTAGGTAGTCCAGTAGATTAACTTGCCTCCAGGAATGAAAAATTTTTCCCTCCTAACTCCATGCCTGCAAAAATCTCTGACTTCACTATTTTGCCTTTCATTTTTTTTAGTCTTATCAATGTGATCACTATTATCTAAGTTGTAAGAAATATTTTGCACACTGTGCAGAGAATTGATCTTAAGATTCAAGAGTGAAAAGATTCTGTGAATAAAACAATGAATCTGTCATTCTTTTCATTAATCAATCAGTTTTATTTTTCCATTTTAGCTGGACTTGAAACAATATGGCATGAAACATCTTCCTGATGACATCAACCGTGGAAAGGTGGAATCAGTAAGTTTATTTTACTGTAAATTTAATTAAAAAATAAATTTAATTGCTACTGGCAAGGATCCTGAAATCTTGGGAGCTTTAGGTCAACCCTCTGTTTGGCTTGGTCACATTTTGGGAGACCAAAGGCTGGGCAGGGTCAATTACATTTGGGTTCTTTTTGTGTCTCAGATTAAATTCTCCCTATCAAGTAGGGAGAAATACAGCAGGCATGGGTTTATGACTTTGACTTGTATAAGTGATCAGCATATAAATTCTCCCCTCAACTTTGATAAATATCCAGGCAGACATTGATGAGAATTAACCCTCTGCTAATATACGAGGGAATGTGTAGCAGACAGAAGGGAGAACTAGCAAATCAGATCAGATCAAATCTTGGAAGTTAAAGGGTTAAAGCTACACCAAATTCACAGGATTTCTGAGCAGTTGGTGTGAAGTTTTGGCACCTACATATCTACATCAGTAGGATTGAGTAAAATTTTGTTTGAATTTTCAACAGGTCAATGGGCCTATGGTCCTGCAAGTGCAAAAACTACGAAATGTTTCTGCTCCAAAAGCTAACGAAGACTCAAACCATTCACCAAGATTATTGAAGGTTCAGCTGACAGATGGCCATTTGACTTGTAATGGATTAGAAATGGCATCCATTCCTAACCTCAGGTACACAAAGAGAGTTGTTGCTTATTAAATGATAATTTAAGCTTGCACATGTAATTTTATTAACCCTCAAACTCCCAAGATCTGATTGTTAATTCTCTCCTCTAGCTGCTATATGTTTCCTTGAAAATAAGTTATGAGAATTTGGTGTTAAATCAAGATAACACCATAAACCTGATAAGTTTGAATATTCTTATCACCTGTTTGCTGGATAATGTTTAGATATAATAGGGAGAAGTTACTTGTTAATCACTCCTGGGAGTTAAAGGGTTAACATGTAATTTACTCTTACATGATGCAGTAAAAATGTGATGGGAATAGATAAGTTTATCAGCTACGGGATGTTACCTTGATTTACTATAAAATTCTCCCAGCTCATGTAGAAGGAAATGCACGGCTTCATGAAGGGAGAATTGAGGATTCAAACAGATTATAGAAGGTTTAGTGTTAAGGCTCTTGACCACTACCAACTTTGGAACTTTTCTCACTGGTAGCAGCTTTGTCAGAAAGTTTATTTATGTTTGAAAGTTTGACTTGCGTCACAAAAATGATCTAGAATCTATTATCCCAGTCCCATTGTGACAGAGTGGCAGGTCCCTGTTAACCCTTAACTCCCAGAGGTGATTAATATGTAACTTCTCCCTATAATATCCATACATTATTCACAAAAGAGTGATAAGAATAGGCAATATTATCAGGTAGAAGTCATTATCTTGATCTTACACCAAATTTCCCTAACTGATTTAGAAGGAAATGTGTAGCAGCTAGAGGAGAGAATTAACAATTAGATCTTGGGAGGTTAAGGGTTAATTAAGCAGCTATGATTTAAGATCATCCTTTTGAGTGCATGGCTGCAAACAGTTTAGTCTTGTCAAATCGTGTGAGGAAAATAATTTCCTACAGCTCTTTTACCAAGGCTGTTTAAGAAATTTTCTTTTCCAATGCAAAATCTTGCCTACATGAAGCAAGGGGATAATATTTTTGTTTTACTTTTTGTATGCTGCTGTAGGTATGGAACATGTAATTTTATTATTTGCTAGATTGTAATCATTACTTGGTAAAGAGCCACCTAGTTGAAACTTTTTCAATTAACCATTATTATCAAATTGAATATAATAATAATTATTATAATAATAATATTATTATTATTATTATTATTATACATTGATTTTCACTTGATTTGCAAATGAGATTGTGTGATGTGATCATATATTTGTCTTTTGTTCAAACAGCTTATCAATTCCTCCTGGAACCAAGGTTTACTTAACAGGCTCCATTACTGTTCAGGAGAGCTTTCTGATGCTGGATGCTAACAACACAAGGGTCTTAGGGGGAGAGGTGGAGAAACTGAAGGAAAAGTGGGAGCTAAATAAGGTTAGAACTTTCCATATGTTATTGTTCAGAGGTGTCCTTTTTTGGAGTTGTTTTAAGCTTGTTTTTAATTTGAGGTTGTATGCCATTGGTTGCAAGTCTACTATGAGTCAACCCTTTAACTCCCAAGATCTCACAAGTAATTCTCCTTACTGTCTACTATACAGTTCTTGTGATGTTAGTTTGGAGTATTTGGTATTGGATCAACTAATAATCCCCTAATTTATATTTTTCTTTTTTCTCGTCACTTGTCTGCCTGTTATTGTATTCATATTGTAAGGAGAAGTTCTGTCTTGGTCATTCATGAGAGTTTAAGGTTTAACATGATTTCACATAAGCTGTATATACTGTAGGTTTATTTTTTGGGAAAAAACTAAACTTTGGATGGAAAAAATAATAACATACTGATAAATACAATGTAAAAATTTACAAAATTGGATGATTTAATCATTTGATGATTTGTTGAGGGTTGCTTCCATATAAAATGTAAAGATTCTTTGATCTCAAGTTGGAAACCTCTGGAAGTGTGATATCATGCAGTTAAAGGTGTAAGCAATCAGGAGAACAGAGAGTGTGACATTGTTGAGAATTTTATAAATGTTTGAAATAACTTGGTGCTTGTATGCAGATGTGGAAAAAAGAAACATTTCCAGAAATATCTATAAATTGCTATAATAATAATCCTCCTGCCACACTGTGTCTATCCAAGATTGTTTTTACTGGCTGGAAGCAAGGGAAGTAGTGTATGTTACTTGTGGGATGGGGGCATCTAGAGAATCAGGTACAAGGCCAATATTACAAAAAAAAGTTGTTTGTTAAGGAAGGTTAAATCTTCTCATAAAATTGGACATATTTCTTGTGCATTGTAGCTCCTGTAAAACAGGTCACTGAATCAGTTTTAAAGAACCTTTGTCTTTTTCTCCCCTTTTTAGACCTTAGCTAAGCATTCTCGCATGACTGTGAGTGGAGATGGGCCTCCTCCATTTGTTCCTTTCAGTCAAGGAACCCAACCAGGGATTGAGAACAGAGGAAGATCAGCAGAGAACACCAAAGGTTGGTTTTTAGTTACAACTCACACTGATGCTCTCCAGGACTATAGGGGGGCATAAAGATTATAGATGATTTAGCCTGAAACATTTTTGTTGAGTGCTTCAATTTATTTGTTTATTAATTAGTAATATTAATGCAGGCTGGTCCAGTTCAGCTGGGTTGAACAGGGACTTGCTAACAACATGAACAACAACAACAACAGCATGAACAACTTCCTCTCTGCAATCAGAGGTTTTCATTTGGTTTAATTCAAATTATGCTATATTTTTATTGACATGTGGCCCTAATGGTTGTTGACACCCCTGAACACAAAACTCCAAGGTAATTGACAAAAGGTTTGAATTATCAAGATTCTCTTTTTTCATTACAGTAAATGGTGTGGTACAAAATAGCACAGAGAAATCAAGAGGTATACAGAGCAAGGATGGTTCTGGTCCACCCCCAAGATCCAGAACAACAGAACATGGACAACATAACAAGCCTGTCAATCAAGAACAAAGGGAAGGTACAGCAAAAAAATTTTCACACAACTCCCGCGATGAACGAGCAGAGAACAAAAGGCCAAATACTGATAAAGCAAATGAAAAACTCGCATCCGAAGGTAAAACAAGTTTAAGTAATCCCAAAGACAAAGAGACAAGATCTTTTAATTCAGAACCACACAATAATGAAAGAGCCAGGGAAGGAAATCAAGGAAATGATGACAGACAAAACAATAGAGCAGATCGCAATGAGAGGATGGACAGACCAGTTGCAAGAGGGCAGCCTCTGAGACCACAGGCAAGTTAAATGATCATTGGGAACTGTTTAAATGCTCTTAAATGTTTGTCTAGAATTATTCTACTTGTGCACCCAACATCTGACTTAGTGATATGGCTTTGTTCTAAATCATAAGAGGGTTAGAATACTCCTCTTTTGGGCGAGAATGTTATAATGTACAGAGATTTATAATGGAAAACAATTTGGAAGCATGTGAGATTTTATTTGGTTCCTTGTCAATTTTTGTTTCAAAGAAAGTAATTTTGAATCTGATAGATGGCTGATTGAATTGCTCTGATTTTATTTTAATTGATATAAATTATTAGTTTTAGCTATTAAATTTTTTTTCCCCAAGCAGGATACTAACAGAGGAGGTACAAGACCACGAGGCCGTGGAGGAAAACGAGAGCCAGCAGGTAAGAGGTTCTTTTGACCCTTTAAGTCGCACTAGTGACCAAGACAGAATTTCTCCTTACACTATTAGTACAATATCAAGCAGACAAGTAATGAGAATAAAGAAAAATATGAATTAGGGGATTATTGGTTGATCCAAATCCAAATTCTCCAAACTAATATCATAAGAATTGTATGGTAGACAGTAAGGAGAATTACTGATAAAATCCTGTTATAGGGTTAATAATAACCAATAGATAGGTCTTGCTTAGTCGGATGCAACAAGGTAAACAAACACCCAGAGAGATACAAACAGATATAAAAGGGAGGAAGGGAAGATGACTCATTAATCATTTCTTTAAGGTTTTATGGGTCTTTTTATTGTCACAAACTGAAAAAAGGTTCTCATCTCCTTTTCCCTTTTGGCTAAGTTGTGGATGAAGTGGCAAATAAGGGGTTGTTGAAGCTGGTATTATGAAAGCAAAATGAAGTTGAATTCTTTTGACCCTTTAACTCGTAAGAGTGACTGGCATCCAATTTCTCCTTAAAATATCACCATTGAATCAAACATTCAGGTCATGAGAATAAAGGAAAATAGTCACCAACCAAGGAAGACCTTGATTGATAAATAAATTCTCCCGGTCAGCAGTTTAGGAAACACATAGAGAAGAGTATGGAGAATGTGCATTCTGATGTTAGGGTGTAAAGGGTTAATTGGTAACCTCATGTAGGGAAGTTCTTGTCTTCCAATGAAGATAAATGATTTTGTTACCATTTCTTAAAAGGCAGGGGAAGGCAGGAAAGTGAAGGGACTGATGATGTAGAAGACTACAGAGCAAGACAACCCTCTGAGCCAGCATTGTGGGACTTTCTCTCAACAAAATTTCCAACTGTTAAAGGTTTGGATTTTCACATGTACTATTTGCTAATTATTAATTGCTACTTAATGTTAACCCAACTGATGTCTGTTAAAATTGTTAAAAAAGGACCAGATTTCTTGTGAAACTCACAAAACCATGAAACAGCTGGAATACTTAACAATTTATATAATCATTTGTTTCATAATGTGGTCACTTCTGATGTGGATTGCACATCCTTATCCAAAGTGAACACATTGTGAGACAAACCCTTTTATTTCTCTTTTGAAGTGGTATTTACCAGGATGAATAACCACAAACTATTTAACAACATAAACCTGGAATGCATGTATATCTGGCTGAGTTCATTAGGGGTCAAATTTCCAAAATGCCCTTTGTATTGTTCATTGATGCAAGAAAACCTGTTTGCAATCTTTACAGTGTTGCAATACAGTGATATTTGTAACCTGATGTATCTCTGTAAGGGCAGTTCCCACTGCATCATGTACACTTTGAAGCTGGTGCCCAAGCTTGCCATGGTCTATGTCAGTTCTTAGCAAGACCTTTCTGTTGCATATTCACAATGTAATTATATTCAAATCATATTTAGACCTATTGCAAACGCATTCAAACAACCAAAATACCTGGTCTCTTAAACTTAGTTTTATTTCTTTGGGCAGTCTCAAATCTTTTGGCTTAGTATTCCATTTTGTTCCCACAGAAAAAATTAAATACAGACATGTTGTCTACTTTAATGGAGAGTTGTAAGTTGCAGTTGATAAACTTCTTGGAGATAGGCTGGAGCTGTTCAAAAAATGTCAAAAAACATTATTTCGCCAGGCATAATGCTGATAAAAGAATTTTTGAAAAGATCACAACATTGAATGTATTTGCTATTTTTTATGTTGTGCTGGTAATATTTTTGGCACCAAAGTGTGGAGGGGTGGGGGCCTCTGTTACTTATGGTGTTGATTTAAAGTAATAATAACATTTAAATTAATTTTGATTAATGATATCCCCCTGTTATGCTTCATAAGCCTAAAATAAAATTGTATTCATTGCTGTGTTAACCCTTTCACCCCTTAGAGGGATTAACATGTAATTTCTCCTTACAATACCTCCACTGAATCACTCATAAAGGTCACAAGAATAAAGGAAATGATCACTAACTAAAGAAGCTCTTGATTGTCAAACAAATTCTCCTCATCAGCACCTTAAGAAATGTATAATGAACAATATGGAGAATATGCATTCTGATATTAGGGTGTAAAGGGTTAAAACTTTTGTGGTTTTATCCAGTGACCTAATGGCTGGTGAAAGTGTCTAGTAAGGTTGCTGTGCTTTCAGAAAAAGTAGATGAATAGAAAGTGAGTCATCTCAAGCACTCTGAGTGTTTTGTCTCTCCTGATATTTTATTTCAAACTCTTGCTTACAGATTCTAAGAATCAAAGGCCACAAAAATATAATGAAAGCCAGAAAACAAATGAAGTTCACCACGAAAGACCTCCGCCAAGACCTCCACCCAAACAAGAAAATGATACAGAAAAGCCTAAGCAACAGAACCAAGATACAAAAGCTGAGAAAGGGGAGAATGTTCCCCCTACAAGCAAAGAGCAAACTGATGTACAACATGAATATACAACCCCTAGAGAGATTGAGAAATCAAAGCAAGAATCTTCACCCCAGAGCAGAGATGGAAGACAACAGTCCAGGCAGCAACGCGAACCTCACTACAAGCAACAGCAGAATCCTGGGCAGGTTAAAGGAAGAGGTTCTAGAAGGCATGATCATGATTCTAGGCCATACAACCAAAGCTTACCACCACGACTGCAAAAGAAACAACAGCAACAACAACAGCAACGGCAACAGCAACAACAACAGCAGCATCATCATCATCAACATTATCAGCAACATGGTCACAAACATGAGACAGAGGTGAATAGTGATGGTGTTGAAGCTGAGTATACAGCTGCAGGGAGCCCACCTTCTGTTGCACAGGAAGATGATGCAATTGTGAGGTTTAGTGCATCAACTATTAACCCTGAATTTGTAGAGGACCCTCCAAGTCACCATCAACAAACAGTTCAGTTTCGTGACCAGCAGGGTGGTTCATACACTGGTCAGCCATATACTGGACAAGGCAAATGGCAAAAAAACTATCGCCAAGGATCAGACCAGTTTAGACCGGCAAATTTTACCCCTCCAAATGTACAACAACAACAACAGCAGCACATTGAGTTTGTCACTATGGCATTGGAGTCGCAGCGGGTGCAGGCTCAGTTTGTTGTCAATCAACCTCAACAGTTTGTGGAGCAGGGTGGAAGGGAACAGGCTGAGATTGGTGTACCACAGGAATACCAGTATACACAGCAGGCCCAACCCCCAGTCCAGGCATATCCTGTGTACCAGGTGCGACCAGCTCAGATGACTCATCAGCCAATGGCACCTCAGCCAGCCATGCCACAGCAGCCAGTAGCTACACAAATGCCAGTGCAACAGGTAATGGTCAATCTGTGGAGTGCCTTGATATTTTCTTGCATAAACTCTTCATACCTTGGATTCAAACTTGGCTGTTAAAGACAAAATTTTAGTAATTATTATCACCAAGTTTATAATCTGCAATTCTTTACAAAAGAAAACAATAAAGCATTGATTGTATTGCACAAAAAAGATATCTCACTAAGCATTTATTAATAATAAGAATGAAGCTTGATACATGATTGCTAAATTGATTGGAAACATAAACTACAAGTTACCAGTAAGTCACCAAAATCTTTTCTTGTTGTAATGGCCAACAAAACTGTTCTGGCTTGTAGTGCAGCTGTCAGGCCTACTCTGTCATAGAAAATAACAATACTACTCATAGAGGATAAAAAAAAATATTGTTTTGTTCTTCTTGATGTTGGGAACAGTTCTTTTGAGTTACTGAACTCCTCTTTTTTTTCTTTTTTTTTTCAGGTGGGCTGGAAAAAGGGTGACCATTGCTTGGCTCTTTGGAGAGATGGACAGGTAGTGTCAGAAACTCAAAGCTTATCATATTATTATGCCCAGGTGGCTCTGCCCTTTGATGCATTTTTATGGGATGAATTAACTCTGTATATATTCTGTAGCACTCATCCTAGAGCATTTGCCTCACTACCTCATCTTAAATGGGCAACCATGACCCTAGGGTGTGGCTAAGAGGGTAAATATTTTGAACTTCTCACCTTTTGGCAAGATAAAGTGATAATCCACAATTATAAATTGTAAATTGAAAAAAAAAAAAACTGGCATGTTCTTATGTTGGAAACTGAATGATATGTTAATTCTTTTTAATTTGATTGATATTAAGAAGTGATTTCGTTTATCTATTACCTAACCAATTAAACATGTTTTTTACCTTTTCAAAACATAAAAACAGATGTGTGTAAGGTGCTAGCACAGGACTCCCATACAACAAAATCAATCCTGAATGTCCTGTGGCCATGAATAATTATATACTAACAAATCACTCTTCTCCAGTATTACAGTGCCAAGATGGAGGAACTGATGGGTGATGGTGTCAATTGTATGGTCTCCTTCTTGGATTTCAACAATATTTGTGATTATGTGCCTCTCTCATCTTTAAGGCCTTTTCCAATAATTGCCTGGGTATGTAAAAAATTATTTGATTAATTGACCTGCAAAGAGAACTATTCCTTTCTGCTAATAGATTTATCCTGTTCCATCCTGGTCACCTTTATGTAAGATTATGTATTGATAATGTCAAATGAAGTTGTATTCTAATCACCTCTTGAGGTAAAAACGGTTACTACAATCTATTAATTAAAGTTAGTACTTGCTCTGTAACTTACCATTAACCTTTAACTCCCAAGATCTGATTGTTAATTCTCCCTTCTCGCTGCTAGACATTTCCTTGTTAATTAGTTATGAGAAATGAATTTAAGAGATCCTCGCAGCTAAGAACACTACTGAATTAGTAGTTGAAAATAGGACCTGAAAAAAATTCGGGTCTATATGGGAGTTGAACTCATGACCTCTGTGATACCGGTGCAGCGCTCTACCAACTGAGCTAACAAGTCAACTGGGAGCTGGTCAATGTGTTGGGTCCAAATAAACCATTCAAGTAATGAATAATGATTTTAGATATACGAAATTCATATATTTGCACCACGGGGAAGAAACGAATTTAAGAGATCCTCACAGCTAAGAACACTACTGAACTAGTAGTTGAAAATAGGACCTGTAAAAAATTGGGTTCAAATCCCATACAGGCCAAAAAATTTTTTTCAGGTCCTATTTTCAACTACTAGTTCAGTAGTGTTCTTAGCTGTGAGGATCTCTTAATTTCCTTTCTTCACCACTGTGCAAATATATGAATTTCATATATCTAAAATCATTAGTTATGAGAACTTGGTGCTAGATCAAGATAGCAGCTTCTACCTGATAAGTTTGAATATTCTCATTACCTGTTTGCTGAAGAATGTATGGATATTGTAGGGAGAAGTTTTATGTTAATCACTTCTGGGAGTTAAAGGGTTAAGTCTTCTTGGGTATTCTCCTCTTTCATGTTAAGTATTATTATTGAAAGAATTCCCACAATGTAGAGAATCAAAAAAAAAAAAGTTTAATGATAATCTGTTTCCTATGAGAAACCTGAAAATTAAATTTAAATTTATCACTTTTTATTTCTTAGCTGAAATTTGCTTGATGTCATGATGGCCATACTAACTATGAACCAAAAAGATATGTTGAAGAAACTTTGCAAAATTTACAAAATATCTGGGTAATATTAATTGTTTCCATTACAAATCCAGTGTCAGTAATTTTGATTCCTTTTTTTTCTCTTTTTCAGGGAGAGAATAGTAATACACAGCCTCCACCTGCAGGTGCTGTTGCCACAGTGCCATATTACACACAGGGGGCACCAGTTGGCATAGTGACCAGACCCCAGGTAATGATCCCTGTGTCTGGACAGCCTCCTTTCCATGCTGGTACTCGACCTACCATTGTTCATTCTACCCAAGTCCCTGCTCAGGTACAGTGGCAGCCAGCTCAGGTTCAGTACCAAGAGGTCAGACAAGCAGCTTTCCAGCCAGTCATGCATTATGGGGCTGTGCCGCAGTCAACTACAGGGAGCCCTGCTCCAGCAGCTTATGGTGTACCCACAGCAACTGGGGTACATTTTGTCAGGGGTGTGAAGGATGCCCAAGGTCAAGGTTAGTACATGGTTTTCATTTGCTTCTTTCTTTTACTCTCTTGACCTAAATGTGTGATTCACAGACAATGATGTCAGGAAAAATTTGATGCTAGTCACCTTTGGAGGTCAAATAGTTGAGATAACAGTGGTGAGATATCACACCTTTACTGTGTGTGGCTGGTTCAGGAAAGAAAGTGCCCTGTGTGGCAAAGAGTTCTTGATATTCATCACGTGTTCCTGAGGCTGATGTTGACTTTCTCATCATTTTCTCCAGATGTGTACAGCAACACTCCAGAGGCAGGCAGAGGAAGATCAAGTCCAAACTCAGGTGGTTATTCCAAATCAAGACGACCAAACAGAGCTACACAAAATTACTATGTACCACCCAGACAACAGAAGTTCAAGGATAAAGGGTAGTCAGAGATTGAAATGTTAAAAGAAATTACTTTCAGCACTGTCTGTTTGAAGTAGATAATGTCATCCAGTGGATACATTTCCACTTAGTGAATAGCTTATCTTTACTGACTGGGAATGTATTCCTTGAATAACATTTTCCACTGTTCAAACAACTGGGCATGTAAAAATAATCTCTAATATGAAAATTTAATTAATATGTAGTAAAATATAACAACTTTTTTTTCGACATGGAAGATGTGGTTAATGTAGTTGATGTGCATACCATGTGTATTTTAAGGAATAGTCTTTGTTTTAAACAGCTATGTGAAAATTTATCTGGTAGGAAGGGGGTAATTATGAGGCACTTTAGAGCATGATTCTCTTCTCAGCCATTAAAATTAGAAAATCTTATTAGCAAAAGGGGTGAAGCAAGATGTAGATTTTATTTTAACCTGTGCTTTTGGCAGTAGTGAGATTTTGTTAATTACATAAAACTACCTCTGTGCTAAAAGTGCTTAAAAATATTAACTTTATATTGCAGTGAATTGATTATTAGAAGAATTGATAGAAGTAGGCAAACCATCTAGTGAATTTTGAAATGTGATTTTGAGCCATAGCCCTTTTCTTTAACTATGGCCTTAATCCTTGTGTTGAAATGCCACCCAAAAATTGGGTCCTTTACTTAGGCTAACTGGTAAAATTTCCCCAAAAAAAGGGGTTTATTTAGGAGTTTAAATTTTTTTTCTGTTGTTCAATCTGCTCCATTTGGCTTTTCACCTTTATTAATCAATTCCTTACAGAACTGCTGTTCAGTTGTGTAAGAGGACTTCTTTAACCCTTGAACTCCCAAGATCTGATTGTTAATTCTCCCCTCCAGCAGCTGCACATTTCTTTTTAAATTATTTAGAAGAATTTAGTGCCAGATCAAGACAACTTCTACCTTATAACTTTGAATATTCTCATTACCTGTTTGCTGGATACTGTATGGATATTAAAGGGAGAATTTACATGTTAACAGCTTCTGGGAGTTAAAGGGTTAAAAAAAAGCAAGTAAAAAAGGCAAGATCTTTGTTTCTCATGAAGTTTACATGTAAGTAACCTAGTATTCCAGGCTTGGGAAGAGATATATCAAATGAAGGCTTTTTGCTGTGACATGGGGCTAAATTAAGAGAAAAACTAACATTTTTTATGAGATGACAAGAGAATGTTTTGGATGGCCAAGTAATGGATTGATTTCCTAGCTTGCCAACAAGAAAGAAATACCTATTTATGGGGTTTAACAAAAGTACATTATTTTTTATTTCAAAAATTCTATACTTGAGTTACTGCAAAATTGATAATCAAACTAGTGAACTTTGCAATTTCACACAAGTGAAGTCTGTGTTTTTCATTATGGCCTATCAATTTTCAGGGAAAAAAATGGGAGGGAAAAATTATTTTGAAATGTATATTACTATGATTGGAAATTTTATTTGGAAGATGACTTGGGATGAAGCAAGGTCAGCATTGGTGGAAACTTGCTCAGATGTACTGTTGTGTTGGTAATGTTCTTAATTCTTGACTATTCTCCCTAACAAAGTTAACAATTTGACTTTTGTGGTTTACCAAATCATCAGCTAACTGTGCTTGTGCATATTGCTTGAGCAATAAACTTTCAGTATTGTACAAACCAGCCTTATATCCTGAGCATAGCAATGTTACTTTTTTATTATCATGGCAGGTAGTTTCTAGTTCTATCGAATGTGATGTGTTGAATGTGGTAAATTTTGGGTTTATTAGGTGTATGCCTGAACCTTAATAATCTGATCACCAAAATGTTGACTGATGTTGTTACTGGAAACGTTTGGTTGAGAGGTGTAGATAGTCTGTAGTAATGAATCTTTTTGAGAGAGCAAGTTGGTGTTGTAAGCTTGCAGTTAATGGAGCTGCCATCTTGGTGGAGAAAATGGCATTGCAAATATTGCACCTGTTTAAGGGCCTTGGTCAGTGGAGATGAGCAATAGATGGGTTGAGCTAAAAATTAGTTTTTTTCAGGCAAATGACTTTTTCATCTAACTGGGATAAAAAGCTTGCATAAAGTTTGGAGAGCATTTAAGAGAGGCAAGAGTTACTGGAGGTGCAACTAAGTGCAACTTAGCCTTCTTGCATGCTCTCCAAACCTAGCAAGTGCTTCATATTTTTATCAATGCACAACTGATACAGGAACCAATAGTTTTGTAACAATTTCCACATGGTGTGTTAAATGTTTGGTGAACAGAAGTTCTCTCTGTGTAGCATATTATTTGTAGTCATAATAGTCCATTGTGGAAATATGAAGCAAGTTTGTGCAATTGAATTTTATAACACAAATTTACTAGCTGTATTATAATTTTGTTCCCTCATCCATCCCTCTTTTCCTATGCAGGACATTTTGCTCATTTCCAGTGACCAAGAGAGTGTCACAGGGTACCTGAAATTTTGCAAAGAAATTGCAAGAGTTTGTGTGCTAAGAATGTTTTTGTACTGCAGGCTAAAATCCCCTCTTGAAATTTGGTTGTGGAAAGAGGCTTTTTTCTATTATAGTACTAATAAGAAAAATTAGCTTTTCCTAGTCTTAAAATTATGTCCAGTTATTTCACTTATCACCTTGTGGTTTACTGTAGTCCCAAATTTATCAATTAACATAATTTTTGAGTTTTAATTTTTCTAAATAACATATTGTAACTAAATTTGCTTCTGTGTTGTCTCAAGGCTGCTGGGTCTTGGTGTTACACAATTCATTTTCTAGTATTTATATTTATTGATGGAGAAATGGTAGGACATTTCTCTATTTGTTGCATATTATAAAATAATGTGATTGAAAAACTCAATGAAATTGGTCACCATCTTAGACACTGTTAGTAATGGAGTAACAAAGGTTATCAAGAATTTACAATGTACTGTAAAATGTGAACTGCAATTAGTAGATATTGTTCTGATCAAATCTTAAAATCTGTGATATTTTTACTGTTGTGCGCATTTTATTAAACTATAAACTAATGAAGGAAAATCTATTTGTGATTTTGAAGTTACTAGGTAAATACTTTTTTTTTTTTTCTGTACTTGCCATTTGTAAGCCACTAAACAGTGATTTTTCTTTTACTTGTAAATTTCTTAACAATAGAAGCCAATGGCTTGAATATTTGCTCAAGGTATGTAGGTGCCTGTAGTAGGTATGTTTTTATCATTTGCGCCAACTTATGTTCTATTCATGCTTCTTAACTAACTTTATTTCAGTTATGTTGCTACTTGGCAATAAAATTGAATAAAGACAAAAACAAGAAAAGTTCATACCTGATTGAAACAATTCTCTACAACTCATGTCCAACCCAAAATTTTCTTTTCTGTTTATTCCACAAGAGTTAAAGAACATACACTTCAAGAACCAGAATTTTATCAATGATTATTAACCCTTTGACCCTTACAAGTGATTGGCATGTAATTTCTCCTTACAATATCACCCCTGAATCACACATTAAGGTAATAAGAATAAAGGGAATGATCACCAACTAAAGAAGCTCTTGATTGTTAAACAAATTCTCCTTGTCAGTACCATAGGAAATGTATAGAGAACAGTATGGAGAAATTGTATACTGATGTTGGGGTGTAAAGGGTTAACAATGAAGTTATTGTCAGAGTTATGGAACTGTTTTGAACTTCTTTCCAGAAATTCAACCTTAGAATGATACCCACATCCTCAATGATTTCTACAGTGTACGTGCTTAAAGATATAGAATGGACTGTTTCTTGAAGCAAACAGCCTTTACAAGGAAAAACATAGGGTTTGGAGAACAGCTAACATCCAATCCTAACTTAAAATTGGAGGTCCATTTGGTAAACCTGAAACTTGAAGCTTGAAGTTTACATCAACTGCGATCTTAAACAGCACTGTAATCTTTTACAATGATATTACCAATTGAGAAGTTTACCCCACAACTCTGTTCTCCAACTATCTGCCTTCAGATAATCAGAAAAAACTACAGGGTAAGAGGAAAAAAATCAACAACAACAAAACAAACTGTTGTGGATAGACCATTGTTCTGATGAAACAATGAGAAGTTGAACTGTGCATTATTGCAGCAATGTGATGAAAACATTAATATGAAAACTGTCCCATAGCCTGATAACAGACATCTTTCTTGTACTTTTTCAACTGTCATGAACAAATGTAGAATCAAACACTCGATACTGAACCTTTCTGCAATCTTTATCAGGGAGATATGAAAATATGCAGAGTTCTAACCATGGTCTTTTATCACCCTTTGGATCTTGGTACACACATTCAATAGAGTTATTTGGATTATTTGTCATAAACAGCATATGTTCCTGGATGGTGTTTTGAAAAGATGCTTGGACTAAAAATTCTTCTGGCGGTGGAAGACCAGCAAAGAAAGTTTTTGCATCCTTATCAAAGACCAATGCATGGAGAAGGCCAGAATCATCCTCAAGAACAAATGAAAACAAATAAGAAAGAGTCATCTCCTGACCACACAAAGAGCATGGGATGATATCACTGTTGGCAGCAGAACAAACAGAACTGGAACTTTCTTGAGGTAAGTATTTACAAGACTGACAAGATCTCCGTATGAAAGACTTCACATCTGATGGTAAATATATCATTGCCTTGACTCTACAGCGAAATTTGTATGGAACAGTCTTGTATGTCTTGATCTCTTTCAAAGAACTGAAAGCAATGCTAGGGTGCTCTGTTATTGTACACGATGTCTGAAGTGCCCGGTTTACTTCATTTGTGATCAAAGAGTTACTTTCCTTCTGTTTGTTAAAGTTTTCCATTTCTTGTTGAATTCCACTGTGGTCAGTTGTTTTGCGTCCATCATGAACATCAACAAATCCATTCTCTATGGCTTCTGATTGTTGTTCTGTATTCTGGTGGGTCACTGAAGCTTCTGCTTCAGCTTCAGCAACCAACTTCAATGTAGAGCTTACTGAAACCATGGGATCACTCATTGACACAATCTCCACACCACGCCCACATATTGTACCTCCGTGTACTATGAGACTAACACAAGGGCGAGACAGCACCATCTGATGAAAGAACAAATCAAACCAATTGCTTTGGTATAAATTGGCTAGTCATTCAAAACTCAACAAGACAAGCTTATGTTTTTAGTTTAGTTTTTTTTTAACAAACATTACATTTTTACAAAGTAACACTCAAATCTTTTGCTATTTCTTTACCCAGCTCAAAATCTAACATCTCATTCTATCTACAAACATGACATGATTGACATTGCTGATCTTTGCAGTCTTTGTCCCATGCTTGTGACAAGAGAAAAAAAAATTCACTCTATCTTTACCAGGCTCAAACTTTAACATTTTTCTTATTCTATTTACCAACACAAACACTATTAGGCTACTAATTTACCTCCTTATCTATCGAGGAATCAATAGCGAGTTTAGACCAATTTGATTGCAGAGTTGTGACAGGAAACTAGAGGATTAATTCTAACATCTGATAGCTTTGAAATAATAGCAAAACACAGTTAAGAAATAATCAGGTATGTTACCTCAGGCTTATCTGTAGTCATATCTGCACTGGCTTCCAGCTCTTTGATATGAACATTTCTGATGCAGACAAAATTGCCAGGACTGACTTTTCTGACCTCCCCCTCTACATGATTGTCATATAGAAACACCTCTACACATTTGCCAGCTGACTTGTGAATGAGCTCCTCTGATTTTAATTCTCCCTGTTCACTGAGTGGTTCCACCGAAGTTGATTGACAGGCAGGGGGTGATCCATCCCATAGAGTCAAAGCAATACCGTTGCTGGCTTCAGTGTAACTTTTTGACACAACTTGGCAGAGAAGATTTACAAATGTCTGACTTGTGCTCAAGTCTTTCAGGTTAGTAATGACAAACTTCTTGTTTAGAGATTCCTTTTGCAATGCCCACAATCGTAATTCCTCAATTGCATCTTTTTCTTGTTCTGTCAAATTGTACGATTTTGATGATGATGCCTGTGCTTGGTGGTTATCTGTGCAATTTATGTCAAATACAAGCCTGAAAATGATGACCAAAAATAAAGGGTTAACTAGATTCACAGCCATTCTCAAAATTCTGGGACTTTGTGTGACATATGTAGCAGCCTTGATCTGTAGGCTATTTGAACTCTTCTTAGAGCAGTTGGTTAATAAGACCAGGTAAAAAAAGATGTTTTTTGTCTTGTCACGAACGTGGTACACAGGAAAAATTCTGAGTCCCCAAGAAAAATCAAACATCAGACCATTGGATTTCATGCTCCAATGCTCTACCACTGAGCCACAGAGACTCTATGGTGAGTGAGGCCTGTTATGAAGTTCATATGTAAGACACATCCTGAATACTGCTAAGACCAAGTGTTCCTAAAATAAACTTACCAGGTTGATTCAGGTAAGAACTTTCCTTGCATCTCTCCTTTGAAATTGCCAACAGCAACACCATGAAAACGCACAATATCTCCTACAGATCTAATCAATGGCAACCTTTCCTTTGACTTTGAAAAGAGCACCAGCTTAAAACTTTCTTCAAGGGAAGCCAGAGAGGGATCGACTAAGCTTAATGAGCAGACAAAATCAGAACCCTTGGTCTTGAAGGGGCTCTTAAAGAACTTCACCACACCAAATACATTAACAGTGGTGTTAGCACGTATATCTGCCAGCTTTGTGTATTTCACAATTTGAGGTTGTAGGACAAGCCTGCTCCTTTTGCTTGGTGGTTCACTTCCTGTCTTTTCTGCTCTGACAAACGCTGCACATTCTGATGCAAGAGGCAGAGGTCTCCGAACAATATTACTACCTGCGTTTAACATGTTATTAGAATCTCGCACAACCCATACTTTGAGAAATTTACAGCTTTTTTCGTCACCAATGATTTCAAATCTATGACCTTCCCTTGGTGAACTTTCAACCTTTGCTCCTTTTATCATAAGCACGTCTTTTTCCTTCACCGTCTTACACTTCTCTACAAATTTCCCCCTCAGAAAGACTGAGATGACATCTGGTGAGCCAGAATTAACATCTTTGATAGAAAGTTTCATCACCCAGCCTGTAGATATCTGGAAAATTGGGTATACTGTGATCAACACACCTGTGTAAAAGAAGTGTCCAAAAATGCTCTTTCAGTGCAAACATAGCATAAAGATTACAATAAGGATACAAATAGTACGGATATCAAATTGCGAGTCACAATTAGCACTCACAGCTGAATCTTTACCTTTCACCATGCATGTGGAAAAATCCATATTTTGGGATACATCCTTTATTCTAATGCATCGGTAGGTGTTTTCAATTTTCTCAATTGAGCAAGCATCTTCTAGAATTTGTACAATTGTATCTTCTTTTTGCTCGCGGGAAATGTTCAAACTACCCGCCATTTTGGACAATCAGGATCTTGACAAGAATTCCTTTCGACGAAAGGCTTGAGCCATCAGTAATAGGAAGACTTGTCAGCGTACTCAAATTTAACATGGCGGATTTGATTAACTTTATTTCAAAGAGGGAAATTGACGCGAAAAAAGAAGAAACTAGGAAAGCAAGAGAGCAAATCCTCAAAAAGGTAGGCCTCCTCGGTGGTCGATCAATAAAAATGCTTGAAAAATTGAGTCAGTCACGAAGAAATGCCTTCCATAGAAAAGCATCATGTATATCTTATCGAGTGCTTCTAAAAGTGCTTTTATTTGGCGCGTTAGAAGCATGGTTAAACGTTGATCTATCTTTCGTTCAGGCAAAAGGAGACTATGAGAGAGAGCAGTGGAAAAAACAGAAGCGCATTGAGAGTGGAGAGACTTCGTGGATGTTGCCATCCTTAAGCAATAGTTTGACAGTGGAGGACGACAGCCATAATGATAAGGTAGTGTACGTAGTTGTTGTCTCACTAACTGTTTTGTTTTCCTTCAGAACACTCATCAGAGTTCTTTATTCTTATTAATGAAGTCCTTAATACTTATTAATGAAGTGAGTATTTAGCTGAAAGCTGAGGGAGGCTACTTACAACTAATATGATTTCTAGGAAGTATCCTCCTAATGGGATGTGTCGATAGAGAGGGTAGCACTTTCACGAATAAATTGAGTATAATGGGGTTGCATTTTCAGTAGAGCTACTAGAATGGGGTCACACATCTTCAGGATTTTAGGAATAAGAAAATTCTGGAATTTTGTCACCGTTGGCATTGCCAAACTTACATAAGTATACGGAAACACAACCACATAACCCCTATCCTGATGGATCTGCACTGGCTCCCTGTTAATCAACGCATTCAATTCAAGATTCTTCTTTTGACATTTAAATCTCTAAACGGCCTTGCCCCTGTCTACATTGATGAAATGATCCAATGTTATGTACCAAATAGAAAGCTTCGTTCGTCTTCTGCATTTCTTTTAAAACAAAACAAATGGAACCTTAAGTCTTATGGTTTTAGAACTTTTACAGTAGCTGCTCCCTTTTTATGGAACTCCTTACCTTTAGAAGTCAAGTCTTCGCCCAGTTTGAATATTTTTAAATCTAAACTGAAAACACACCTTTTTAAATGCGCTTTTAATCTAAATTAGATAACTTAATCTTTTGTTTTTATATTTCTAAGTCATACTGTAATACAATGGATGTAAAGCGCTTAGAACGCATGTGGATAAGCACTACATAAGTGTTAAATGTTAAAAATGTTAAGATAAGATTGATTGTGTCTATCATTAGGGCTCCAAAGAATATACTATAATTTGGGGTAGGGGCTCTGAGAAGCCAATGGCACATACCTAGTAAAAAGTGATCAAACCCACCCCCCCCCCCCCCCTGTCCCGCTAGGGCTAAAAGGCTTCAAATCACAACTTACCTGAAGGGTTGGAAGACTCACATGTCCATGTTAAAATTGGTTTAAGTTTTGCTTCTGATTAGCTGAGAGGATGGAGTAAGTTTTCTTGAAGAATCACAGAGCAAAGTTATTCAATGGAAACATACTCTTTAGGGTGATCAAGATAATCTACATGACTGTTCTATTTTTGAAAGGATAAATTGAAAAAAAAGAAACACAGGAAAGAGAAGAAGCAAAAAAAGGACAAAAAGGAGAAGAAGGTAAGGATCCCTTAAGCACAGGCTTGGTATTCTACATTTGGCAAAGCACAGGTTACTCAACCTTTTATATAAAGGCTGCTTTATTAAAAGTCTCATCTCCATGATATCAGGATGAAACCCATTTTATATTACAATGAGTCCTGAGAGTCAGTAGGGTAGCAGAATAGCACATGGTCAAGGTGAACTTTTTTTTTTTTCACTACTCAATGACCACTAAATCCTTTGACCCCAAGAGTGACTGTATTAATTTCTCTTTACAATATCACCCCTGAATCAAACATTAAGGTCATGATCACCAACTAAAGAAACTCTTGGTTTTTAAACAAATTCTCCTTGTCAGCATTGTAGGAATGTATAGAGAACAGTATGGAGAATATGCATAGTGATGTTAGAGTGTAAAGAGTTAAAATATAGCATGTTCTGTTTCATTATAGCACAAGAAGCAGAAGAAAGATACTAGTAAAGAAAACATGTCCTCAGATTCGGTAAGTGTCCATCACATGTTTTCTTTTCTTCTTACCTGGTGGAGAGCCAACTATATCACATGCTCATGTTCAATACCATTCCACTGCATCCTGCTGTAAAGAATATTCTGCTCACGTAAGGTTGTGCTCCCTCTCACCCATTTCCTTTGCCGTCACCTCTAGGAGTTACAATTAACTGTCAGAGATGTGAACATGTAACTTCTCCCTACAATATTAATCCATTATCCAGCAATCAGGGTATGAGAATACTCAGACTTATCAGGTAGAAGTTGTGTTGATCTAACATCAATTCTCAAAACTTAATTACAAGGAATTATGTGGCAGCTAGAAGGGAGAATTAACAATTAGATCTTGGGAGTTCAAGGGCTAATGTCAAATTGATGATGGAAAAATGTTGAAATTATTCAGTGTCTGCCAGAAAAACTATTTACCTCAACCATTGACACAGGTCTGTAAATAACATACCAGCACACCATTGACAAATTAAAATGTTTTGTTTTACATTGTCTGGTAACTGTTTATTATTTGCAGGAGTCAGGAGATGAGTGGGTGGAAAAAGAAACAACTGATTCAATTACATTGTCAAAACCAGGTGAAGTTCAGGTAAGTACTTTAAATTTAATGTGATTATTTTGGAATTAATTCTGAGCTTAAGGACAAGTTAATTTTGACTGATTGTGGAAAGAACTACATTGAAAAGAAAATGCCTTATTTAAATTTAGAGGTCAAAGGTTGAGTGACGAACCCTGATACAAGAGTAAATAGTGCAAAACAAGAGAGAAAAATGAATAAAAAGGCTCTTGTTTGGTAAACAAATTCTCCTTCTCAGCACCTCAGAAAATGTATAGAGAACAGTATAGAGAATATGCATATTGATGTTAGAGTGTAAAGGGTGAAGGAACTTGTGTTTTCATTTACAACAGGTAATGCAACAGCAGCGTGACAGCTGGATGCTGTGTCCACCAGTTACATCAAGCTCCCAAGACCCAGTGCATCAGGAGGAAGAAGAAGATAAGGAAAGCAAAGATGATGAGGAAACAAAAGCTCTGTCTTGCATTGATCGGGTAAGATAAAGGAACAATTTCTTATTTCAACTTAATACTCCTTTTTACATGATATAATATGTGTAAAAAGGGTAGAAGGCTATTATAAAGAGGGGAATAGGTATAAAAAAGGTTTGGTGAAAATGGTAACAATGGAATTTTTTTTTTTAAATTGTCTTAAACAAGGTTGATTGACATTTACTTATGTTCAAGACACGTAGCTGTTGTAACAGTAAAAGCGAGACATTATCTTTTGAACAGTAAACTTTATTACATGAAAATGAGCTAACAGGATAACATATTAAAACTCAGGTGAAAGTGAAGGTGTAACTGATGAAAAAATGACAACAACCTGACCAAAAGACACCAACGAGGGGGATGAGAAAAGAAAAGAAAAAATGAATTAATAAATGAAAAAATTCCAAAACTAATTAGACAGCATTTAAGTCATATTACTGCAGTCTGTAGAAAAGACTGAGGTCAAACTTATTTGAATTTATTTTAAACTGAAGCCATTTAGATCATGTTGACAGTTAAGAAGTAGTGACACTCATTGTTATTATTATTGGCACTCATAGCCAGGACAGCATGCTAAAGAATTGAACCCATACTGGAGAGATGGAGGTACAGGCTTACCATCTGAGAAGAAGAGTTCACAGGACACCCATCACAAGGAAGGTAACAAAGCTTAGTTAACTCCTTACTAATAAAACCCTTTCACTCCCACAAGTGACAAAAAATTAAAATTTTCCTCTCAATATCAATACGTTTTCTAGCAGAAAGACGACGAGAAGTGAAAAAATTCTTAATCAGGGGACATTTTTTTCAGTCGCTTTGGTCGCAATTATAGAACATATGCTCTAACTGGATTAGAAAGGAGCAAATCTCGATCGAGTGTCGTAAAACAAAACCAAAGTTGTCATAGAGTGCTTTCGATTGAGTGTTATAAAACCAAAACAAAAGTAACCACAACAGTGAACTAGAGGAGAGGAAGATACCTTTTAAGAGCCAATGAAAACGTAACGTTAAGACAACCAAACTGCCAAAAGCGCGGGAAAACGCGTGACTGGTTTTAGTTTTGCATCTGATTGGTTGATAGAGTGGAGTGAGTTTTCTTGACCAATCACACAAGACGCAAAAACAAAGCAAACCTGGATTACTTTGGACTCTAAATCAAAATGCGTTCTATCTGCCATACAGGATAATAAAGATTATCGCTAGGAGTCCATCAATTTCAAATTAAAAGCTAGCAAACTACCTCCAGCGTTGGAAAGCGCAAATTACGAGTTGCAGTTGGCTTTAGTTCAGAAGCTAAGGATGCGATGATGGGACAATCGATAGGAAGCAAAATCAGTACTATACCTGACCAAAACAAACACTCCTTTCAAAGCTCTCTCTCATATGTGATGCAATCCTACATTAGTTGCTGTGCAAGACTCTTTTGAAGTGTCCTTTACGTAGGTGATCATAACGATACAAGAAAATGCTTGTTATTATCCTCTCTTAGGAAATGCCGGACATTCATTTAGCAGCGCTTGGTTGAAGAGAGCTTATCAAAGGGCCAAAGATGAAGCTGAGGAAGAGGGCAAGAGTTTGGCTGATATTGTCGCTAAAAGATACGGGGTTAGTCTTTTTTTTGGTCAATTTACAGGGTCTCAAGCTCAAATTTTGTCCAAGTCGCGATTTAGTGACGTCGTTTTAGTCCACAGAACAAAACTTGTGGAAAGTTGTCAGCAAAAGCCCCCATGAGAATTCGGAGACCAGTCAATTTGTAAGCAGCTCATTTGATGTAGACCCAAATTTTGCAAATACCCCTTTTCCTGGCACTGATGGAAAATCCTTTTTTTTATCTCCTTCATAATGTTAGTCTGTACAGAAACTGGAAGCTATGATCAAGGAGGCCGAGGATAGGTATTGCTTCTTTTTTAATTTAAACTTTTTTTGTTCATATCTTTGTAGTCATGTATAAAAAAAAAGAAAAATGGTTAGGCAAGGTTGTCTTTGTCAGAAGGTGTACAGTGTCGATTGCGTGTCGTAAAACTAAACCAAAGAAACCGCAGTGGCCAATCAGAACAAGAGAAAATATCACAAGTAACCACTGGGAACCCATGTCAAATGTACGACCTCCGAGCACGGGAAAACCCACGTGATCTAGGCGCGATTGGTTTTATTTCTTATTGGGATTGGTGGAGAGGATGATAAGTTATTTTCTTGACCAATCTCAGTGCGCAAAACTCCTCTTTAGAAATAGTACTAACCGTGATTGAATTTCAGACGCTAAAGAGACAGGGTATCGATGCGACGGTTCTGATATGATTCTTTGTTTGATAACTTAGAGAAGAAAAGCTTAGAGGAGAGGAATCAAGGAAGAGGGACAGAGAGAGATACAGAGGCGATAGAGAAGGTAGAGACGATCGACATCGTGACAGAGACAAAGAATGGAGACGAAACCGGGACACAAGTCCTATGGACAGATATTCTCGGGACAATGGAAAAACTTACAGGTCTACGAGGGAAGAAGATGAAAATAAATGGAGAAGAAGACCGGAACAAGAGGAGACAGGACGCGAGCGACCTAGAGATGATACAAACAGATTTGCACGTCCTGGCGACTTCGCCGGCGACAACAGGTACTGAGTTCTGTTGCTGTGATCTGTCACACAAATTCTGATATGAGCGCAGTGGTGACAAAATTCTGGCGAAGAGCCAAAGAGTTTCACTATAATTCCCTGGTCATACGAGGGAAGCTGTCGCACGAACTTGTCATAAAGCTGGTACATATTGAGCAGCTTGCCGCAGAGACTAGTTGTTGCAAATTGTCCCTAAGAGTGACTGGCATCTAATTTCTCCTTAAAACATCACCCTTGAATAAAACACGAAGGTCACGAGAATAAAGAAAATGATTACTAAACAAGGAAGCTCTTGATTGTCAAACAAATTCTCCCTGTCAGCACCTCAGGAAGTGTGCAGAAAACAGTATGGAGAATATGCATGCTGATGTTAGGATGTGAAAGGTTAAAGGAGAAGTATGTTCCACGAAATATACAATTTCGATCTTCGTCGTTTAAAAATATAGGAAATAGAATTCACTACTTTCCCGGTGTGCTATTCTTAAGCGAAAAATTTGCCTCAAATGAGCAACTCAGTAATATGGAGGAACACACAAAAGAAATGTGCGCGGTTCCCTGGAAATCGAAAAAAATTAGAAAAGATTGGCATGTTTCGAAGAGATTTCTAAGGGATAGAGAAAGGAGGTGCGAGATTTAGTTCTGACACAGAGAGAGAGAACACAGAGAGAGAGATAAGAGGTTGCCGAATCAAAAGAATCAGTAAGAATCAAAATGTGTCCACGCTGTAAAATCTTGGGCACATTTAAAGATACTTTTTTGAAACGTTCGGCTGCTGTTTGGAATCTTAAAACGCTGCCAGAGTCATGGTTTCATCTATAATTTTTAATGGCGGAGACTAAAGTAATATATGGTCTCTGGAGTGTAAATCTCCCAGGAAAGTCGACAATGAGGTTTTGAATTGTCATTCGTTCTCAAAATTTTCACAGGTCATCCTTCGTTGGTAAGTTTAAGCGTCCTGGCTCTTCGACATCCACACCTCAGAGGTCTTCAACTTGGGACTTCGACTCGAACAAAAACACGATTAAGGAAAGACACTCCTACGACAGACCAAGCTCCAGTTCCTCGGGCGGATGGAGAAAGAAGGCAGATATTGGAACTGAGAAGGGGTCGCCCCCGCTGGAAGTAAAGCGCACCGAGGATAAGGAATCAGTTCCGGAAGTGAAACTGGAACCAGAAACAGACAGCAGCTCGAGCTCTGAGGAAGAAGTCGAAGAGAAAAAACCAGTTGTGATTCCTGCAAAGAAAATCACAGAAAAAGATTTGAATGACATTGGGGCGAAGATTGTTAAGGCGGAAATCATGGGAAACGAGGTGAGCGTTGAAAATCTCAATATTTGCTGGCTTCAATACATGAAAGTAGTTTCTTGAAGTGTAAGCTTTTTAGTAATACAGTAGCCGACTTTACTTGGCAGACTGCGCAAAGGGAAACGTGTTAGATTAAGACGTCATTTCGTTACGTGATTAAGGCGATCAGTTCTTGCGTCACATCGTTGTTGGGCTGTAGTGACAATTTAGCTTCGTGTGACGTGGAGAATTTCTTTGTTTATCTCGCTCTAGAATTTCGTCCCCAACTTACTAAAATTCAAACTGCTTTGACTTCGTGTCTGTTCGCAGCGAGAAAATTATTTGCAGCGACTTTCAAAATACACACTGAGGGCTTTGTTGCATCGTTCTTTTTCAGCGACTTTCAAAATAAGAAAACACTCAGTAAATGCTGTCATTTCAAATTTTTTAAAGTTTTTAGCTGCTTGGCTAGTTTTGTTTTTAATGGATGGACATCTTCCGAAAATTCCCCAGGATTTAGCAACTAAGTTGAAGGCCCAGCTGGAAGAAATGAGAAAAAACAAGAAACTTCAAGAAGCGCAAGTGGAAGGAAGCAGTACAACGGAGGAGCAGATGGTTTTATTAACACGAACTGATGCGACAGGAAATGTGTGGCCAGTGGAAATGACAGCTGAGGAAACGAGGGGAGGACGAAAAAAGCGACGAAAGGTAAAAACATTAGGGAGAACTGCTAACTAAAAATTTTTGTTACACTTTCGTTTGTTGAAACATGCGAATGCCACTTCACAGTTTTTCTTTATCTACCTTTCGTTGCCGTTCCTTAGTCAATAGTGTAGACGAGATATCTTCAATGAACACGTATGAGACTTTACAATATTTTTAAGGTTTTTTGATCCCTGAGGTTGTCATGTTATGGTGTTTCGAGAATTCTATTGATTTTGAATGAGCTCCACAGCCCTTTTACTCCTAAGATCTGAGTATGAATTCTCTGCACTGTCTACATACATTTCTTTTAACTGTAGCTCTGAGAATTCAGTGTGAAATCAAACAATATTCCTTTCTTGGCATTTTCCTTTCTTCCCATCACCTCTCTGTTTGAAAAAGAGGTTTCATCGCGAGGAGAAATTTCTTTCCGCTCATTCTGGGAAGTCAAAGGTTTATAGAGTTTTTCTGTTGCCCATTGTGGAGTTGTTCACACTCGCAGTTGTTTGAGAGCTTGATTTAAAACAAAACCTGTAAACCGAAAAAGATCTTTTGACCGAATAGCTCTTTGGTATGTATCTATCATTGTTCTTACACAATGTAGGTAGCCACACATGGTAAGGAAGGCAAAAGAGAGAGGTACTTCGCAGATGACGACAATTATGATCTGAAGGAAATGGTGAGAAGAGAGAAAACGAACTCTGGACGAAATGATCCCATGATGGCAAAAATGTTCAAGGTAATCAAAGGCACGCAATGTGTGCATATTTGCATATTATTTCGCGGCTTAAAACTCCAACAAAAGCAATTATATCTATGCAGTGCGCACAGATCACAGTGGTCCGTGCTTGCCTAGGTTAAGAATGCCGAGACGGTATAGTCGTTTGTGAGCCAAGAAGGGCAACAGATTTCACAGGTATACATTCAAAATACATTTATCGCTCATATAAGTGGCCTACTATCGCTAACTATTTCCGTTTGTCACTTTTCTCCACGCGATTGAAAAGTGACAGTCAGAGATTCATCTGCGTTCTTAGACTACAGCTTTAAGTTTAGAGCGCGTAGCACACGTTTTCTCAGCCCAAAAGTAGCCCACCCCTGGTAGGAAAAACATGGTATACCTGAGCATATTTTATGACGGGGAAATGAAAAAAAAAATGGCTGTAAAGAAGACGAGTAAGAAATTGTTTAGTGTATTTTGTCATCACTTTGTTATAAACTTTTTCAGAGAGCGAAATGTGGCCTTAAGTTGGCTTCATTCCATACGACGTTCTGTTCGGAAGCTGAGTTTCAGATACTAGGAATCAAGTTCAGTTGAAAGATAGTTAACACATTCCCTCGGCATAGTTGGGTTCAGAGCCTTTGATAAAAGTTGGAGGGTATATTTATACAAATGATCATAAACGAATGTCTCTCCATGCAGGCAAGCACAAAATTCTCCGACGACTTCGACATAGACGACCATTTTGTGTCATCTGCTGCCCAAGAAAGATCTGCAGCCGAAATTGAACAACGGGAGAAGCAGAGAGCTATTAAAGGTGAGTAAAGCTCTTAATTAGCACAACCCGACAGAATATACCGTCCATATTGTAGCAAAAACGTGACACTTTCTCCTGTTCCAGAGCAAGTATTTAAGAACCCCAGATGGCGAATTTAAGTGATAAAATTCGGTTGTTTTGAAACTTAACTGGATAACAGACATACTTATTATAGTCATTTAAAAAAAAAAAAAACTTAAGTCTGTACTGGAGCCAAGTGGCCCTGCTAGCCGGAGCTTGTCCCAGTTTCCTTCGCTTGAAACGACAAGGAGTATCACCACTCCTCCCCTCCCCCCCCCCCATGGGATGCCAGTCCATCACGAGGTTACCCCCCAGCAGATGACAATTCACCGGATTCTCCTGGGTGGAGAGAGGCATGGTGAGAGTAAAGTGTTTTTCCCAAAAACACACCTCAGTGACCCAGCCTGGTCTTGAACCCAGACCTCTCGACCCGCAGACCAGCGCAATGATCATCAGCCCACCGTGTCTCCCATTTATGATGTAAATTAATTCGATGTGTTTTGCTGTTTATCATTTCATCCAGAACATAGACAGTTGGCTGCTCAACTTGCACGATGTCGCTTCTGTTTTGAGAACCCTGACATCGCCAAACATCTCATTATTGCCATAGGACTCAAGGTGGGGTGAGCTGTGTGTTATTTTAGGCTTATCCCTGTACACCCTAACATCAGTATCCATATTCTCCTTGCTCTTCTCTATACGTTTCCTTTATTACTACCAAGGAGAATTGGTAGAGAGAGAGAGAGAGAATCAGAACTTCTTAGGTGGGTGATCGTTTTCTTTATTCTCATGATCGTAATGAATGACTCAGCAGTATTACTGTGAGGAGAAAGTAGGCGCTGGTCACTCTTAGGGTTCAAAGAGTTAAGGTAGGGTGTAATGTGCCTGTGCAGGTTAGCAGTAAGTAGCTACTGTGAGAAATGTTTTAGAATCAGAGACAATCCTTGATATTTTATGATGGGCAAAAACAAAATGGATAACTGTGAAGGAACCGACCTGGAGTCCATCGTGCGAACTGTTAGTCCACCTCGCCTACCGCATAAGAGATTGTTAAGAATCTTACTTCTCTTTATGTAGGCTCGATTTCCGTCGTTTTCTTGAGTCCGGTCTTTGATCCCCCTCCCCCCGTGACTTGGGGGGGGGGGGTAGGGTGAGTGCCGGCTCATTTCTCGAACAGCGGTTAGTAATCGAGTCTACTCTTCATGATGTCTACAAGAAAGTGTGTATTTTTCTAGGTTTACCTGGCGCTTCCTCTGCACGAGTCTCTCACAGAAGGTCATTGTCTCATCATTCCAATGCAACACTGTTCTGCAGCTACCATGCTGGACGAAGACGTTTGGAGTGAAATTCAGGTTTGGTTTTGAAACGATCGAATTTATTGGGATATTTAGAATTTTTAAATTTTTCCCAGATGGGCATTATCGGTTTATTTTTGGTATTCAACGCTTTTGCTATCTCCACACAGATTTACAAAAAAGGCCTCACGAGAATGTTTGAAGAAAAGGTAAGAAAACGTTAAGCTATCCACACTGTAACTAAGCCTTGAACTCCTGAGATCTCGATATCAATTCTCCTTTCTGTCTTCTATACATTTCCTATCACTTAAACGTTAAGAATTTGATTCTAAATCAAACAATTTCCTATTGTAGATAAATTTATTTCTTCTCATCACCTTTTTGGTTCACACTGTGTTGATGTTGTAAGGAGAAATTGCTTGTTGGTCACTGTTGAGAAAGAAGGGGTCAAACCCAGATAAAGAGAATGCAACTGCTTCTAGTGATCTTTGACATTTGTCAATCAATTGGAAAGCTATCGATTAAGCCTTCTGAACGAAAGTTTTCAGGACAAAAAAATCTGCGGCAAGGGCAAAGGAAAAGTATTCTCGACTTCCGGCAGCCTGTACGTCGTGAAAACGCTGTGCCCAAACTCCCTGATTATCACTGATTACTGAAGAAATGTTTTATTCTCCTCAGTTGTGTGCCTGACTTTGAGTTGGGAGAAGTTGAATAGTCAATCTTATTTTACACAGGAGGAGGACGTGGTTTTTATAGAAACCCACAAACAGTTGCGGAAACAGCATCACATGATTATCGAATGCATTCCTCTCCCCAAAGAAGTTGGAGATATGTCTCCCGTTTATTTTAAGGTGGGACCCTAAGCCTAATGATTAAAAGAACCTGTCCAATTCTACAAAAGACTTTCGACTGCGCTTTGGAAATCATTCACAAAATCTTCCATTTTTCAAATATTGATCTTCAATGTTTAAAAATAACTTTAAAGTTTAAATGCTTACGTGGAATCAAAGAATCTAAGAGAGCAAGCGTATTTCTTTGAAGCTCGAACCGTTTCGAAACTGCAACAAGCGACGGAAGTAGTCATGGCTCTCCATGGACAGGGCTCCAATGTTATAACAAATTGGCTAATGGACTCCAGAAACTGGCCCACTTTTGCATGTCCAATGTTTGACCGCTGTGCCATGCTTCGCTTCGTGATTTACCTTACGATTATGAACCCGAAGTCGCTTTGAAAACCAGCCGTTCTGGCAAGTAAAAGAGTCTTGGCACATAATTGCCACAAATAGATTGCGTGTGTGTGTGTGTGTGTGTGTGTGTGTGTGTGTGTTAGGTTCACGTCGTTAATTTCTAATAAATCTCATTTGTTTTCCTTCAAACAGAAAGCCATATTGGAATCGGACACAGAATGGGCACAAAACGTGAAATTGGTGGACACAAGGAAGAAAGGACTGCGTGTATCAATTCCTAAGGGTCTTCCATATTTCAGCGTCGAGTTCGGACTGGATGGGGGATTTGCACATGTCATCGAGGACGAAGCGCTGTTTCCTTTATATTTCGGCAAAGAAATTATCGGGGGTATGCTCGACCTTGAGCCGCAGAGATGGAGAAATCCGCGGCGTGAGAACTTTGAGCATCACAAGAGAAAGGTGCTGCAATTTGCAGACTGGTGGAAACCTTACGACTGGACACGAAAGATAGAAAGAGATTGAAAGATGTCGCCTAAAATTATATACACGGGATCAAGTGTGCTTTCCAGAGAGACTCGGTCTCTAGTCTCAGATAAGAGACACGAGAAGCCTCGGTGGAAGGAGTCAAGATATATTCAGTCGAGTGTCTTTAGCCCAAACCCAAAGTAAACACAACTGCCAGTAAGATAGGAAAGAGTCTGAAGGAGCCGATGAGAACTCATAATGAAAACAAGTGAGCTGCCTAAAGCGTGAGAAAACGCGAGTGAAGAGGGTGGCGTGAATCACTCAGCTGGGTGGAGCAAGACCACTTAAACACACAAGTCGCTCTTCAAATGTGCCTAGTTATCAGTGCACAGTGCATAACGAGAAATGAAAGCCTTGGGAAATGTGACCCTCGGACAATTGGTTTAGAATTAAACCAGGACAGAAGGATTCAATTTATTTATTGCTCGGTACATCGAGTCTATCGAAAAAAAAAAAGAATCTGGCGAATTTTAATTATAATCAGAGTTCAAACCGCTTGAAATAGGCATTTTCTAAATTAACAATGTTAATGAAACTTTGAACAGCGACAGCATTGAAATAGGCTGTTTATTTCCTTGTGATCTAATTTTTTTCTGCATAAAAGAATGTAGCATGAAGCGCAAACCTCTATCCCATTCTTTTTCCGGTGGATGAGGGCAACGCGGCCTTAGGGAACGAGAATTCATGTACAATTCATCATGCGCTTGTCGATTTTAAATATCTTCGGTTTTATAAAACATACAGTATTTCCCGTGACAGAAGTGAATTACTTTGTAAAGAAACAAAATGTGAAAAAATTTTTAATGCGAGATAGTTAAAAACAGCGATTCGAAACACATGAAGTTCAGCGCTTTTGAGAATTTGCTTTGACATGATCTCATATTGCGAGACCTTACCGAATACCTGTCCCTCGACAGTTCGATTATCGCCAATAATTTCACGGAAAGCTGTGACGCTTTAAAATAACTTAAAGATAGTATCATTGTTTTTCTTTTCGGTACCTCAACAAATGGTAATTTTCCATCACATTCCATTGTATGCCGGCCCCCCACCCCCCTCGGGAACTACCCAGTCGATATTCTGTCTGGGATCTTTAATGTCACATGTCTTGCAGTGCAGACAGTTCTGGGCGTTAATTTGCAACCTCATTCCATCTCCCTCCTCCTTGGGGACGTATTCATAGACCCCCGCGGGGCAAAATCTCTGCTCGGGTCCGTCGTAAATCGCCAGGTTTATATCGACGGGTACGGAGTCATTCCGTAGGGTTAAATGCGCCGGTTGATCCCCCTCGTGGTTTGTTCCGCTGAGAGCAACAGAAGACAGCAAATCAAAGGTAACTTCTCCGTCGGGTTTAGGGTACTCAATCTCTTTACATTCTTTGGCGGGCTTTAAGTGTTCCGCATCAGGTTTGCTGTTTTTCAGTGTCCATGGCTCCTTGCCGCGAAATATGTAATAGAAAATACCCGTATACAACATGGTGCCATATAAACCCAAGGGGCTGTGGAAAGAGGGTCTTATGTTGCGCACGCTCTCAAGTTCCTTCCAGATCCAGCTCTCCCGTAGCCGTGACTCGTATGAATCCACAAGCAGGCCTGACACAGAAAAGGAAAGGCACACGATGTGACTTTGAATGATTGCAGTGAAAAGGGGTATTACAAACCCGACAATGGGATTAAAACAGATAAAGAGTAATCAAAATTAAATTACAAATAATGACTTCACTCTTTCACTCTCATGATCTCATTAGCAAAATTCCTCCATGTCCACCATACAATTCTTATGATGGTAGTTCGAAGAATTCGGTATTGGATTAGTTACTGATCCCCTAAGTCATATTTTGCTTTATTTTTGTCACTAATCTGCTCGATATTGTAAGGAGAAGTCCTACCTTACACCCTCAGGGGAGTTAAAGCAGTTAAAGCAGTGATGATAATAAGAAAATAACCTAACGTGACAAATTGTATGCTATGGCAGCAAATAGCGGGCGATCACCGCGCAACTGTCTGCTAAAAATCAGGTTTTGACTGGCAAAAGTTTCAATACCTGGTTGGACATTTTTACAGAGCATTTGAGATCCAGTGTAAAAAAAGTTTTGTCCCATGAGATAGGCTTCTTGTCAGGTCAAAACTACTCATTGACAAATGACTTTCTAATCGACAAAAACTTTTTATCGGCTTGTTTCCCATACTGCAAAACGTTAATTAAATAAATTTTTAGTCAACTCTTCACCCTGTGTAATATTCAATTTTTTATTACCGTTAAGACTGTCCCAATCAAATTTAACTTATTTACAAGAAAGAGAATTCAGTACAAATACCTTGTGTATCACAGGAAAAATTTTCATCAGTTATTGCTTCAAATACACTTTCTGCTGCAAGCATGCCAGACTTCATTGCAGTATGGGTTCCCTTGATCTTTGGAACATTCATGAATCCAGGACTACAGCCGACAAGAAGACCACCAGGAAAGGCCAGTTGGGGTATAGACTGAAAATACAATGATTAAATAATGAAAATAGAATAAATAAGAAATCACAAGATAGGAGGTCATTGGAAAGGGCCTAAAGAGTTTGATAAAAATGTTCCAACCTGATATCCACCCTCGTTGAGTGCCCTTGCACCGTAAGCTATCCGTTTGCCTCCTTCAAATGTTGGCTTTACCGAGGGATGAAGCTTGAAACGCTAGAGTGCAACACATAATCAATTAATAGGATCACTTTAACAAGAACTGAAGGATCTTTGCTCTGGGCACAAAGCTGTAAAAGACACTAGCATGAAACTTAGAATTCCGCCAGGCCATTTTTGAATTTATGCTTCCACCATGTGTGTATACGCACTTGATCAGAACTGAGCATAAAAAGTAATAGACTCACAATGTGTTCTTGGTTTGTTCCTTTAACACTTTAAATCCCAAGATCTCATTAGTAATTCTCCTTACTGTCTGCCAAATGATTCTCATTATGTTAGTTTGGATGATTTGGTATCAGATCAATAAGTACTCCCATAATTGATAATTTTCTTTATTCTCATCACTTGTCTGCATGATATTGTTTAGATATATTAAGGAGAAATTCTGTCTTGGTCACTCATGGGAGTTAAAGGGTTAACTCCTTACACCCTAACATCAGTACATTACATCCTCTGTATTGTTCTCTAGACATTTCCTAAGGTGTTGACAAACATAAATAAACTTTCCATGTTTAGAGTACATGCTGAAAAGTAAAAGACAAAATTTGTATGACACAAGTTACCTGAAATTCTTTGAATGGGTACAAATAGGGATTGCTGTAATCCAATCCAACCTAAACCAGAAGCAAAGATGCCATGTCATAAAAAAAAATTGAAAACCAAAAATTTACCATACTGGTAGACACAAAATGCCACCATTTGCCACTGCTAAAAGCTGAATTTCTTGTGATGTCCATTTGTCATCCACTTACCACAAAACCAGCAGCAACCAAAGGTGTTTCCTCATCAAGGTGATACAGAAATGAACCTCCATATGTGGTTTTATCCTGTTAGAGGAAAAAGTAAAAAAATCCTCATAGGGAGTCTCTTGGAGATACCATGAGTCTTTAAGTTTTACTAAAGATCACATTAAGAGTGCATCACACAATTCAGATAATTTCAATCAAAACATACCAGAGGCCAGCCAACAGTGTGCTCTACTCTTCCAGGATGGTGTTTCTCAGGAGCTACTTCCCAAAGCTACATAAAAACAGCCTTGCATTAGACACTATATAACTTCTGGCTTTAACTAAGGGCTACCACACAAAACTTCAGCTCTTGAATCTCTTTACGATTGGCCTGTGTCCATTATCAACTCAGTTGATAACATCAAATCATCTGGTAATACCAAGCCCCACATAGCACCACTGTTTCTTTGAAAACTAACACTTTTTATATGAGTTCTGGGTCTATGTACTGATCTAAAATCACAACTTTGATTATTCAATGGAGGTTGATAAGGTTTATAAACCACTGGAGCAAATTTTAAGAAGCTAATATTTTTAAGAGTCACCCTTAGCCTTTCACTGGTGCAAAGTGTTGCAAGGTTAGTGATCACACTGTCAGATATCAACTTTTCACAATTCACTTTGACCTTTCATGTACTGTTTACAGCTTTCAGTGGATAATCAACTCAATGCTTCACTTTCTTTCTGGCAGAGCACAGCACTGATGACTTTGATCATGCAAGAAAATAATTGTTAATACTTTAACTCCCTGAAGAGATATACATGTATCTTCTCCCTACAATATCCATACATTTGCCAGGGAAAGGGTTACAAGAATGCCTAAACTTATCAGGTGAAACTTGCTAACTAGATCTAACACCAAATTCTGGTAAATAATTTACAAGGAAATGTCTAGCGGTTAAAGGGAAAATTAGAATCAGAGCTTAAGGGTTACAATCAGCCAGAAATCCTTGTCAAAATATACAGAACTAAAAGGGATACACCCAAAAATCTTGAGAGACCAATAAAGAAATATGAAGAACACCAACTTATTACTTAAACTACAAGTCAAGAATTACCTCTTTGAGCCCAATTGCATATGTTTGTGGATCACAATTTTCACGCAGGTTGAACTTCTTGTACAAGTTCTTGGCCAGATAGCCATGACATCCCTCACCAAATATGGTCACTTTTGCATGAAGTTCCATGCCTCGCTCAAATGTTGGCTGTGATTGAATGCATACACCATCATCAATTCTCACATTGATCTCATATTCTCAAAACAGTCTTTATAGTGAATGTATGACAGAGAGTTAGGAGAATTTTCAATGAGATCTTGAGTCAGAATACTGATATCAATGACCACTCAGCCTTATCTTTCTATTTTCAACCTTGCTAATCCTCGGTTCCACTACATTAAGATTTCCCTTTTACACAGACCATTTCTATCAAACACAAGTAAGCTATTATTATGATAACATTCTTTCATGGTGCATCATGCAGGTTGAAACATCTGCTTACCTTAGGAGCGCCATCTTTTTGGATACCAACATCATTTGTAGCAATTCCCTTAATGCTGCCATCATCGTGATACAGCACCTAGCAATGGGTCATGAGGACAAATTCAAAACTAAAAATAAAAACATACCATTCTGATACATGTTACTTTGACTTCGACCCTTTAATTCTCTTAAGTGATTAACATGTAACTTCTCCCTTTAATATCCATATGTTATCCAACAAACAGGTAATGAGAACAATCAAACTGATCAGGAAGAAGTTGTTATCTTGATTTAACACCAAATTTTTGTAACCCATTTATAAAGAAATATGTGGCAGCTAGGGGGAGAATCTTGCGAGTTAAAGATGTTAGGCCATAAATTTTCTTCCCTACTGAGGTATGACCCAATCCTACAAAAAAATTATGTTAGTAGATTCTTATTCAGTTTCAGAGTACTTGAACTAACGTCCTTTGTCTTTTTTTTTTTTTTTTTTTTTTTGGGGGGGGGGGGGTTAAAATTTATTATCTCATGTACAAATTCTGGGCAAGATTCCTACTATGAGTGACAACTCACTTCACTGGCTGCATATCCAGGGTATATTTCCACACCTAATGCTTCAGCTTGCTCACCCAGCCAACGAACAACATTTCCAAGACGTACAATGTAGTTACCATGGTTGTACATGGGCAGCCCTGATGAAATAAGGAAACAAAAATCTAGATAATCAAACATCATTGTCATCATCTCTTTTAAATCTAATGAAGCTATTCCAGGTTACAAAACACTGTTTATAGTATTGTTTTGTGAGGGGGGGGGAAAGAGAAAAAGAGATCTAGAGAGAGAGGGAGAGAGACGGAGAGAAGAGATTTCCAATGAAGGAGTCCCTATTAGGAGGTTTGCAGTGTCAAAACCATGCCCTTGTGCTCAATTTGCATTTGCTACTTCACAAACTTTGTTTCCTTCCCTCCCTTCCATTTTATGGTAAAAATATAAAATCAACATGCAATTATGCCAGTGTACTTTTGACAGGTAACTGTGGGTGGGCTGAAGTTTGGTAATCATGGCCACCACTGTTACTTTAAAATACACCTATCCTCCCATGATCTTGACAAAGTGTTTTTAAATAGCACTTGCTTAATAGTGACTCCTACTTTAGATCCAGTTGCTTGTGTACATATCTCACCTGGCAGTATGGGGACAGGAATCCTTCCAGTCTCTGTGAGAATTGCAAATTTATCCTCCTTTACCAGTGTATTGAGAGGTGCCTAGTAAAGCAGAAAGCAGTTTAATAAAAACCAAAGCAAAGAAAAAAAAAATCCTTATTCCTTATAATATGGTTTACTGTATTTACCCATGTATATTGCGCACTTTTTCCCTATAAAAATAAGCATCAAAATCGCGGTGCATATTGTACATGGATTCTATTGTTTGTTAAACACATCCTAATTTGCATACATTAAAAACGCAACAAAGAAAGTAAAAGTCCGTGGATCGGTGGCCTAGAGAGAAAGAGCTTGCTTGTTTACGACTCATTTGAAGCTCATGTGACAGATACTGTGAATGCTTCCTTCAAACACGAACTTCCCTTCTCCAGCCACTCGATGTATCTTTGAACAAACCGTTTAGAGATGGAGTCCAAAAGCAGTGGATGGCTGATGGAATTCATGAATTTACTGAACAACAAAAAAAGGCTTTGGAGGAACTGATCAGTTTGTAGATTTCGCAAGCGTAGAAAGCCATTCCATCAGAAATGATCGCTGCCTCTCTCTGAAGTGTGGGATCACAAAGAATTTGGATGGATCACAAGATGAATCGGTTTACAATTCAACCAAGATCACTGATGAACTTGATGATTCAGTCATCAAAAACTTATTTGAATCGGACTGCAAGTCGGAATTTGAAGGTTTCGTTGTTTAAAGACACTGAACATTTTGCTTAAATCATGCAATTGCAATGCAGTGATGATATTTGAGCTACCAGCAGTGCTGTGAGTAGAAATAATGTTTATGAATGGCTTTTATGATAATAATTCCAGTTGTGAATTTAGGTATATTAATAAGGACTTCAAGTTACAACATTTGTAAAACGTTTGACTGTTATTGAATAGAAAAGCTTGTAAATAGGTGCTCGGTGCATGTGATATTTTGTAGTAGCAACTAGTTAGAAATTGTTGTAAACATATTATTGATGAATTCCCAGCTCTTGTTAATTAAGTGAAAAAATGGAAGTTCTAATTCTTGGTATTTGTCCTGAAATATTTTTTTTTGGAAAAAAAGAGGTCAAAAGTTAGGGTGCATATTATACACGGGTGTGCATTATACAAGGGTAAATACAGTAATTTCAAACTTAAGCATTTGGCTACTGATAATATGACCTTTTATGGTTGAAAAAGTTAGATGACATAAGAAGTTTGAGCAATTTGGTAAAATTATTCAAATGAAGATCTCAAGGAAAACATATTTCTTTTAACATTATCAGAACATTAGAATAAGTCTGCTGAAATTTCTTGCTCTGATGGTAATAGTTTCTCCTTCCAACTTTATTCACATGCATTAAACAGATCTGGACAACATGACAACCAAGAGGCAGATTTTTGTATAACCACAAAATTCACCATGTACACTGTTCTTTGATCAAAGCAAACAATGGCCAGAAAATTGATCACATTTGGACTAAAGCATTGTTTAAGAATATTATGAACTACAACAAAAAATATTTTCCACAAAGTTATCAACGAGGAGTTCTCTTTGCAAAACACTTAAAATTGTTTCATTTGGTTCACTTAGAAATGTGTGGCACCAAGAAAGAGTAATTACAGGTTAGATCAGATCCCAGGAGTACGGGGGCTAACTTACCCCTTTGTCTTTCCAGTCAGGAATAAGTTCATTAAGTGCTCTTGGCTCCAGGCAGGCACCAGAGAGAGTGTGTCCACCTGAAACAAGGGATTGTAATAAAAAGTGAACTTGATGAAGTGAAAAAAAATTAAAGAACAAATTGTGGATTAACTGTGCTGTCCTTTCTACCAACGAGATGAGAATGACAGCTGCACCAGAGTTTACTTACAACATGTGTCTGAAAAATGCAAATTTGCACTTGTCTCAGGAGGGGTGGATAGGGGGTGTGAATGAGGGGTGTCCCAGAATCCTGTCCGTCTCAGTAACATACGTCGGCCGATCAAAAATGAACAAAATATAAATTTATTTTTCTCACATCTCTTCAATGTGACTCAAAGGGCTGAAAAATGTTACTTTAAATGGTTAACCAACCCCATGAAGCGTACGATTAATGCTATGCTCAATTCAAACGTAGCAAAGACAGAAACAAGAAAAAGAGTGCGGAAATCCTACCGATTTCGGCAGCTTTCTCGACAAGACAAACTCTAAGTTCTTTCCCTGTTTCTTCAGCCAATTGCTTTAGTCTGATTGCTGCTGATAAGCCTGCCGGTCCTCCACCAACTATAACTACATCGGCTTCGTCCGAAAATCTCTCCATGTCTACTTCTGCAAAAATATCAAATACAGTTGCGTCTGACATAGTGGGAGCACAGGACTGCGTTAATCTATGTCACAGAGTAAAGCAATAAAATCACCTGGTGAAGCAATGCTTGAAAATTAAGAAAAGTAAAACATTACCTTTCCATCTTGGATCAGTTTCTCGCGGTACGACGGTGTAATGAGTCGTTAGTTTGGGTACAGCTTCACTTGAGCAAAGTCTGTTATGTAAGACTGGTCGCAAGGCTAAACGAAATAACAAGAAGACGAACACCGTAAGATCAAGCGCGGTGTGGCAAAAAACGAACGAACGAACGACTTTGTACCTCTGTGCCCACTTTTACCAAGACTCAAGACACGATTGTTCCACATGTGTGCGTTGATCAATAGTTGAGAACCAAAGTTAAGGAAAGTGTGATATGAAAGTCCATCGATGAAGATTATCAACACAGGAAACACGCAACAATCCAAAGGTCGAACTTTGCGCACGTAGAGTTGTGCGTTATACCGCTGAGTAAAGCATCTTGACCGAAGAGAAAACGAAGTTTTACGAACGTTTCACGACTGTAACACGAACCTCAACGAATAAACAAGCTCCGACAACAATATTATTTTGATTGGGAAATTGGCGACTGGAACGTTTCGAAGTGAAAGTAACAAGAGGAAACGAACGATTTGTGGCTTGATTTTCCTTCCAACTCTATGATTTAAGGAACAATTATTCCGCGCGTTGACTTATTACGCGCATTGATTTTGCGTGGCATAAGTACTTTGCTTTCAATGTGTGTTGGAACTGGAAATGTCCGCAGCTGGTTACGACCAGTCGTCATTTCTTTGTATTTTGTGGTTCTATGTGTTGCACTTCCCCTCACTGTTTGGGAATTGCACAGATTCAGAGCTGAAACTCACGTGCAAGCCTGGTTTATCGCAGGATGTTTTGTTTTTTTGACAATTCCCATCTCCCTCTGGGGAATTGTCCAGCATATGGTAAATTATACCAAACCAGAGTTACAGAGACGAATTGTAAGGTAGGTGGAAAAAGGGGGAATGTTTACCTTCAGTTTCTTTAATCAAGAATCAGCATCATACTAATATCGTATACTGTTTGGGGGAAGGTCCAGAGGTCAGTATTAAGACTTGTGACAACTGCCTTAGGTGGTTTCATAATTAAGGGATGGTGATGAACACTGAAAGGTCTCCATGGTGATCTGTCTTCGCATGATGAGGACCTCCCTTTGAAAGTTTTGGAGACCTTCCATAGGAGGTGTGGTGGCTGAACTCAACTGAAATCAAGGGGTTTTAAAGGGAGCCCTTTGTATAGAGTACTACCAACAGAAAAAGACCTTTACTGATGCAAGAAATGATTTTTCAATTTGTTTGTTCACAGAATTATTTGGATGGTTCCAATTTATGCAACAGATAGTGTAAGTAAAAGTTTTAATTTGCTGTGTAACATTCATAATCTGTGTTAGAAAGTATAATAAACAAAAAAAAGGTTTGACAGGGAACTGAATCTCAGACCTTCTTATGTCTGGGTGGATGCTCTGCCAATGAGTTCCCAGTGGCAACATCATGTCTGGGATTTTAAAAGTATAACAGTTAGTGTTCTCAATCTTTTATTTTAGTGGCTAGCTCTTCGTTTTCCAAAGGCAGCTATATACCTGGATTCCCTGCGAGAATGCTATGAAGCTTACGTGATATACAATTTTATGACATTCTTGTTGGCATACCTCAACACTGAGTATGACTTTGAAGAGAGACTATCCCGCAAACCTCAAGTAGATCATTTTTTTCCATGCTGTATCTTGCCACCATGGAAGATGGGCAGGTGAGAAAAATCTTGGATTTTTCTTGTGAAACTCAAATTATTGAATGCAACAGTTGAATCCTATAAAGTGCATTTTGTTATTAATGATTGCTGGAAAATATTTCTATTCTTATGAAAATTGGATTATTCATTTAATCAAACTCCTGTACCTAACCACATGGAACACGGAATCAAAATTGTTTCTTTGTATCATGAGACAGGTCATGATAACTTTTTTTAAATAAAGTTTAATTCAGTATGTTGTAGTGATTGTTGTATTGACTGAATACTGCCAGTCTTCTTAAGGTGATAAGAAAGATTGGATATGCATCACCTTATGAACCATCATGCTTTGCTGCAATTGACTGGTAGAACTGAGCCTGTCAAAGCCTGAATTTCCTTTGGCTTATTTTTCTGCACTCTCTTCAGGTACAGTTCACCTGAAATAACAAGTCAAATTTTTCTTTTTCCAAGGACATTGATTAATAGGTGTAAACAAGGTGCCTTATCTTACACAGTTATTAGAATCCTGACAACTGCGATTGCTTTGTAAGTATCACAACTGACTTGCTATTGTGTTTGCAAAAGTGTATTTTGAGTTACATTCAAACTCACTTTTCCCTTTCATTTTTCCTTTTTTTTGGCAGCTGTACAGAATTAGCTGACAAATACCATGAAGGAGATCTGAGCTTCAAATCTGCATGGAGTTATATTGTGGTGATAAACAACTGTTCACAAGTGGTATGCATATATTTCTGGGAAGGCTCTAACTTTGCTTATTATACTTAGGCCTGGCCTTGTTTGGCAGTCAAAAATTGGTGTTTTTTTGTTTTGTTTCAGTGGGCGATGTATTGTTTGGTGTTGTTCTACAAAGCAGCTCATGATGAGCTGAAGCCTATAAAACCCTTTGGAAAATTTTTGTGTATAAAACTTGTGGTTTTTGCATCTTTCTGGTGAGTGATTTTTAACATGTTACATCATAATTAAGCGAAAAAGTAGCTTTCTCTATTTACTGGTATCCATGCAGGAGACATCAAGGTTGTAGCTAGAAATTTCTAAAGGGGGATCCCATTGTGTGACACCCAGACTACCTACCCTGTTGTCATACCAACATCCATTTTGTGTTTTACTACAGACAAAAATTTTCTCCTAGCCTCCCTCACTAAGAAAACATTTCATGAAGATAGATTTAAAATCACTGTTCCTTTAGACCTTACTATAAATTTGCATTAGAATTCTACATTTTGTGTTTTAAAATTGGTTTTCATTCTTAGGCAGGGTGTCTTAATCGCTGTTTTGGTTAAGGTATGCCTCAATACAAATTAAAATGTTCTTATTATTAATTCATGATATGGTTAGAACAGAATGCCCCTCAAAAAAAGAAGATATTGTTCCTTGCAGAATTGTCTTTGAGATGGTAACTGATCCTCAAAAAAATTTGAACTAATCTTGAGAATGTTTCGTAGGTAAACAAATGGGTTTGACATGTCTATGAGTCTAGTTTAGAATTAAATTGCAACAAAGTCTATCACAATGGCCAATCAGAGAATACTAAAAATCACAAGGAACTAATTATAAAATTATTTTTGTAAATATTGTCTATTACACCAAAATGTGAAAGACCAAATGATGATTGATTTATGTCTTGCATCTGATTGATTGGGCAGATGGCACAAGTTTCCTATACCAATCACAGGCCAATGCATTAAACCGATTCAACACTAGAGTGAAAATTTCCCTATTGCACTCTGCTGCCTTTTTACCATCCTACCAAAAAACAGAACCTGTTTTTTCTATAGGTTGGGGTGATATCAGAGAAACACACTTGGGTCTTTTACACAGTGGAGGATGTTGCCAGTGGCATTCAGGTAAGGAAGGGTTCAATAAATGAAGTATAAGAGTTAATGAATTGCCACTTGGGGATTAGCGATAGGGCATGTGCTACATGTGCTCTTTCTTGTCATAAATAGACTGTTCCTTTGAAAATTGGAATCATATGACAAGCTGAGTTATGCATATATTTTGATTGGCTTTTTCACATGATCTATTTGAGGACATTTGCATAGATGGCATCAGCATTAACAGCATTTTTTAAAATTTTATCATGATATTAAACCAAAGAGATTCCATGTTGCCATGGGTCTGTAACGAAATAGATCACAGAAGTTATCAAAAAGGGTTAGAACATAAGTGAAACACTTGGCTGCACCTTGTGTGCCTGTTTTTTGTTCTTTCCACATTTTGACATCACCTGTGATATATTTCTGAACAAACACACAGTAAAATTGAATCTGTGGAAGCTTAGTCTCTATGACTTTATGATTAGTCTTCCCTTAAAAAAGCTTTTGTTGAAGGACCAAATTCAACCAATTGACAAGTGTATTATGATGGTGTTCACAACATGGATTCCCTCTTATGAAACCAATCTTTGATTGTCCCTGCTACTTATCCCCTTTCTCTTGAAGAGATGGTACATCCTAATGGTACATCATAATCCTTGGCTGTGGCCCAGCTGGTTAAACCCTGACACATCAAAATAGCAAGCAGGAGTTTACAGACTAAAATCATAAATGACTTAAAAGAACTTCAGATCAATATCAGTATCTGGGCAACTACCCACCTACCCCTCCCCTAACCCAACATTAACCCCAACTTGTTATCAATTGACTATTGTTGAGGTTGGGGAGGGGTAGGTGGGCAGTTGCCCAGATACTGATATTGATCCAGAACTTCTGTAGCACCCAGGATACTTCTACCTGGTTAAGTCCTGCTTTGAAATCCAAAGACTGGTTCCTCTGAACATGTTATTAGCCACTACTATCAGTTCCTTCCTTTTTCTGCTTTTATACTCCTAACATCATAAAACTAACTTATCCTAACCGAATACCCCAAATTTATTACTTGGCTAACACTGAGAATTATGCATTATCTCCTAATAATGAAAATTTTGCAGGCAGTTTGAAGACAAAAATTTTTTAACCTAATTAAGCAATCAGGTATGCTACCTTACAGGTGCAAACTCTCTTTTTACTTTTGTTTTTTTTATAGGATTTTATAATTTGCGTTGAGATGTTTATATTTGCCATCGCACATTATTACACCTTCTCTCACAAACCGTACGTGGATCCAAATTCACCCCCTCCCCCGTGCTGTTCGTCGTTTGTCTCTATGTGGGACGTGACAGACGTTCGTGACGACCTCGTGCTGCAAGTGCAGAGCGTGGAGAGCACCGTGAGAGGTGCAGTCGACGTCGTGCGGAACAAACGCGGTCAAAACGCAACGAAGGGAAAGGGTAACAGTACCGAGGCAACGCCCTTGTTGACAAGACAGACCTCTGTGGATTCATCGTCTGATGAAGCGCCCGTCATTCCTTGAAAACTGCACGTTTCGAACGCTCGATCATGACAATTAAAGGAACTTAATGTGTCAAGACTAACAATGCGTCTCTCAGGTCGCGTTTATACTAATTTAAACGAATTCGAAAAGGGACAAAAAAAAGCTAGATTTATTGATATTTTCTGTTTTCACTTTTAATTTTAATAATGGAATTAAATTATTGAATAATTAAGTAATGTTACCATTCATTGAATTTTGAATGAAGGGAAGAAAGCAAAACGTCACCCTTTGACTCCGAAGATCTTCTCTCAGTAGTTCTTCTCACTGTCTGTTATACAATTCTTATGTTGTCAGTTCGGAGATTTTTGTGCTGGATCAACTAAATAATCCCGTTTATTCTCATCACTTGTCTGCTTGATATGGTATTGATATAGTAAGAAGAAATTCTGTCTTGGTCATTCCTTGGAGTTAAAGGGTCAAGTCTACGCTAGAACAGATAAGGCCGTCAACCGCAGCTATTTATAAACCAAACCAGCAATTACAGACCGAGTTTATGTAATTCCTTCAAATATACACACGTAAACACACACGTTCTTTTAAACTGAAAGTGTTACGTCACGTGAAACACTCTGTCGAGTTCCGTCTCCTATCGGCTGTGTACTCGTTATAAAAGCAAAGGTTGTATATTTAATGAGGAAGTCTCATTGCCACCTTGTTCTACGTCGTGGTGTAACTTTAGGATGCTAAGCGTAAGTATTCGTACCTTCAAATAATTTCAGTCGCACGCACACATTATTTAGTTACGTGATTTATTAGTTGAAAGTGGGAACGTCTATGCTTTCACGCCGGCTAATACAAAATGAATACTTTTGTTTTTTTTTTCAAAGAGAAACTATTGCCAAGGAAGCGAGCGCTGTTGTTGCCGCTGATGTTGAACCATGAAATTTGCCAGCATCATTTTTAGCATGGCATTTTCTTTCTCAAGTTCCTCCATCTTCCTTGCGACCAAGCGATCTTTGTCTCTCTTCGCTTGCCGAGATTTTCTCGCAGACATGTTGTTGCGTGATCGATTTCTCCAGTATTTCTCATCTTTGCATTCATCCGGGACAGAGTACCTGCTTCTTTTCCATTTCTGATCAGAAACGCAATCAACAGAATCTAGGTTGTTCCTATCCTTTGGGTAAGAATGAGGAGAAAAATGACATTCGAAGGTGGCAACCTCTGTTGGAGAAGGACCGTAAGCATGTCTAGGTTGTACAGGGTTGAAAAACGTAACAGCAGCACCAACTTGACAATCCACACCCGCGTTCCTGTATGACGTCATCATATTACGCTGGTGATCCTCTGCAACATTTGTCTGTGAACCTCCTTCTGTTTGAAGAGATGAATCCAGGTTCTCAAGCCAATCAATGGCAGAGGAAGCCATATCGAGTCTGGTAAGTTCAGGTGTCAGTTGGAAATCGCAGTCGACATTAAGGGGGCTGTATAACTGAAAGTCATAGTAATCCTTGCCGTCGTCTGAGAAGACCGTTGAACAGGGTGAACTTCTACTTGATACATTTTCGGGAGATGGCAAATTTTGACAGAATCTTTCTCTGCCTGTCAGAGGGGTATAAAAGAAAAATTGAAAGATTGCGTGCGTTGAATTTTTATACATTATAGAACCCAAATTGTTAAAGCTAAACTGAAACATTTTCTACCCTTCTCGACCTTAATTCTGTACTGAACATACGAGGCCAAGGTTTCCTCAAACACCAAGCTTACTTTTTAGTCTGACCTCTTTGTACTAATCTCGTGTGCTCAAGCGGAAAATTAAAATCATCAACCTTTTTTTGAGGTTATGCTTCAGAGATACGACGCTTGAATCCCGAAATCTCCAATATCTGCGTGCTACTTATTCTAAAATTCAAGAAAGACGCATTTTTAAGTCGAGTAGTTCCATGAAACTGTTATTTTTTAAAACCTGGTCCTTTCATCGTCCACATAAAATTTTTAAGTGTTACTTTAGTTTTCGTTTATCGTTGATTATTTAATCGGCATCTTCAGTTTTCTTGAAAGTGAGGAGAATTTATGGTCTTATCATTCATGGGAGTGAGTGGGATTAAAGTCTTTGTGCATGGCGTCATTTAGAGAAGTACTTTGTGTTAAGGTATATATGGTATGGTCAGGATCTTCGAACTCGCACATTCCACACGCTTAAAACAACATAACAATTGCATGTTTTCGAAGGACAGCATTAAACCGGCTCCCGCAATAAAAAAAAATAGATGCTTTAAAATTTAGAGAGAGGTTTTAATGCTCGTTTTGTCACGAGTGTGCGACTAAAAATCCGACCCCCAAGAGGATTTCAATTTCACATCTCCGGTTTTGGCACACCTTTGCACTGCCTCGATTAAGGACCAGAGAGGTCTTTGATGGACAAGGCCATGTTACTAATCAGCCAAATACTTTTCCTTCTTTTTGCAGCTATCAAAACTTTATTTTGGCTTTCCTTTTTGGTAGATATTCTAATATATGTCGACCAGCCCTCTTGTTTCGCGGATTTGTTTTTGTTCCTGGTCAACATACCGTAAAATTATTATGAAATGAGTACATTTTAAATACCCGGTTTGCAAATCATTTACGAAGACCTTTAATATCAAGTGAAAGCTTCGAGCAGGCAAATTGATGCTGACTCTAACGAAAATAGAGTAAAGTAAACTGCTTGCATACTGTTCGGCGTCATGGTGAGACAATATTTTAAGTTTTGATCATGAGACATTTTAATTTCAAAAAACTCAAATCAGGGCCGTCCACACTATTCGGATTTTTGCATAAATTGGATTTATTGCAAAGTACTTCACGCAAATGGGAGTTTTTAGTTTAGTTTCGTGGACTGTTACAAAACCTAGCAAAATTAATTTGCCCACCGTAAACCGTAAATCGTGTGCACAAGGAGCTATGTCTTTGCCGATATCTTATGAAATTTATCTGGGATCCAAGATAATTAGCGAGGACTTTAATCTATTGTTTTACAAAAACTAGTTTTTTAAAAGTTGGGTTGTCGTACGAATTAACTTTAAATACTTGACGAAGGCTTAGGTTGTCAAAGAAAATAAATTCGGTTTAATTCAGCCACAAAAATAAATAACATGTGGTGGAATTAGAGATTGTTTTGACCAAGGTTATTCACTCGTGATAGTTGGGAGTGCCTGCATGAATAGGATGAACTGCTCTCCGGGAAGGCATACGAAATTTCTAGCTGAGCTGTTGGGTAAAGTTATCCCTCTTTTTAAACTACTATAATACTAACATTACCTGGGATGAATTTACGTGCGGCCATTTTTGAATTCTTGTAGTGGCTGCCTTAGTAAGATATCGTCCGTCGAGGCTTTGATCATCAACAAAAGCTATGACTTTTCAGCTTTTATTTGGAAGGTTCGAAGATATGCATAACTTGATGACTAAGAAAAAAAGTTGACAATTGTAAATGGGCATGGTTGAAATAAATTCAAAGAATTGGACACCTTTCTCCGGACTGATTTCCCTCGAGTATTTAAAATTCATTTATTGTTTTCATTTTGCTGGACTAGTGGTCTAGAGAACGAGACGGTGTAAACATTCAATTTGACGCCGTGGGCGTTAATATGCAGATAAGACGAGTAACATGGAGCTAAAAGGCAAACATTTATGTTCTGACATTGAGTCATTTGTTAGAAAAACTCGATTATGTCCGGAGACGTCTGAAACTTACCGAAGATGACACGAAACTTGCCGAAGATGTCATCATCATTAACATCCTTTTGTTTAGTAGTGCAGGTGAAAAAAAAATTGAATGCCAATAAGATCAACGTAGACCTATAATTTACAAAAATATTGAATCTCATATACTGATTGAACAGAGACTAATAAATAGGCACCCGTATTTATAGAATTTCTCTTCGAGTGTTCGACTCAAAATATCACGAGTGAAATGGTTATCCTGTTAGACGTATTTGCCAAATGTCTCATTCTTCTCAGGGCACCCACTTCTTTTGGATAGTTGTTTTGCTGTCCGAAAGCATTTCTAGTGTCTCGAAGGGTTAACACAAACTGGTCTCTAGTTCGGCCTCCTCTCTCACGAGTAAGGGTTTGACCGATGCGTATCGACTTTTCTTCACTCGTATCAATTCGGATTTGTTTTACGCGACAAAAATTTTTCATATGTGGCGGTCAGGGCTCTGATAGTTCGAATCTTTCCGCGCCATGGGCCTATTTCTTCAAAGTCACGGTAACATAACGGGCCCAAAAATATATTTTGAAATCGAAATCTAAAGAGTGGTGAAGCTGGCTCTGACGCTCTAACCAATCCATTCATTTTCTTAATTTTCAAAACTTTTTTAAACCTATCTTGAAGGGAAACAGAATAGTTTTACGAGCCCGTTACGTTACCGGAACCTTCGAGAAACCAAAGTGGGCCCTAGGTTCGATCCTGTGGGGAGCGAAGTAGTTCGGACGAGTGTTTAAACTGTCAGCGGAAAAAGACAGAAAGTTCCACACAGCAGGCTGACTTCGCTGAAAGAAGGACTGCTCATAGTCTGGTCAGATAGTTTACACGTGCATAACTACTATCAGAATTTTAGCCTAAGTCCATGAATCCTTCATTTACAGATGATAAATGGCGGGAAAATTTGTGGTCGTGTCATCACTGTTATGGTGACATTAACGAAGACAATGTAATTTCGAATGAAGTTGATTTTTCTAATATAAAATCATAATCTTTTAATCGAATAGTGATCATCCTTATCGAATGAAAATTATGTTTGTTCGCGTGACGTTGAATGTAATATCGAATGCCGGAAATTAGTTTTTTTTTTCAACGAATTGGAATATTTCCAACGGCTTAAAATCCACAATTTATCAAATGCCAATATTCTTAAAGAATAACGTAAATCATTGATCTGATGACATTTCTCACAATTCATGGAGGGAAATGAAACAGATGAAAATATCGAAATATCGAAACCGCCCAAGGTTAGAGATCATCTTTAATAGGGGCTTTCCCTGGATAAGAACAGTACTGTGAAAAAAGATAATCGAAAATTTAGACGAGGAAGTGCGAGATGGAAAAGTTCTGTGAAATGGGAGTGTAAAAAAAATAATAATTCAACGGTTGAGCACGTAATAAATGCAGTAGTAAACGGCTTACTGAGATACTGAAAAGTGTTTATCTTATAAATTTGATATCGCCAATCACTGCTGAAAGACCTACCCGCATGTTACCCGCCTTTCGTACCACTCCACTCTTCCGTCAAGTTGTTGAGGGAAAAGGAAAGCGTTTCTTGTCAGTGAAGGAACAAGATGATACATGGTTGCTTGAAGTTATGGAATTTATCTTCGCGTGTTCAACGCGATATCTCACGCGTTCGGCGCTGCGTTCACATGCCGTGCTGAAAACGTACCCACTATCAGTGTAATCTGTAATCCCGGACGATGGGGGGAATCCTAGTGTCAAACGTAGTCAATTTCGAGATAACAAAAAAACATTTTTTCCATAAAAAATACAGCAGCACCGAAGAACAAAGGTAAACGCGCAACCAAAACAGAACGGCTGACTGCAATGTGCTGTTAGAGTTTATAAGAATGTCAATTTGGGAAAAAAGTTCAGCGAAATTTAACGGAAAGACCTGTGAATGTGCTTTCCTCCTTTCCTCTCCAAAGACCGCCTATTAATTTGCTACAAAAGTCTTACTAGTTTGTAAAATTTCATGGTTATCGAGACAGGACACCCAATTTTAACTGTCTAACCACAGGCTTGACAGCCTTTCTTCACGAGGACGGTCATGTGTTGTGGTTTTAAAGAACGATTTGTATTGCATAAGCCGAAACCAAAAGAGAGGCGAGTTACATAATCGTGCGTGACACGACAGATATTAGATAAGATTGCTCCAATCTTCGGAAAATGGACTTCAAGTTAATAGAAAATTTCGATGATAATTAAATTTTTGACTTTAAAACCTGATCGCTGCTAAATTGCCCGCATAGAAATTGGATCGCGGAAAGCTCAGTCACGCGCTTCGAAGTCACGACATTCCCCCAGACACGTGTATCGTCACACGTGGTTCGTTACACATAAATTTGCAATGTGACTACGTCTAAGCTGAAGAAACCGGAAACGTGAGATCCAACGTGAGTTTACCAACGTCGACCAATCAAATGTCTTGTTATGTAATACATTACATAAATGTTTGAAATTTAATTGATTCACACTCCTTTGTAATAGAAGCATGCACGTGTCCCTCGTTCGTAAATAAACTACCGGCGAAATAATTGTCACCAGTGTAGTCTTGAAGAGTCACCGAGTCATCGCGAAACTAGTCAGCGAGCGATTCAGATCTTGTGGCAGATTACCTTACGAGACGTCGTCAAAACTCATGGAGCTGCTTCAAGCACATGGAATTGAAAATTTTCACATTTCGGGTGAGAATATAAAATTTTGCTAAATATCCGAGCTGTACTCTTGCGAACTGCCCGTCCACACATGGGGCGGTCAATTCAAAATAATAATTTACATCCGATAAAACAACAGTTTTCAATGGGGTACATTTTGCACTGGTTTGAACGAAAATGAAACTGTCACTCGTGTCTAAAATTATTTTGGTGATGAGTTGAATGAAATATCGCCATCCGACGAGTTTGAAAAACCCTCCGGATCAAAGTCCTTTACTACATTAAGATATTCCTGGTCATTTTTTTAGCTGCAGTCAGGTATAACGTGGTGCGTGCAGTGTTACATCAGAGCGCGAGCCTTATTTTAAGGACAGCCCTACGTTTATGTTGTATCAAAGTGTAAATCTCATTTAGTCTTTTAACCAATGTCTGTGGCGAAAGATTTTACTTAACAAAATTAATATATTACATCAACTTTGTCTCAACAAAGTTTTAATGGTTAACATGGCAAAAAAACCGCGTAACTAAAAGGCAGAACACCTTTACACGGTACTCTTAAATTGTGGCATGTGGCATGGTAGTTAAAAAAAATTTGGTAATTGTTGAAGTAGTTCTGAAGAATTCTGACCTGAGGAAGGAAATACGCCCCTCCATCTCTTTCTCAATTAAGCAAAGTTTAACAAAACACTATAAGGTTTACAACAATAGACCATGTTCGTTTGAAACAATTTCCAAACTCATGTGGCATTTGTTACTTAAGAGTATGGAACGTATTTCCATTTGAACCGGAGAACAGTTTTCTACAAGTTCCTTAGAATTTTGTTATTAATTATTTCGGACAGAGGGTATAACAGTAGTGTCCATTCCTGACTCTCAGCGTAGAAGTGTTACTTGTGGGCGGTTTCTTTGCGTGTTCAGTTTTGTGAAAAGTTGGGAACAACACTAGCAGTTACAGAGGACGACGCGGCTGACGCAATTCAGAATGTTCTTACATGATAATGTTTTATTGAATCTCAGTACAATACAGAGCTACTAATCACAGCCACACCTAACTGATTTATATTTGCGCTGTCAATGTCCAAAGTTAATGTGCTCACCTACTTTTATCTTCAATTCAACAGAGAAGAACATGTCCGGGTTTGATGATGACGAAGACAGCGGTTTAAGCTCATCTCCTTCCTCTCCCGGTGTAGCGGACAATGAAAGTGATCCACAATTGTTTGGATTTGAAAATGAATTGAGTTCGAATCTTGTGGATACCCTCAACACGTGCCTCTTTGACGGCGAATTTCCCAGTAAACTGTATACTCACATAAAGATCAAAGAAGACGGCGACGATGAGCCCTGGCAAAGCGTTGCCTTTCCGGGTCAGCTTAGACACGATGTAGCTTCGCAATCACTCGGTAATTTATCCAGTTTATCGAGTGATTTCTTTGGGGAACCTTTCAAATTATTGGACGATTTATTTGAGCCTTCAACTAGTGGAAAAGTCGACTATGAACGGTCAGGAAAACTGCCGTATCTCACTGAGGATAGTTTGAAGGAACCATGCCCTGATTACTCGTCGAATGATACTACTGACACTATTACGAACATTGTCGAAGAGCCAGCGATCGAAGTCGTTTGTTCTTCGGAAGATGTTCGACGGAACTCACTTAAGCGCAAACTCAGAACTCGCAACAAAATCAGTGTTATCACTGATCACAACTACGTGAAACCGTTGGATATAGCTGCTGAGGCTAACAGTGAGTTCGGTGATGATGATAAGCTTACAGTGTCTGAAGATACAGAAGCGGAAGAAGAAGAAGATGATGACGACGAGGATTTTCAGCCAACTTGTTCAGCAAAGAAATCACGCCGCGCCTCTCCAAACCCTAGCACGGGTAGAGACGAAAAGTACTGGGAACGAAGGAAAAGGAATAATTTGGCGGCAAAACGGTCACGCGAAGCTAAACGAGCCCGCGAAATTGCGGTCGCCAAAAAGACTTCAACCCTAGAAAAAGAGAACAATACTTTGAGAAGGCAGGTTCAGAGACTGAAAGCGGCAATCTCTAAAGCTGAGAAAAAACTGCGCGCTATGGTGTAACAATGTTAGTCACTTTTAGAAGGATATCTGAGTATATTTTCTCCCAATTTGCTCGTTACGTTGCGTTTTATTAAAAGGAAATTTCGTTCCATATCAGTTCAATATTCATTCTTTCAGGATGTAAAGATCAGTTATTCTCAGCGCTATAGTTTATGTATTCATCATGAAAAATTCATTCTTAATGCGTCAAGGAACGCCTGTCGTCTGTGAAACACTTGGTGTAGTATTCATGGTTAAATGTATCCTTCAATCCTGTGTAAATATATCGCGACTTTTGAACAGTATACGGGCTGGACTTTCTTTGACTCGTATTCCCATTTAAGGAAAATTAAGGCTCAAAGCGCTTAAATCGTGGTTACATGCCCGATTCAGTTTCACTTGGTCAGAGAAAACTCCCTCTGTAAACCTGACTACTTGGCGAGGTAGGAATGTGGCAACCTCGCTTCCAGGTGTCGTGTTAACCTCGAGATGGTGAGATTGGTTGGGTTGAGAGAGATAAAAAGTATCTGATTCGAAGCACCAGAAAGGAACTTAAATCACGCTTCTAAATTTTAGATCTCGAGCACCTCGAACTGTATCGCTGGTAGCTAAATAGCCTTATTATTGGGGACGACAATTATGTTGTGTTAACAGATGGACTTGGAGAGAAACTGAGTAACGACAGTGCGAAGATAGCGCAGATCACGGCACTCGCAAGAAGCTAGGGTAAACCAAGCATACACCATTTATACCGGCTTTTTCCTCCTTTCTATTCAGAGGAGACAATCCACTTGACCTTCCTTGTCTATCGTGCACTTTCCTTGTCGCTTGGTTCTGTGAAGCAAAAGCTTGCGCAGCGCTCCTCAGTAGTAATTAATGAAGATGGAAACACCTGCGCAAGTTAGCTGGTTTGCTTTCAAGCAACTAATTAGTTTCGAAATATATCGACGCAGTACGTTAAACTTCTACCAGAAAGTGGCTATATTATCGCGGCAAAATGCGCAAGGAGTGCGAAGTGCGTGGACATCGGCACCGGCGAGCTTGAAGAATTTCATGCTAGGATTAACTTTACGTAACGTGGCAATTTTATAGAAGCTTCTGGTGTTCGGTCTTTTTGATAACTTTCCTAACCCAAGCACAGTTTTTAACTGACAGGCTCAAAGTAGTTCAAAAAACAAAGTCACGGGTATTCCGGCCTTAACCCTTCGGTCAAGGAGAGAATCGCAAGCAAGGGTGCCGGCCGAACACCAATGACCAGGTCATTGTAACTCACTAAACAACTATTTCGCGAGGGAAAAACAAACAAACCAACAAACAAAGAGAGCAATTTCTGGGTAGCTATTTGTGTTTCGGATTTTGAAAAAACATTTGAAAATAACACTGGGCCTTCAAAGAATAACTAATTTTGCCCTTTGTTTAAGAATCCTCTCAGTCTCTTTTCGACCAATTTAAAAGTTTGTAGGCGAGATTTGTTGCTTTCCTCTTGAAAAATCTTTTCCGCTTAGCTTCCTAGTTTACGGCAGAACAATTTGTCTTGAAAAATCAACCTTTAAACAGGCAAAAATAACTTAGATATCCAGGTTAGCCAGCGTCCACCTTTGGATGCAAAACGGATTGAGAAGGAGCCAGCCAATTAGGACTTATGAGGGAAGATGGCGGAAGAGGATAGGCCGATACGCACTCCTCCTCCATTTTCAGAAGGAAGATAAAATTCAAGCGGGCCGACTATCCTCCACTCTTTCTATCCCTTTCTCCCTCTTAAGAACCCTTTGACGCCTAGGAGTGACTAGCGTATGATTTCTCCTAACTTACACTTGCATCACCCCTTAATGAAACATTAAGGTCACGAGAATTAAGGTATCGATCACTAACTAAAAAGCCTTTTAATGGTTAAAGAAATTCTTCTCGTTAAAATGTTCATTCTGATGTTAGGGTGTTAAGTGATCCAACTTCAAGTAAACAGCTTGGCCGAGGAAGGTCTGTGTTCGAGACTAGTACCCAGACTAGTGAATGGTTTCAGTTCGTTTACCGACAGAAATGACCAGAAATGCACTTCTCTACGTTTTTGAAAATATATCTTTTTAATGACTGCTGTCAATCACCTCCTTAGCTTTTCCGACAAACATCTATTGTGCCTCGTGTGACTAGTGGGAAATTACATTGGTTTTGATTCTTTACGCACAAAGATTTTTCTAGAACTTGAAATAACGCACACCTCCACAAAGTGTTTAGGCATTTGCGGTTTCTCGTGCCTCATGAAGTTTTGTTTCGTTTTTTTCATTTTGAGGTCTTGTAAGCAGCTCTTTGTGATGCTATATTTGCCTCGTTTCAATTTTTATTTCGAAAGGAAGCTCAACACGAGTTTCCTTTGCGTAAAAACAGCCACTCGCGTTAAGCGTGGGACGAGTGTTAAAAATCACGTTTTTGCTTCTTCAACACGCAATACCTCGTGAACTTTATGGTGTGAGGGCAGTGGTGCATGGTGAGTGGCATGATTAGTTCTCACTGGAACTGTTCAACTTTGCATAAAATTTTGATAATTAAATCGCAATGAGAGCAAAAACACGGGAAATTAGATCTAAAAAACAAGAGGACAGACGCTCCACGTAAAACTGTAACTTTGCATGATTTCCCAATTTGATTGAATATCACTTGGGTTTAACCAAAAAGTCGAGCTATCTTTCTCTTCCGATATCCAGGCTAGCTGAGCACGTTTAGCATGTTTAGGGCGAGAAAAACAAGAATCAACCCCGTTTGCCGAGCGTTAACTGGATCTGGACGCGAGAAAACCCGTTTTTCAGAAAAATCCTGGGCGCTTTGAAGAAGCTTTGCGTAACTGTAATAGTTGGTCAACGTCGTTTGGTGTTAATTTTTTTTTTATAATAATAATATAATTCTCTGTGAAATTAAATCATGCAGCCGGTTACGTAACTGGTTCGCGGTATCGAGTTGTAGATGAGTATTCTTGCGTGGCCGAACTCACCAAACCAAATTTTTTTTGCGTGCGCGATTTCATTTGGAACCTATTGTTGCCACGCAGTGTGCCCTCCAGGAACCACTGCTAAAGTGACCTCTTTAGCCTTTTTTGTGGCGAAAAAAAAAAGGTAAAAAAAAAAAAAGCAAACCGCTAATATTGCGAAACTGGATCAACCGATGTGGAAAGATCCTTGAATGACCTTAAGGTTCGAATTTTTTCCGTTTAGTCACGCATGCCACTTAGGGTCTTACGGTGGTCCGGTAAATGTGATTTTCGTAAGCCTTTTTCGCCCAGCAATGCAAATTTTAAGGATTCGGAGCTCCTAAAAATATATGTTCTATCAATGCGGTTTTCTCTGCTGATTATAAATGTAAACCCCTGAAGAGACGGTTTTTTTGTGCGGGTTGCTATTTTTGTGCGAAATAATTGTGGTTGGCTCATCTTTAGGTTGCATGCTCCTGGCACAAAATACAAAAACCGTATCACGGTCTTTAAATCCGCAAAGAAGAAAATACTTTTGAATGAAATATCAAAGAAACCGTTTCATAGATGTTGGTCTCTGCAGGTTCGATCACCTTCGCCTAGAACATGGAGACCAAAAAATTTTACCTCGGAAAAGTAAGACAAAACTAAATCTGCTTTTCGCAAGCGAAATCTGTGGTCAGGATTAAGAGCGATGTGAAATCCGAAAGAAAAACTTCAAACCACAATTTGGGTAAATTATAGAAATTCAGCCAAATCTTGGCCCACGAAATGTCAAAACAAGTTTGTCTGGGAGATACTAACGGCGGAAACTAGATATTTGCTTCTCTTGCCGTGAAACTACTGCACGTGAAATCACATGTACGTCTTCGCTTGTGATTGGTCTAGCCGTTACGCATGAGGAACTGGCACTAATTATCCCATGACGCGTATAGTAATGACGGAGCCAGGCAATAGGAAGAATCACTGGAGTAGGGACGATGAGCTACAATGAAAAATTCTCCATAATGTCGAATTTTTCGATGGTATCGACGATTTTTAAAAAAAGATATTAGACTATATCTACTCTGATTTTCTGACAGCTAACTGGAATATCTTTATGGCTATTTCTTCTTCTTAATGCATAGGATAAACATATCCCTACCCCCTACTGGTAGGGGATCGGAACTCCTGCTCAACCAGGTTGGCACTAAGAAGCCGTCGAGACTATCACCGTCAAGCGAGACCAGCATCGTGTGTTGTTATAACTTGTTTTTCGTTTCTAAAGATGTAGATTCAAATATATTTCGTAGCATTTCGTTTTCTTGGCAGAACATTACCAAAGCGTGAAACCTTCGAGAGCTTCAAGAGGCTGTGAAATAATTTTCTATCGGAGAAAGTCTTGTTTCATTTCGAGAGTTGTCAGTTCCGGGATAGTCGCGTTAAACAGTAGCTCAACGGGCCGTTGCTTTCGCTTATTTTTCCCTTTCTGGGAGCTGGAAAATCGATTTGAGGAGTTTGGTTGAGTTTTAATTGGACTGTAGAGGGTCCTCAGTGTATGGATATGGTTGTCAAGATTATGCAGGCCCGCTTTCCCTCTCAATTTGACCAAGAAAAGTACTCTACTCCTTTGTTTAAGAATTTACGGGAGAAGGCAAGGAAGAGAACTGCTCACGAAGCGTTTTCTAAAACTGCGGACGCCCTCGATGATCTTGAACTAGCTCCTAGGATTAAACGTGTGGTTCGGCGGCCACCGCCTGCCTTAACGATATATGTACGCAGAGAGAGCGAGAAAGCGTACAATGCTATAATGCTGGAAGAAGTAACAGTCGAGAGTTTAAAACTGGCGTTGTCTGAGAAGTACGGCACTCCGTCAGATTCAATCACGAGTTTCGCTCTTCGATGCAAAGAAGGGTAAGTTGAATTTAATCTCGTTAGAGAGTGGAGATTTCACGATCTTAGTCCTAAATCAAAAATGAAAGGCAGGAAGTGTGTACGAAGGGGAGTATCGAAGTTGTTTATTTTTAGTATACTTACGCATGCTAGATGATCGTATGTGCACGAGTTTACGATATTTTCCCCTCGTGAGCTGTCGCTAGTTTTTGCTCGAAACAGCTGACCGTGTTTAGTTTGTGTTAGAAGTCATTTTGCTTACTTTATAGTTCAGTTCTGCAAGGTGAACTATTGAGACGTAAAAGATTTGCATTCTCTCCATGTTAGTCGTAGCGAGTTTTGCGAAACAATAGATTCGATTTTCATTTATATTGCATACTTCAAGGGTTTTGAATTTATTCGAAAAATAAAGCATTAGTTCTCATCCTCCCTTTCAATTTACGAGGCGCTTCTGAAGCTTATTTTGCGTGTTTGCTGTCATGATTTTTATGGCGTATCTTTCGCTTCACTCACGTTTGCCGGCCTGGGTTAGCTCATAGTTCATGTTTCTTGGCACGTGGTAACTTGTTATTCCAGTTTCTAACCAGTTTTATTTACACCTCCATTCATTTCTTCGATCGATGAATATTTCTTTCAAATTCTGAGTTTGGCTTTTTGAAGGTTTTTCTTTTTTGTTAGTACTTTTGGTTCGACTGATTAAATCTTGATTACTGTTGCATTTACTCGTCAAAGCTGATTGTCGTGTTGATCCGGTTGAAAGGAATGATTCCCAGAACTCGTTACCCTTGTCATGCTATTATATTCGCTTGTGGCTTTGTTGTTGACGTTAATTGTAAATTATTTCATGAAAAAGGCTTTTATTTATCTTGATGAATCGTCGAGATTTTTATGTCAAGGGAGTGAAATCGTGACAGTGCAAGTTTTTTTTTACTGTTGTTGTTTTTAATTCCATCAACAATAACTAACAACGAGATCTCGACGGGTTTTTTTGGAATGTTTCTTTTGAGAGTTCAAAGTTCGTTTGGTTTTGTGCATTGTTTAGGTGTTTGTGTTGTTATTTTCTAAGTGAAGGCCAACCATTTAATACAATTTCTAAATTATTGTCCCATAACTTTTCATCAAAATTTCACGCTTACTTCAGTTCTTGGTCTTCAGATTTTAACAATTAACATTAAAAGTTTGTTTACAACGTCTAGCTATTTTGATTTTTCTTCTTAATGTGACAGTAGTTTTGTCTTCTTTTTTGTTGTGAACAAATTCCACATTTTGGAATACAGTAACTACGTTTTTATCTAGAATTTACTTCTTGAAGGTTTATACCCTCAGTATTTGCGTAGGGTAAGATTTGGAACTTTTTGGCCTTGTCTCAGCATGTTTGTACTGACTATACAATAGTTTTCAATGAGCCCCTTCCCTTGCTTCCTGCCTTTTATTGCAATTAGATATAAATTGTATAATTGGAAAATGCCAAAGTGATGTCTTTTCTACTCTGACAACAACATTGTTTTTGACATGTTGTTAAAATTTTTAAAATTTACACTGTCATAATTTGGGAGATGTGAGTTTGCCCGGCAAATTGTTCTTGTTTCATGCAGTAGAAGAGTATCAGTTTGGTACAATAGTAAAAGTTATTTTTACCTAGTGCTATTCACAGCATGGCTCATGTGACATGGCCATTTGGAAAAAAATGAAAAATATATGTATTTGTTTCTGCGATATTTCAAAGGAAGGTTGTTGTGGCTTATTTGACTTTTGTTTTCTTTGTGCCATTCTGTGAATAAGATCTGGATTAAAAGGGACTAATGGAGCAAGTTGGGGCTGTTTGTGTGCATATTTGTGGTTAATTGACTTAACAGTGCTAAACCATGAGTGTAATGGAATTAGTGTTGATGCTTAAATGTTTTAGTAAGCCATGTGTATAAGTCTGTTTGTCATTGTACTGTATTTTTAACATGTGTTTATTGACTGCTGGGGGTATTGGAAGGGTTGGAATGAGTAAATAGTACACATTTCAATATCCCACCATTTAATTTCTGACTTTGTGATGCAACCCGACATGTATACTTAAATGTGTCCCATAAACAAGTATCATTGCACAAAGTAGCATTGACATGGACTTCATAAATGACAAACTGGGCAAATTCAATTAGGATGATCTGTTTTGTTTTGTGTCCCCATTGTTTTGAATTTCAAGGTTGCAGTCTGGCAGGTCATGCGCTAATTGGGATATTGACTTGTATAATTTATCCATGCTCAGTGGTATACTTTAATCTGGGAATATAATCCTTTTGATTGTTGCTGTTTTGATTGTAGCTAATGTTCCTCCTCAGTGCAAGGCTGACTGGTACAGTACACAGTTTGTTAGCTTTGATTTATGTTCCTTCACTGCATTTAGCATGGTTTACTCTAGTCCAAAAGTATGAAAAATAAATTTCTAGTTATTGATATTTGGGCTGGGGTCACACTTATCCTGGCATCATTCCAAGCTGTGGCTCACAAACATTCTTCTTGCTGTTGACTGTATAACATAAACATATAAGTCATCTTAAACAGGTACAAGTTCAATTGCTGTGGTTTTGCTAAGTCAGGCCTAATTTCTTACACAGCCTCTGTGTATTTAGTATAAATCTAAGCTCCATATCAAAATTTTGTAGGGTAATAAATTGTTAAATTTAAATGAAAGACTCTGGTTTTTGAAGAAACAGAGACAAAATTATTTCTACCTTAAACTTTGCTTGTTTTATAAAGTAGTGTACTTTGATGCAGTAATTGAACTGATAAATAAAAATAACCCAGGAAATAACCAGAAGAGAAGAGGATTGAAGGCTTTGACACACATTTGAAATTGCCAACTTTCCATCTGTAAACAATAGTTCAAGGGAGGTCTGAGGTACCAAATTTTTATGAATACTCGATTTTGGTTGAAGTGAACATGGACTTCCAAGTTATACAGGGTTTTGCTGAAAAATAAGCTGTCATATCTAATTGTAGATGAAAATACAGGAAGAATTTTTTTTTTGATGGGTTGACTCAGTATTTTTATTTTGCTTTGGAGTGCAGAAATTTAATATTAAATTATGTCTTATCTAACAAAGTAAAGGATGTAGAATGATGCAGGTGGCACAGTTTGGTATTGTGGAATTTTTTTGATCGATTGTTCTGGAGTGTGACCCCAGCCACTAGAAAAAAATGATTGAAAAATAGTCTTTGCAGTATGGTGATTTTGCTTGGTTCTCAAATTGAGACCATCAATCCAAGCAGGCAGGTACTCTTTGAGGAGATATTTTCAAACCAGGAAAGTTATTTCCTTGCTCCCAATTCATTTTACGACATCCTGTTTTCTTTTGTTTGTGTTGTGATGGCCTTGGTTTCCTCAATACCTGAGAGCACTAGAGGAAAATAGACAAAGTGACACAACAGTTTGGAATCTAGTTTTACTGCGGAATTGCATGGTGAATGTAAATAGGTTTTGTACGTTAGTTTATTGTTTGAATTTTGCAGCAACTGAGTGGGCACAGTTGGTAGGGCCTCCTGGACGTCTGCAGATGGAGTTTTGCACACCTTCGAAGTTGCAGGGTAGCATAACATTTAACAGAATTTTAAAAGAACGCTAGCCATACCAAAGCAATTTTATTGTAAAAATCTCAAACCAGTCTCAAAGAAATCTGTTTCTATTTTTTCTATCTAATTGTTGGTCATGAGTAGTCCAAAAGAACTTATGTTGTTAGTATTTGTTAATTTTGCTGAAGGGAGTTTTAACATTATATACAGTTTGAATGGAAAAAAAAAAAGAAAAAAGAAAGAACATTCAGGAACATTTTCTGATTGACTATTCCAGAAATAATGTGGAAGCCAACATAAATCTGTAATTGGCTTTCAGAACTGCAGTTTTACATGAAATTCTTCCCTTTGCAAGCTTGGCAGTTGAGAAGTATACATTGATATAATGTTAAACTCCACTTAATTGCACTTTTGTGTCAAAAGTCAATGCTGCAAGGGTTCACAGTTTGTAGTGCTTCATATCCATTGAGGTAGACATGGTTACAAAAGTCTTGAAGGGACTCAAATAAGACTGAATTTGTACACTCTTGTTTGTCTGCTTTGATGATTCTGGTTGGATTTCTTGAAGAAATCTAACCTCTATAACCTTTCACTCACCAAAAAAGATCATGTTGTCAAACAGAAGTCCTATTTATTTAAATTTTTGTAACAGTGTCTGTCTCAGGAGTGGTTCTTGTCAGAACTTAAGTAGCTTGGTGTGCAAGTGATAGTGTGTTGTCATTGTGATGGTTGGGGGAGAATATTGTTTCATGTTGCTTTGTGTGGGCTTTGATCAAACTGCGCTTGAATACAAGAGCAAGTGACAAATAGCATATTTACAAGCTATCTGTGATCCTACCTCTTGTCATTTTGGTTAGCCAGATACAGTTTGTTTTGTTGGCTTGGTTTAAAATTTATTTTCTTGACTATTTTGCTCTTGAAGTGACAAGTGGTGAGGTTTTAACCAATAGTAAATTTTAGTTGCTGCTCTTTTGGTTTATCAGCAATGTGTTTGCTATAGTTTCTTGCCCTTGTATTAAGATTCAGTGGGAGATAACAGTGCATAGAATATTGTTTGTCTAATACAGCTTTTCTTATGTGACATATAATTTTCCCTCAATCTGGCTAAATAAATACAAACATTACATAATATGTGAAATTTATTTGAAACCAATCAGTTCACTGTAAAACAATATGTAAAAAATTAAAGCAGCAAAATTTCACAGGGTGAAATTTTAAATTTTGACACCCAGTCTTCTATGCACAGATGTGATGTTGCATGATTGTTTTGTACTGATGTATTCCTTCTACAGTCTCATTTTACAAATGATAGAAACATTACTCTAAACCCTTTGCTTTGTGATTATTATCTTGTAGGACTGCCTCAGAAATTGATGATAAAGCTGTGGAGGCCTTTGTCGATGAGGATGATTTTATCATATCCTTAGACTACAACGAAAAAATGGGAGTTTGCAGCGTAGTCTTGGAGACATCAAGCTGACAAATAGTGTTGGAGGTTCATGACCTGGTTTTCTACTTTGCCAAGTTGGAGGACATAATTTACAAGTTATATTGACTTTGCATATTTTGTGGAAGTTCACTGCTAGTTATGTTGACAAGGAGAAATATATATACTGTATGTTTCTTTGTGATATAAGTTGATTGTAAGAGTGGAATTTCTCTGTAACATGGTGTTCAGGAGGTTTTTCTTTTCTGGAGTAACTTATTACTATGAGGAATTTTCAATCATGCAACTCTGATAATATATCTAGCATAACTTAACCCTTTAACTCCCAAGATCTGATCATCAATTCTCCTTTCAAGCTGTTGCAAATTTCCTTGTGAATTAGTTCTAGGCTGTCATTTTGACTTGCTGCCAAATTTGTCTTCCTAATTTACAAGAAAATAGATGTAAGTTTAATAGAGAATTTCAGTTCTCATCTTTGTAGTTTAAGGGTTAGATTTGATGTACTCTCCTGATAGGGAGCAATATTTGTGGCATAGGACATGCCCATATGACAAGATTTGTAATTTTTATTTGTAGTAAAATATTTCCAGTACACTTTCTGGATAAGATTGTATATTTGTACTAAGATATACTATATCATGGGGAGAGAGTTGTTTTGTAATTTATTTCATCGCAAAAAATCAACAAAAGTTAAGTGTTACTCCAACGAAAAGAGTATTATTCTGGTCACAGTGTAAAAATTTATGTGTAAACAATATTATTCACTTTGGATAGTTTATGTTATTTCCTTTTACAGAAAAATCAATTTTGTATTTTAATTCTTGTAGAGCAATTTCAAGAGAGAAACATGACTTCCAGACTTAGTTTTTGTCTGGTTTTCTGTTTCATTTCATGTTTTTTATTATTTTATAACAAGTTGTCAAATTTCATTCATGATTCAGTGCTGTGTAGACTTAGCTTCCATGTTTGAAGCATTTAAGAAAATTTTTGTCAAAGACTTGGTTCTAAGGTAATATTTGCCATTTTTTCTGAAGGAAAGACCTCTGTTAAGTAACTAAGATGCAGATCTCTTCAGAAATCAAACTCCAAGTAGTGGCTGCACATTATTTGATGGGTGAAGGTAGAAACTGAAAGTTTTTTTTCTCAGGAATAACTTTGTCACAGTAATATCTGACCTTTCTTTAGGAATTAAAACTTTCTTTTGTTGTTTACAATCAAAATTAAGCAATTTTAAAGATGCAAGTATTTCTTTGATCAAAGCACAATAAACACAGAAAAATAGAGCAAAAAGCAGGCTCCTTTTTTCACAGCTGTGTTTTTGAAGCTGAGAATCAGTATATCCCAAACAACTTTGCTAAGTGCCAACCAATTTCCATCACCTGAAATTTAGCCATGCAGAGTTTTTATGCTATTATTCCTGTTACAGCTGACAGGATCACTTATAATTTAATTTTCAAGTACAGGTGTGTAGCTAGCCTGAAGGCCTGGTCCTAATATTTTTGTCCACACACTTGACTTTAACATTATGACTCTGGCAAATGTTGAAACAAAGATGGAACTTTCCTAGGGGACTAGCCTAAAACAATTCAAAAACATGGCTACACCCCAGAGGTAGATATAAGAGCTGAAGGTTTGCAACTAAATCACTTAAAAATTGTGTGGGATTATTTTTTACTTCATAATAGAAACTTGCTCGTAGTTATTTTTTTTTTTACAATTTTGATCCCTGGATGCATTTTTTTTTTCTCCAATTAAAAAAGCTACTTGGTTCTTTTTTATCCTATAATTTTAGTTAACCCTTTAACTCCCATGAGTGACCAAGACAGAATTTCTCCTTACATTATCAATACAAAATCAAGAAGACAAGTGATGAGAATCAAGGAAAGTATCAATTAGGAGATTATTAGTAGATCCAATACCAAATTCTCAGAATTAACATCTGAAGAATTGTATAGCAGACAGTAAGGAGAAATACTAATGAGATCTTGGGACTTAAAGGGTCAAGAACCAAAATTGTTCCCTTGCCTGCTAGCCAGAATAAATTTGGTTACATGCCTAATTACTGATAAGTGAAGGGTGAAAGAGGTGATTTTCTCTAATCTCAATTCATTAAGGCAAACAAGACACTTTCCGTCTCTCGTTAGTGTTGGTTATGAGGCAGCATACTGTCTTGAAGAGAATGGGTTGTCACTATTGAACCTGGCAACAGTTAATAAACTGGTGAAATATAAAGATGAAAGACGAGTGTTGTTGTGATTCTTACTTGTTTGTTCTTTACCTTGACACACTCACTTCAGTATGCATATTCTCCATACATTTCCCAAGGTGTTGTTGATGAGAATTTGTTGAACAATCGAAGCTTCTTGAGCTGGCAATCATTTCCTACATTCTCATGAACTTATGAATGATTCAGAAGTATTACAATGAGGAGAAATGAGATACTGGTGACAGCTAAGGCCTAAAGGGTTAAAGGTATGTTGCACAAGGTTAACATTTCTTGATCTTTTCTATTTGGTAGCCAAATGTTAGTGATGAAATCAGGGTTGCTTTGACTTCCATTTTCTTTAGCAAAGCCTATGAACATCCCCCACATTTAAAGGTTCATATTAAAGCTGTACCCTTCTTACAAAGCTGCCTATTTTAACTCAACAAATTTTGAATATTTGGCCAATTGATGCCCCTTTGCTTTTTTTCGAAAATAATTTGATAACTTGATATTGACATTAATGAGAGGTGATTGGGAATCCCCTTAACACTTCTTGTAACATCATTTCTGCTCCCTGATGAAGTAATCATCACTAATCTCCAAGGTAAACCAAAGGTCAAATTTCAGAGTCTATAAATATTCCCTTTTGGCATATCAAGAATATTTGCCCTTTTGACAACCCTCACTTATTTCTAGAAATAAATTAGGAATTTTGGATGGTGGTTCATCCTTTAAATTTCACACATTTCTGTGGATCTTGATGTTAGTATTTATAGCAAGAGGCAAGTGAAGCCCTTGGTATTTCTTACATCATAATCACTGCTTTCTGACAAAGATATCATCAAGAAGTCATCATTTATACAGAAGGGCACAGTTTAGAATCTGATCAACTGTTACTGTTTTGATGATTAGCAAATGCCCCAAGACTTCCAAAAATCTTATGAATTGCCATCATTTCTAGTGATTTAATATTAATTCAACCCAAGATTGCTTATCAGGGACTCAGTTTGGATACTTATTTCAGTGTGTGCTCTGCTGAGGATAGGAGTGTGTAGTTGGACAGTCCTGTTGTCAGGCAGGGGCAGTCAACAGATCACATCATTGCACCGTCTTCGTCCCCTTACTTCAGCATGCACATTCTCCACACTGTGCTTCATACATCTCTCAGGGTTCCAACAAGGAGAGTTTGTTTGACAAACAAGGGCTTCTTTGTTTGGTGTTAATTTTAATCTCTAAGCCTGGGCTTAATTTTAGGGAGAAATAGCAGGTTCATTTTCTCCTAACAAAAGGTCAGTTGATGTGTCTAACCTCCCTGATCAAGAGTTGTCATATTTTTGATTGCTAAAGGAAAAGACTTTTCATTGCATAAATCTGTCTGTAGTCATAACCCAGACAAGCAAATTGGGTTCCAGCCCTAGAGTTATTTAAGTTTATTTGTCACTTGCATAAATTCAGGTAGATTGGATGTAACTTGATACTTCTGCCCCCATGATGTAGATGATCAGATGATAAGTGGTAATGAGATCTTTGCATTTGGTTCACCAATTATCTTTTACTAATAATAGGAAATCAAGAGCAAAGATATTCCTGGGAATAGAGGAACTTTATTTTTAAACACCATCAACTGGCATAAACTAAAATGTACTACTGCACACACTCAATCTATAAAGATAAGTTTCAGACTAATTTACAAATATGAAATAGCAATAACTCCTTTATATTGCTATTTCTACAAACCTTGTCAAACTAAGTCTTTATGGCTTAAAGACTTCTTTGGTGGTATAAAATTTCTTCAATGTACAAGGGGCGTTTAAAGAAGCTTGCTCATGAAACAAATAGTACTGTTCAGAAGCAGGAAATTGGAATTTTGAAATTAATGATCCCTTCACCACCCAGTGGCAAGGGGCCAATTCTGTCATATCAGAAATAATTCCAACAACGCCGTAAGGCCAGTAACACCATCTAAATGTGGGTCTTGTCCTCATCTGAGGACACTTGTACGTAGTTGGGAGAATAACTATGTTGTGAAGTAGATGGGGATTGCTCTGTGATTATATTCTAAGCATTTGATTCCTATGCAATTAGCATCTAGAGCTCCTCTCTTATAAGTCCTATGGAAGCCTCACTGGTGTTTGGCTTTGAGAAAGATTCTGAATGCAACTCTGTCACTGGTTGCCTAACAATTCTAGTGTCAACTACATGTATGCCAGGTACAGACTTCCAATGAAGCCCTTACTTCCAGCTAAGAGTGGCAATGACGTATACATAATCCATACTGATGTCACGACAGCGTCAAATACTACTCACATCCCTCCCCTCAGTCTCTACGTGTTCTTTAAGCCTTAGTGAGAACCTTGAAAAGAAGCAAGTTTCTTTTCGAGTTCATCGGCCTTCATTCGCAATCTCCGCACTTCCTCTTTCAGATTGGCGTTCTCTTTCTCGAGATTCTTATACTTTTCAGTGACTTCAATTTCTTTCTGTCTACGTAAGTCTCTTGACCTTTTCGCTGCAACATTGTTTTTTATTCTACGTTCCCAATATCTTTCGTCTTTTTGAGACTGGCTGTAAAACTTCCGTTCCGCCTTTTTCGTGATCGGCAAAGGATTGTAGACGTATTTAGAATTTCGACGTCGCCGAACCGGAGTTTTTCCAGGCTGGGGGCCACTTGCCTCTTGATGATCTTGCCTTGTCCCTCCAACAGACTGGCACCATTGTACAATCGCGTTTGTTCCCTCTGGTTGGGAAGTGTTTGCTCGGAGGGTCTGAAAAACGGCTGGGTCCACTTGCAAAGGAAGTGATGACATTTTCGATAAGACCACGGAAGACAAAACGTTGTTCACACTGGCAGCCACTTTCGAAAACTCTGTGACCGCTGGAGAAACTTGTTCCACAAGACCACTAACGGTGGTAGCAGCAACTCTGGTACTAGTACTAGCTACCAGAGACAAATTTTGTGGATCCTCACATGACGCTTGGGTATTTTCCTGACAGTTCTGAGTTTGCACAGAAAGGAATTCATCCAGGTCCATATAATCTGAAGGAAAACTGCCTCTCGTGGATGTCGAAAGCGTATCGACACCCGAGTCACTCGATTCACTATCATCGCCTACAAACAAACAAGTAACATGTAGCTTAGTTCTCTTGAGTAACAACAAATGCAAATAAAATGTCGTTCCAGGGATGGCCATTGATTTTAAAGAAGAATGATATAAGGCCTTAAACGATCAGCCTTCGAACAACGAGGAGTCCAAGACAAAAAACAGCTCTTCGTTCTATCTTGCCTGCAACGATGACGTAACTAGACTTACTGAATTGACGTGATCAAGGAAGAGTTTTCTAACAGATATCTATCCATGACTTACTTTGGTTTGGGGCTGCTGGACTTGAACGACTAGACATCATGAGTTGGCGATCTTCTCAGTCGAAGTACACACTCACTGAGACTAAGCAAAAAATGGTTATCTATTGCTGAAAATGTTAGGAAAGTAATGTTTATGACAAGAGTTCTGCTGTCGTGTTGCATAGATTACTCTGATTGGTTGAAAATATCGGCACGTGCAGCTGTCTTCCCTTATGTAACAAACATGGCGCCTATTGCACGTGCAAAGTCTGACGCTCTTGTTATATAACTTTCTTCACATCGCCAGGTAACCTGGCAGTGTGATAATTGCTTACTAGGAACGAGCGAGAAATAGAGATTTTTAGGGGGGAGAATTAGAAATAAATGGTTAAGTCTCAAACTAGTTCGATTTTCATTCGAAATTTCTTGCTTGAAAATGCCTATTTAAAAACTCTATCATTGAACAGCCCACAGATTATTATGTAACAGCGCGTTTCCTTGACTCTAGTAGGCTGGGTTGAAGGACGTGTTCCGTATTGATAGTAAATAATTATCTTAACTCAAGAGTTACTTCTGGGTTTGACAAAAACCCCTTATACCCACCTGCGCCTGAAACGAAAACAGTTTGGCCAAGCACGATAAAAGAATCTGAAACACTGTTAATAAATTCTAGTGCATTTTTAGTTTACGGCAGAAATTCACTTTTTACGCAAATTTTATTCGTTAATTTTTGTGCAGCTTTGAACCAATCAAGTTTTTGACCTTGTCATGCCGTGTTTCTTAGGCTGACATCTACAGGCAGAGTCCAGAAAGTAAAATAATTTACTCACCTGCAATAACGAAGTTGAACGATTCAACTCCTAATTATTTCAATGCAATCCAAGGTTTCCTAAATGACATACAGCCATCGTCTTTCACACGACCGTTCACGTTTCACGTTTCACTTGACGCACGCTTAAAGTTGTTAATTGTGGAGGATGTCGCGACGAATCAACTACCTTACACAAGAGATGAAAGATAGCCGTGTAGTTAAGAATTGTTATTGATTTGATTGCATAAATTCTCTACTTAAATCGTGGAAAGCAATATTTTTTCAGTAGCTTGAAAAAGAAGTTACGTAATATTAACCAGGAGTTAACACGCATAAGAAAACGAGAGTGAGAAGGGTCCCAATTACCACGGTTTTCACCGACTTTTTCCTTAAGCGTCTGCCTTGAGGTCCTTTGATATGATGACTAATTAACACCTCATCAGAAAAAAGGGCAGCTAATTAGTGAGCATATACAAGGACCTCTTGTTGCAGCGATTAGATCACCCTTGATGAGGGCACCAGACTGGAGTGTCGAAACGTTGTGTCTTCTTGGTTACATTCATGAAATCTTTAAATCAGAGGAGCATCACACCATGTCTGATATGAAAATATGTTTACGTTGCTCAATGAGAGATATGTAAGAATTTGTCTGGGAAGAAACGGTTTCACTCTCAACCTCTCGCCTCGGTTGTTCGTTTGCATCTTGTAGAGTTTTCTGGGCTGACCTTTAGGCCATTTAGCTCGGTTTTCGTCCATCTGCTGGTCTCTAGATTTATTTCATTTCGCCCATCGCGTAACGTAGACTTATTTGTATAATTATGAAGGCTCATTGTGCAGAGTGTTCAGCTCCCAGCTGGGGTGCGAGACTGTCACGATAATTTAACTTTCTTCTGTCGAAATATCTTGAAAAAGGCAAGTATTTTCAAGCTGTTTAAGATGAACTTAAACTTGGGGTTAAGTAAAACAAGACTAACAAATAAGAATTGCAATTTCGTTTGGGTAAAATGTTTAATATCCGTATTCCTAAGAATAATCTATGAGTCTAGTAATAATCCAATTAACTGTAAGCGAGCTCATGTTCAAGTCTTCCATCGTAAAGTGGTCGGGGGAAACGTGGGGTCTAGGTATACAATTTTTGCGAAATAGAATAAAACAGGAATAATTATTTTTTGAATACTATTTACAGAATGAAGCACATTTAAAAAGTAAACGAGAGGTTAATTTACCATTGTCAAGACATAAAATTCCTAATCGCTGTCCAAAGTATCTGTCAAAAACATTCACGAACCGTCACGCGTATCTGTTACGCAATTTAGTTGGTAACGCGTTTTACAGTTTGTTCTGTTTGTATAGAACACGTGATTTCACAACTTGATTTACCGGTTATTCAGTTATAGTGTACAAGAGTCATATTTTTGTAGTCGACAAGGTCTTGATTCTTAGAATAAGGTTGGAATAGAAGAATTTAACGATCAATACAAGTATGCTTTCTTAACATCTTCGTATCTTGGTTACGTTCACTTCATCGCCGAGCACGCAAATTTCTAAAAAAGGTATGGAGGAATTATTTTTCATTCACTTGGCAGACAAGAAAGAGGAATTGTTTGTTAAAATCAATAACAGCTCATTTCCGCAGGAATCCAAGTGGATGGTGTTCTGTATTTCATCAGGATTAAAAAGCTCCATTTCCTGAGCAGAAAAAAATAAGTGTAAACATGTTTTCTTGACACTTTCGTTGAAAACATTTTGTCACAGCTTCACCAAGTACACATAAAGTAGACAGAACATGAAACAATGGAAATCTCGCGAGAACGAAAAATACCGAATCCAGCTCCAAGTGCAATACCTCCCAAGTTATTATTAGACTCAAGGTATCGATCTGGCCGCCAGAGAATCGTGTTACATGCATCACACGTGTTGCTTGCGAAGGCTGAGCATGAGACGTACTCGTGAGAAAAATTCGCGACACCTGATTAGTTAGCTCTGGATCCGCTCAGAAATCGACTTTGACAGTACCATCTATAGTCTACAATGGAAAATTTAAATTCAAAAGGAACTTACCATTGGAAAGAACCGACAGTGGCATGTTCTCCTTCTTGCTGTGAGAGAAGGCCTCCGTAGTATTAAACTTTTTCTTTCCACTAACTAGGTCCAGTTTCTCCTCAAGTTTTTTCATGGCCCTCTTTTGTTTTTCAGTTTGTTCCCTAAGCTTCGTTATTTCCTGGAAATTAGTGAAATTTCCAATCATGATTCATGTACTGGCTAAACTACAATTCAGAGTAATTCATATAATTTTGCTTAAATTCATTTACAGTTTCCCCCCAAGCCCTCACGGCCAATTCACTTTGATCGGACCAGACGACCCAAAGAAACCGATGACCACGCCTCAGAGCTAGGCAAGCCTTGCTAACACCATCAGTTTGGCCATTTTCGTTCATTTGCACCCTATTTTTGCTTCTCCGGTGTTTGTCTACCCTAGTGATGACCATGTTTCGTTCTATTTGAGACTGTTACCTCGATAAAGGTGTCTCATCAAGTTAGTATAAATTTTGATGTTTGTCCAAATGGACTCAATGCCCGACAGTCAGAAATATTTACGCACTGAATACCACATGCAAACCTTATGAAAGTGTTCGATGTTTGTCAAGTAACGTAAAGCGATTCCAAACATTATTTTGGTTTTTAGCGCGCGAATTTTCTGAACTTGTGTATACCATAAAATCACTTGTTTAGAAATGTGTTCGAAATGTCGAGAACGTAGCGATTTTGCAGTTCACAGAAGCTCGGAAAATTCTTCAAAATAAAAAGCCAAAATAATTTTTGGAATTGCGTGACATTTCTAAACAAACTTCTGATACTCTTAAGAAGTTTAAGAGAACTTTTCATTGAAAATTTTATGAAAATTTCTGACTGTGGGGCATTCGAACACTTCGTAAAGAAACTAGTATGAGACACGGTTTGATGCTACTCTGGTTTACAGATTTAATGAATGTAAGCGAAGAAGTTACAATCATAGACCCAACGTTTCGACACTCCTGTCTAGTGCCTTTATCAGGGGTGATCTAAATGCTGCAACAAGAGGTCCTTTCACTAATATGAATGATGCTATTTTCGTAAGTTATGTAAGAAATGTAAGAATTGCATAATAATACTTAAATGCGTAAATAATAATTCTTAAGCTGCTATCTAAAATTAGAGTACAGATGTGTTTCTGGATGTCAAGTGCAAAAATAAAGGCTGTATCTAGTTTCACAGGCCGAGGCATTTTACGCCATCTGGAAAATGTTCCCCTCTGACATTTAACACGACTGGCCCTTCATGTTTTTGAGAGGCAAGTCCCACCAGCGGATTGAGCAGCAAGATGTAAACCCTCCAGGGTTTACATCTGGAATAATTTTGAAACCATTTCGAGGCTCGCAGAACGAACTGAACCGGGAAAGAGACTCTTTTTATTTTTACAAACAATGCAGTTTAATCTCCCGAAGAGAACCGAGAAAAAAAAAACCCTACGCTTACTGATTTTTTTTCCAAATCAAAATTATAATTTCTGACATTTTATGGCTGAATCAAAGCCTGGCTGGATGAAATTTTGTGGGGAAATCAATAAAAGAGCGCCGATTCAGGTGCTGCTATGTAAAATTCTTGGGTAGTTTAATAGCTATAATATTTATCAGAACAGACCTAATCAAATAAAATCAGTCAATCATACTCCCACTGGACACGCTTATGTCGGTGCGTTGACGCAACGAAGCGTAGACGAGGGAATTTTTCTCAGTTGGGAAAAAATTTAATTAGCACGTTGCACTTGTTTCAACTATTGCTTGATATTTTTAAAACTCAGGAAGTAATATTTGGAGAAGTGAAGCAATCTTATGCCCGTGAAAAAAAATCTCTACAAATATATCTTTTTACTATTGCGAAGTTGCTCTCGGCTAACCCTTCAGCAAGTATTACACATCTTTCGTACTCTCCGAGTGTGTATTTGTTAGGATACAGACTTCGAATATCTCGGCCCGATTCAAAAATCTTTTCACTTTCATTGACTTACGAAAATAATACTGTAAACAGTCAAACTATTGTGTCGTCCCAATCCTTCCTGCGGTAGCTTTTGTCAACATAATCAATATCTTTTGTACCCGTGTCTCAGTTTGTAAAACCAAAATTTTCTCGCGGGATGACATTTCTTGTACGTGGCTTCGCCAATTTCCAAATTACTAAAGACTACATAAGGCCTAGTCGAAACTGGTCATCGAAGACGAAGTACAGAATCATATTGATTGCCGCATTTTACTTAAATTGAACAACAAAGGGATATGAACGCGCAACTCGCGGTAACTGAATGGTTCAAACGCTGACAAGAAGTGCTGCGCGTGTGTAAATGGCCAACACGAGGTAAACAAAACAAAAATAGTTATCAGAAGTTTAAAGATCTTACAATTTTGTTTATGTATTTGAGCTTGTCTTTGACTACTTCCAAAAGCTCGTCTTTTCCTCAGCGCATGCGCAATGACAATATTGGACGTAGCTATAGCAATTAAAGGAATAGCATAGAGCATGATCATCAGCGTGAAGATCGAAAGTCCAGTGAAAAAAACTATGCTGAAATAAGCCAACTTCAAGGAAATTTTACCAAACAATCCCGAAAACCATCGCGATCCCAAGAAGGAAAATGATACAGAGAGTATTGTAGCGACACAAGCATCCAAAATGTCTGCGATGGCCATGTTTATGATGAGGTAAACAAACGGTTATTTTTTTTTGCAGTTCTTTGTATGTTTTTGCTATGTAGATGACCATTAATTTCTCCATACAGGCCGCGCACACAAGCTCTAGATAACATACAACCAGAGTTGTTTTAGTAACGAAACTTGGGTGAAGAACTCCGAAGACACTGTTGAATTTGTTTCAATCGCCGATTGATTCATATCTACAATACTCAGAAAATGAAATTCATCGAACAGTTTTTTTAAACTTTCCTGTAATGTTCCCTACCAATGTCTGTTATAATTTCAAAAAATACAATGAAAAAGATAGGTCACCGTGCTTGGTTAAGAAATATGCTGGAAGCAAGGGTTTTTAAAGTATCAATTACAAAAATCCTGATAGGTAGAAAGTCTCGAGCGTATCTCTTAAACAAGCGTATGGAACAATTTGATATATAATTTGGGTAACAAGCACGAATGAATTCTAGTACGCAGATGTCATTGATTCTTGTGTGAGCTCTATTTCGCGGAGTTTTGTGACTGAGTGTCATGCACTCTCTCGTATGTCATAGAGTACGGACAAAAATTTCCAACTGTGTTCAAATGTCTGGTCTCAAACACTGGCCAGAATCCAACAAAAAAAAACAAACGAATCAAAACAAACAAATGCCAGCAGCGATGAAAGTGGAATTTTTCACCCGAACGTCTGTCTATCGCCCATATCACTGAACTGTATTTAGGTCTGAATTTCCTGGATTCGTATGGCCCGTAAAATCTTGCATAGAATGTCATTCTCCTTCCATCAGTTTCATAACTGATCAAAATTCCCATGGATCTATCTCGCTATGAGTTGTCTCTCTTACCTCGGCTCGCATCAATGCAATCGCTTCTCTCTGTCATCACTTGTAGCGAATATTTGAGTCTTACAACGATTTCTGGAAATTATTCCTTCGTTTGGTTTCTGTGCTTATATAAAAGGTTTTTTGTCCTCGCGAAGCGGGCTTGATAAGAAATTCCACTTTGATATAACGTCTGCCGTCGTGACTCCACATATACATCGACAAATTAACCCGTAATTGGACGAATACTCTTCTGCAACAACTCTGACCCGACGATAAGACAGAATCGAGTTTGTAGCGATCAAATGTCTGATATACCTAAAGTTCGTTAGATTATCTGATATTTCCTTCAAAATTACTAGTCCTTTAGCAGAATCCAAGTGCTTTTTCAATAACAGAGTTGGCTTGCGAGCACGGCCATACACTTGAACACAGTTCGATCACCTGTCGCAATCTTTTCAACAGAACTCAGTATCATGTGACCACAAAACAGGGCAGAGATCCTCTTCGATGGAAGGACCTACTTTGTGCGATCAAAAAATTGTTCTCCAGCGTTTAAACTAATCGAGAACCATTTTCACAAAAGTGTGTAGACAAACACCAAAGAGGCAGGAATGCAGCAAAAAACGAAAAAGGATGATTAGGGATAGGAATGTTTTACAAGGATTGCAAATGACCAACTAAGGTTAAATCTTGTTAAGAACGTGAGAGGGCGACGTAAGTTCTTTAACTTCGAGGAGGGTGGGGAGGGATTGTCGCGAGCCTCCCTAGGTCTGGCCCGTCGTCAAGTGAAGCGGTAGAATGTGATGTGCAGGGGAGGGGAAGGGAGCATTTTCGTGCCTATTGTGCTTCCTTCCAGGAAGGCCGTAGGCACTATGTTATGGTGTTGTGTAAACCTTCCTCCAAGCCCCCCACGGTTTTCAAAATGGCAGACTATCGTGAGACGCTCGCAACGTGCGCTTGCATGACCAAGACAGTCAAGCGTGAACTTCAAATCAAAAACTTGAATGTTGAAAATAAAACTTGAATGAATGTTGAGATAAACCTCGTATATTGAATATTAAACTTGAATATTGAAAACAAGACTTGAATTTTGGCGGGGATTGAACGCCATAGTTCAGGGTGTCACTGAGTTTCGACTTGTTATCGATTTGAACGAAAGAGCTAAGTCTTCAAACGTTCTCGCAGGTGCGTTTTACTCGGAACATATCCAACATATCTTGTAAAGAAGAACGTAAATCCCAAGGAAAAAAGGAGAAAGAAAAGAAATACAAAAACAAAAAAATCATGTGGCCAGGGGTCGAACCTTACACCCTCTGACACGAGATTCACTTCGCTTGGTACGCAAAGCGTACGAAGAGGCGAAGTTTTGTATAAAAATTCATTTGACACAGTTGATGGTGTACCTCTTCTATTAATTTCTCGCCCAGTCCCCAGCCTGTCAATTGACCGGTGTACAAACTCTGTTCTAACCAAGTTCTCCTTTTGCCACAATTCTGGCATCGACAAGAGTTGTTCACTAACCCCTCTGCATTTTACACCACATTGCTTTCTTACTGCAATACTCAACAGCTATACAAAAGTAGGCACGTGCAGCCATAGACTGTATCTTATGTTGCTTGAGAGTACTCACAGCTTTGAGACTGTTATTCTCCTCCTTAAGCTTTACAACATGATGTATCTTTTGCTTCTTGTTCTGGTGACCGAGTAACTTGGCATACTGCTGGCCTAGCTTGGCAACCTAAAGCAGTAGTGAACAGAACATGTCTGAAAAGGTTTTTGAGCAACTTTAACGTTGTGGCTATTCAAAATTTCTTGATGGGTTCAGTAACACCCTGTATTTAACAGCAAAAACGTTGTTTCCTCTTTTCATGTTTTTACTGGCAAATAGGATGGTGAGTAATTTGTCTATTCAAAATCAAATAGCCATTCCGGATGCAGAAATAACTTACAATTCAATCTGAAGTCTTTGAAATTCATTAAATTGCCCTGAAATATGCCTCAGCTTATTTCGGCTACACTGTGAAAAATTTCTAAGATTTCTGGACCCCTTTTTTTAAAAATTATTTGCTCCGCCCTTGAAACAAGTACACTTCATGTTGTTTCCTTCAGTGAGTACATTAGGGAATGGAGGAATAATGAGCCGTTACAACCCTCACGGGTGGGGAGGGTGAGAAAAGAAAGTGAGCAAGCCCTATTACCACAAGAGCCTCATAAGTTAACTGCCCGCTCACCGCTCTATGAAAAAATAAGTAAATGAATCAGGAATTTAAAAAAGTAAAAAATATATAATCAAAATCTCTCATTCATATATCAGTCCATATGTTAGTGGTGAGACCTGACATAACCTGCGATAAAGTGTTCTTTATTCAGGCTCCTAAATACACCATCGTGCACCCAGAAAAAAAGAATGCCTGATCGCAGGTAAGGCTTGGCGATGCAAACATCTTTTACCTCGTCCTTTGCTTGGTTATTCTGACAGAGGAGAGCGTTTCTTTCAGCTTCGTATTCATCCAGTTGATCCTACGACAGTTAAACTAAGCGTCACTAATACCTCTTGAGAAGCGAAACAAATGTTCATTTACCGTTATAACAAAATTTTTGAATGATGACACGAATGACCTCATAGCAGTAAAAAGACAAGTCAAGCCCCTTCTTCAAACATACTTAAGCCTGTTGGTCCAAAATTATTAACAGAAATCTATCGTTACAACACTTTTTCTAGGCAAAGGTCATGTTTTATTGAGTTGTTAACCTCGGGGGCCTTTCTAGATTTATCAAGGAGAGTTCGGTTGCCGTGATGTAGAGTTTTAAAGCATGACCTGACCTTGAAGGGCTCAATCTTTTGGACCAGATCTTCGTATTTAGTTCGCCATCTAGAACACGAAGAAACAAAAATAGCAGCACACAAAGTTACTGTCAAATGCTAGGTTGATAAGAAAGAAAGACACCAAAATGGGAATGATGAAAAAGAACTAGAATGATTTGGGATGTAAAAGATTCACACGGATTGCAAACGACAAGTTTGAAATTTTGCTTTGAATTTTCCTAGTTGAGTAAACTGTAAACGAGGCGTGGCCTACTTCAGTTTCATCAACAACAAGTCTTACCGTTGGTATTTCTCTTAACTAACGCCTATTTTTAAGGGTACTTACACTTCAATTTGGGCTTTTAACTCATTCAACTGATCATCGTTGCTTGTTCTACTGCAGAAAAGAAAGGATTATGTTGATCTGGTAAGCTGCAGAAATTACAAAATATAACTAAAATAATCAAAACTACGAACAAATTCTCGAATGTGATTGGTTACCAATCTGAGCACTAGAAGTTAAACCGTTATACGCCTGCCGTGTAAGCATGCTTTGAGCACGCTGTTATATGGACTACTGACTATTGAATTCATTATCATGTGATAAGTATGGTGTATGTAACAAGAATCATAGGTTCAGCCAATGGTTATTTTGTTTCAAAAATGCTTTCATATTTTGTATCTGAAATTGTAACAGGACTTTGCGTCGTTCACTTCCGCCTGTAATCAAAACTTGTGATTAAGAAACAGGACCCTACTATTATTAATGAACACATAATTCCAATACGAGCGGGGTAAGACATTTAGTATTACAAATATCAACCACGATTCTCTTCTATAAAAAACTGTGAAGTTTGTTTGGCGGCTGTAGATCTTACCTGCTTAGTTCCGATTTCAATCTGTTTACTTCTTCTTCTGCTGAAAAGAGTTTCCTGCAGAGGGACAATGCAAAGTAAAATGAAACAATTATGATAACGAACAACGAAGGTCGTGAGTTTCAAATTTGCACAGTAACAACTGCTCTACAACCCCATAGCTGACCATTCGCCCGACGTCAATAGAAACATCTCTAAGTTAACTTTGAAAACCGAGCTGAATTCAAACGTGAGATGGCTTTCTCAGTTTGCAGTGTTTTAAGAACAAAAACATTGGCCTACCCTGTTACGTAGTCTAGAGACATATCAGTAGATTCCTCAGAAAGAATGATAAGATTTGTTTAAACACAAAAGGTGTCTTTCTTTCGTTATGTCATACCTTTCCATTTCCATATCCTTTTCCTTTGACTTCGTCTCCTGTTCGCTTCTGAAACTGAATTTTGAAAAAAAGCAAATAAGCACACAATAAATTCTGAAACATGGATGTGGCGATGGATGTAATTGAAGAGGTAAAAACGGCAAACGAGGACCGAGGAACGAGATACGAGAACTTCGAATTTGTTGTTATTGTTTGTTGGTGCGAAACTAGTCGCTAGTGTTTCGCTTAAGATCAAGCACTTTCTACACAGAAAACATCAACGTTTCCAAATAAATGAACATCTTACTTCTCAAAATTTATCTCCGCTTGTGATAACTTCTTTTGGGTCTCCACGAGTCGCCTTCAAAAGCGAAGAGAACAAGGGAAAAAGGAAAACAGCAAGCTTGAAAATTGGAATTTACACTTATTTCAAACCGGCATTTTTTTACCAAAATCTGTTCATACGCACCTTCCGAATTCTTCTTTTGATTTAGCCGCTTTCTCTTCAAATGATTTTATTTGTCTGAAGTAAATAGGAAAGATGAAGATCTCTCAGCAAGCAAACCTTGAATGCCTTGAGAATGAAAGATTCAAAATGGCAGTGCGCTTCCTGAAGAAAGTTAAATTTGCAAAGTTCAAATTAACACGCCTTCGTCAGCAACCTTAACCTTTGCCGCGACTATCGCTATAAACTAGGAAAAAAAACTTGATGAGTCCGAATGGATTCACGGATCACTTCGGCTTTAAATCAACTTACCGTGTAAAGTTCTCTTCGGATTCCTTCAATTTTTCTTCTAATTCCTTGTTTATTGACTGGTACCTTTAAATTGTTTTAAAGATGATACAGTTTGGAGAGATTAAATACTCATATGAATTCATAGACTGTTGATAAGTTTATCTTGTAGTGGTGCCATACCCACGTCGGGTGCATCAAATGTATTTTGGTTGATTATCAAAGCCTAAAAAGCAAATGTGTTATGTTCGAAAGAAATAATTCATTTGAGCGGAGAAAAAGCTCTTCCCTCTATCCTTTAGCTCGTGGATAGGAAACGAACGCAAGGTATCGGTGCAGCAGAACGTACAATAATTTTGGATCACGTGTTCCCAGAGAGAAAACAATTGTAGCCAATAGTATCACTACATTGTTCATCATAGCTTTTTCAGACGAAACTCAGCTTTTGGTCAAAACAAGAATTTCATCTTCAATCAATCATGATCACAACGGTAGACTCGGCGCAGGCCGCCGACGTCACTAAACACGATTGTCTAACAGTTGCTTCTCCTTGCACGAGAAAACAATTCATCCAAAAATTTTCCTTGGCTGTAGGCTGGCATTTTTGATTGGTTCCTACCTATAATGGTAACCCTTGTTCAAGATTCTTACCTTTCGAGTTCATCCTGCATTTTCCTCTCTACTTCCTGCTTTTCACATATTTCACTGGATAAAATACAACAGTTAACCATTATAACCACTTGGTATTGAACTGAAGAATGAATCGAATAAAGGCAATCACAAGAACTAACAAACCTGTTTAACTGAGCTTTGAATGCTTTTATTTCATCCTCTTGTTTCTTCTGATTGCTGTTGACGATCACAAAACTACTTAGAAAGGATCTTATTTAAAAGAGGGTCTCAATGGGGTTAACCGTAAACCGTAAAATGGTAAAAACATCCATTGACATATTTTCACAGTTACTCGCAAAAAAATTAACCTTAAACTTTTTTTCTTTCAACAGTGACGGAAAAAATCAACCGTCAGCCTTAAAAATGACCAAACTTGAAAATAAAAGTCATCTCCCCATTGAGACCCTATTAATCATCTGAAGATCAATAAAAATTTATGTCGACTTGCGATTATTCATCTGCCAGCAGAGCTAAGGGAAGTCTGCTCTTGAGCCCACTGGCAGAAACCGCGGGAACGTATCTCAGTGCGATTGGGGGTACTGCTGGGTATAATGGTGTCGGTGCATTTCAGGTTTTTCCCCTCCCCCCCCGCCCAGGATTTCACCACGTTTCCCTGACAGTTTAATTATACCCATTTACACTCTTGTGTAGAGAGAGGCGCTAAGGAGGTAAAGTTTATTTGCAAGAACGTAGAAAACAGAACACAATAACCCAGCCTGAGCTAGAACCTAGACCTCTCGATCTGGAGTTCCACGCATTGATCACGCGCGCTGATCACACCGCGTCTGCAACAAAGAGCCACAGGGCTGATATTAGTAAATGTACAAAGACAAACCTTTCCATGAGTTGTAATTTCTGAGATAAGGCCTCCTCTCTCTTGATGAGGTTATCGATGGTGTTGTTAGCCTTGGGAAGAGAACAGGAAATGAAATCAGTCCAAGCCGATGTTAAACTCTATTCATTCGCTAACGTGACACATACGAAGGAAAGAATGGAGAAATCAGGAATTGATCAACGATGACAACTCTATGGAGGTACCTCGTCTAGTGCTTTTCTCAGACAAGCCTTAGCTAGTCCTGTTTCTTCCATATTTTTTGTCAGTTCTTCTTTGGCCATTTCCAACTCAGCCTAAAAAGACATTCAATGAGAGAAGTACAAAGTTAACAAACAAAATGTAGGGACTAGCATTGAAAACTACTCACTATCTAGAGGAAATTTCGAATTTCCTCACTGGCTCGGGCCTTGGTCAACAGCCGATAACGATCGGCTAACTCAAACTCTACACATGCGTCCTTTCATTTGACCGTGTTAAGTTGAAATCGTGCTTACGAACAATCATTTGTAAATGTTGTGGTTCAATTTTATCCTTGGTTCAAATTTTATTTTCCTTTGTTTCAAACTCATTATCATACACTACAATACCCAAAAAAAAAAGAAAATGAAATTTGAACCAAGGATAAAATTGACTATTTTATTGTTTTCCTGCGGATAAGAATTAACAAGATATTCACCGAGGTTGCATCTTAAGTTTTCCTGACACAGCGGGGTAGCGTAAGAGCTTACAATAGAGAGCGATAGTCTAAACCAGCGTCTTACCGGGATTTAGGGGTCATGCCAGATGGTAACTTTTCATTAAAATAGAGGGGGTATTTCCGCGCTTAGACCCCCCCCTCCCCCCCCACTAAGGTACGTTTTTGTCAAATTCGCTCGACGCTGTGCAAAGATCAAACCAAGCTTACCTTAGCGCGCTCGACTTCTCTTTGGCAGTTGGATAAGTTATTTTGCAAAGAGTCAGCTTCAGTCTAAATCAGCAGTAAAATTAAATGATAATAAACATTTTTTTAGCACGTCAGAGTGTTTAAGCCCGGTTACCAAGCGCTCTTCGGGGAAATTTGTCCGAGCTCCTCTCATACAAGACATTTCTTCTAGAGGACACAGGTAAACGCGGAAATCGAACCCAGGCCTCGGTTGTTCGAGAGATAGATAACGCTATCCATTGAACAAATCTTTTTTCCGGTGAATAGCGATCAATTTTTTGGATAGCGTCAGATTGGGCTCAGATTGTTACTAGCTAAATGGATAAAAAAGAACTTGTCTTTTTTGTCTGTCAATCACTGCCTCGTTGAAATAGAAGGTTGGTGCCTGGGCATTGCTGGGACTTTCCATGAGTCCAGCCAACCTTCGGAAAAAATACCGCCGCTATAGATGGCAAATCTCCGCAACCCAGTCATGAGTGCCCATCTCAAGCAATTTTCAACACTGATTGGATCAGCGAAAGGAAATATATAAAGAGAGAGGACGAGGTGAGGAAACGCTCGAAAACAACCGCTTCAAAACTGGGCTATTAGGGTTATTACGCATGCAAGACTGATCAAGAGCTTAAAGACGCCAGCTGTAGTTGCAACATTTCACATGAGCTTGCACTTCTGACAATGATCCCTGACCAGGAAGCCTGCCAAGCTCATGGCGTTTAACTACAGAAGGAGATAAATGAAGTGTAAAAACTTTCCAAAGAGACTGTTTCTAACTGTTGCTTTAAGACTTTGAGGGGTAAACTGGGGTCGTCAAGGTAATATAGCATAGCTTTTTGTTAAAAAAATAATCATAACGCAACACAAGACGGTTGATAGTGTACCTTCCAACAATTCACTTGTTGACTAAGTCCATCACATTCCTCTTGGAGCTGTTCATTCTTTTGTGTGAGGTAGACACAAGTCTTCAGTTGCTGATCACTTTCCTGTCGACTAAACAGCAGGCACAACTCTCATGATATTTTTTCCGGCAATGACAGAATTCCTGCTCAACATAAACCTTTTCTTGTATTTCAAATGTTTTCTACGACGCCAAATATGCACTGGCCATAAAATTTTAGCACATCTGATACACTGGATTTTGATGCTGGACAGGTTCAAGCTTACAAAAACCATTTCACTCACACAACCCCTCACTGTAAAGTGAAACAAGCCTTACCTTTTCTGAAAAGACTGTCTTGTTACTTCTAACTCAGCTAAAATCAAGTTCTTCTCTTTCTCAGCCTCAGATTGAAAGCAAGCTAAAATAAAAAATGTCAGTGCCAAATTAAGAAGTTGACTTCCTAAGGTAAATTATGCAAATTAATAACATGACAGACTTGTTCACATCTTTCATTTCAATTTTTCTCCCAAACTACCAAAAACTAATCAAACTTTTAACTATATAACAGCTTACTGTAAGAATCCTCTAGATCTTGATATTTGTCAGTCAGTGATCTTACATTCTCTGTCATCATTTCCTCATACCTACAATAGATGCAAACTTCCATGATGCAAATAAACAATGGCTGTCTACTACCAAACCAGTGTCAAAGAGATAATAGGCACTTGAATATTGAATGGAGGCATTTGAAATGTGGATATTTTGCGGGTTGGGCAGAAAAGGACGGACACAAAGAGTTATCAAACAAATTAAAATATAACAGTGGTCATATCATTTATCAACCCAGGATTTGTAAAGATATTCTAGATAGACAAGTGAACAGGAAAAGAGGGAGAAAAAGACCATAAGGGAAGTGAGTGGATGCTTTCAAGGTACTGCCAGGGAAGACTTTATTAAAATGACCGCAAGTGGCCTGAGGCTGAAAAAGATGGAGTACCATTCCATGGCATCTTATGGAGAAAGGACTCAGCTTTCCGAAGACACCACTGGATGGCAATGAGCCCTAAAATAAGTTGTTGATATGGTTACCTGTGAAGTTCTTTTTGCAACGATTCCACTTGATCATTGGCAATGGACAGTCTCTGCTCATAATCACTTTCACACTTCTGAAGCCTACTTTCAATTGCAATGTTCTCCACAGACAAATGCCTACAGTTTCAAAAATCAGAAAAAGTAAAATAGTATAATTAGATAAGGGATCCTGTACATTTTTTGAGAGAAAAACTCACAACTTTGTTAGGACCACTATAGAGGTCACATCATTAAAAAAAAAAATTAAAAACTTAAATTAGCTTCTATTTGCAAATTTACTGACATAAAAGAAAAACCAACCAATTTATGATTCAATCAGCTTGGACTGATTTTGTCTTTATAATGTAAGTCTATGTGAATCTTCTTGTCAAAATGTGTCACAAAGTACCTTGCCCTTTCTTCTGCAGACTGTTCTTTCTCAATTAACTCAAACAGTTTAGCCTCCAAATCATGATTTTTGTTTTCCAAATTTTCTTTTGTCTCTTGTAGTTGGACAATTGTAGACTGTGCTTTGGTAAAATTCTCCTCACTCTGTCTTAAGGAATACTCCAACTTTTCACCAAGTTCTTGACTTTTCTAGAGATAAAAGACATTTGCAAATTGCATATTATCTTGTAAGTGAGTTGAGTTGCAAAGTTAGCACAAAAGTAATTGCATTCATTTGATATGCATCTCCTCTATCTGAATAACTTCAATTGGAAGTATTTATCTCAGACTGTGAATCATACAAACTTTTAAAACCTGTTATTTTCAGACAGTCTGAGTTATAACAAACAGTAGCACCTAGGCACTTCACATCTGCAACACCTTCATCATAGTCATTAATAATGAATATTGGGACTGGCTTTTGTAAGTGACGCATTGTTGTTAATTGACTGCAAAACACTGAGTACAGAGGAAATGGGAACAGAGATCTCGACAAATTTACAAGAGGTGCTTATCACACTCTAGGTAATTGATGAGTCCATGAACACTTTTAATTTCATACCTGCATCTCTTTGCTCAACATTTCTTCAAGAGGAAGAACTTTGTCCTCATTTTCTTTTATGGCAGTCTTCAATTTCTGACAGACACCCTAAGTTATGTTCAGGTAAAATTTATAAGTATGACCTCTATGAAATGGGAAAAATAATGAGAAGCTTTGACAAGGGGTCTTCTTTCTTGAATGGTAGAAGTGGTAGAAATAGCAAGCTTTTGTAAGATATGTGATACCCCAGTTGGATCATTGAAGGTTTGTAACTATGCATACCTCTAGTTTTTCTTCAGTTTCATCAAGTTTTGTTCTGAAATCCATGTTATCTCTTCTAAGACTAGCAACCAGTTCTAAAAATGTGGTCAATTGGAAAAGGGATGAGTAAACGTCAAGATGCATGAAAACCTTTGCAATTCCTAAAGGAAAACTATCACTTACCATGGAGTTGTTGATTTGCTTTTTCTACTTCATCTCTGTCCTGCGTTACCTCTGAAACTGTCTTCTCTAAAAACAAAACCATTATCCTTGAGCCACAAACTATTACAGTTGATCGGGGATTATCTAAAGCACTTGCAAGTATTACAAACATGACATCAATTTTTAAATAACATACTTATTGACTCAGCCAAATTGAGGAATAAAGAATAAACAACATTTTGATGGCAACCAATATCTATAAAATGAATTTAAGTGAGATACAATATTTATTTTTTAATGTTGGCAACTTTCTGGAGAGAATATGTTTAATGATGAACACTGATAAATATAATTTGGGAACAACGGAACTTTATCCTGCCATATGCTAACTGCTCATTGCATATCATGAAATTCTCTGGGGGTTCAATGCTCTATCTTTTCCAAAACAAGGATGCTAACAAACAAACAATTTCCAAAGAAAATATAATTTCCTGAGTACTTTCTGTGTCATATAATATGCAGTGGGACAGCAAGACAACAAGCTTTTTCAAGTCTATTCAGTAGTGTCTCCATCAACAAACCTAAGTGTGAAATTCTCTCATTGAGAACTCTGTTTCTGTCCTGTTCCAAATCCAAGTCAGCTCTTGAGCTCTGAGCTGCACAGCTCAATTCAAATTTAAGACTGGATATAACCTATTGTTAAAACAAATCATGTTTGTCAAATTTCACCCACATACAGCACAAACCTCTTGTAGAAAATACTTCATATGAAGGCATTACCCAAAAATCGTCAAATCATATCAGTTTAATAGTAACAGTTATAACATATTGGACTGAACTGAGTTAACTGGTAGCAAAAGTAAGCAGATTTCCTTCCTTTATGTTTAATTAGGTTTTTTGGACCTGACCATACACATACACATACACAACACTAAATGGTATTCTACTCATTTTGAACAAGCTTCACAGTGGTGAGCCAGAAAGAATGAAGACAGACATTTAAACAAACAATTAGAAGACATTCCCCCCTCAATAACTAGAGTTTTAATATTATAATACCATTATGAACTTCATTTTTTCTTTGATTCCCTTCTTGAAATCCAACGGAAAAAAAACCTGGATTTTCACTTTCACTTATTAATTTCTGACTCACCCCATCCTTATCTCGTAGTTGCTGCTTGACTGTAGTTAGTTCCTCCTTTAATGATTCTATACTATTGTTGGTTGTTGTGATGACCTGTTTCAGAATTCAAGTAATATATAACTTTATGAGATAAACACAACATACAAATGATCCCACTGTTGCCTGTTTCACTTACTTGTAATTTCTCAAGCAGCATATCATTTTCTTGCCTTAATTCTTTGAGTTGTCTATGAAGGTCAGCAATGGAAGACTCGTGGCTACCTTTTTCTTGCAAGGTAGACTGTAAAAAATAAACAGGAAAATACTCCAAAATCGAGTTAATTGTTCTTTCCAATTTACTTGTTGGGAAGACGTTACTTTGCTAACATGCCATTATCAGCCTGTCTATCATGTAGCTTGCTGTATAACCCTTTCACCCTCAAGAGTGACTAGCATCTAATTTCTCCTCCTGATGTCACCCCTGAATCAAACATCAATAGTGGGGAGATTAAAGGAAGTGATCACTAACTAAAGAAGCTCCTGATTATTAAACAAATTCCCCCTGGTAGCAGTTTAGGAAAAGTATCGAGAACAGTATGGAGAATATACAGAATGATGTTATGGTGTTAAGGGTTAAGATATAGATTTTGATAAATTATGAGGGTGACCTAATGGTTACCAGGCTTGACTCTGTGTGGAGAGGTCTGAGTTCAAGACCTGGCTGGGTCATTGTGTTGTGTTCTAGGGCAAGACTTTACCCTCACACTGGCCTTCACCAAAACAGAATACAGTCAAACCTCAATTATCTGGACCTTGATTATCTGAATTTTTTTATGGTCCAGACTCACTTCTCTGGTCATTAATCAGTTACATTTGCAATCCTTAAAGCAAATGTAATGAAACTTCTGCTGGAACTGAATTTGTTCCACTTTCCAAAGCTGTTGAATGTTATCTGGGGCTATTCAGACCAGTCCCCACAAGTTGGAGTAATTAAGGTTTGACTGTATTTAAGACAGTTGCTGACAAACCTGACAAATTTTTTTGAGGGAGGGCAACCTCCCCTGGGCAACCAACCCATCTGGGAGGGGAAGCAACACTCATGTTTGCTTCATGTTACAGAAATCAGGATAGGCCTTTCATGGATGGACCACTTAGTTTGAATGCAGACATCAAATTCAACTTCTTGTACCTGAAGCTTGTTTTCCAAGTGCTGAAGATCCTGCTGAGCCTGACATAGTTTGTCCTCAAGTTCTATCTTCTCTGACAAAAGTTCTGACACCTATGTGATCATGTAAACATCACCAAAAGTTACAAAACTCACATGCAGTGTAGCATTGCGGCGAAAGCTCTAAGCTGCCATGCCCTTTAAGAGGGTTCTCAGTTTCTAACTAGGCTTTCAACAAGTGAAGTGATTAGAGAACCCTAATTTAAAAAACTCACTGAAAGCCACAATGTGAGTCATTGCTTTACTTCTAAACTGTCATCCAGTGATTAAATATACCGTACATGGTATGGATTTAGTTCTGCAATATATTATATTGTACACAACCTACCTCAGTTTCCACTGCTGCATTATTCTTACAATGATCATTTCCTCTGGTGTCTGGTGTAGAAGTTGATATGTTTCTCTTCTTTTTAAAGGGAAGAGGTGTGGCAAATTGCTACATTTGGAGTGAAAGTAATTTGCTTTATTGTAAATTCTGAAATCTTAAATGGATGTTGAAAATTTTCAAAAAAGCCACAATCTATAGAGAACCTCCACTTACACTGCATTTACTGTCATTCCGACTTGATGTGCTACAAGAACTTATGTCTGTGAGAGAATATCAAACAAAGAATCTACTATTTCAACAGGACTACATGTATTTTTAACCACAAAAACACTGGAAAACGAAGACCATGTTCAGAGAAATCCATGAGCAGACATCCCTAAACATTTCTTGTAACTCTACACCTAACTCTTTAACCCTTTCACCCCCTCAAGTGACCAAGAGAGAATTTCTCCTTACAATATCAATACAATATCAAGCAGGTAGGTGATGAGAATAGAGAAGAATATAAATTATGGGATTATTTGTTGATCCAACACCAAATTCTCTAAACTAACATCATAAGAATTGTATGGCAGATAGTATGGAGAATTACTAATTAGATCTTGGGAGTGAAAGGGTTAACTATCATGAGTGACCAATACAGAATTTCTCCTTACAATATCAACACAATATCAAGCAGATATTAGGGACGAGAATAAAGAAAAACATCAATTAGGGGATTATCAGTTGATCCAATTCCAAATTCTCCAAACTTACATAATAAGAACTGTATAGCAGACAGTAAGGAGAATTACTAATGAGATCTTTGGAATGAGAGGGCTAGTAATATCAAAGATATCAGGTGCCCTAGATGCTTATGTGTGCTTATGGACTGAAACAATTACAGTTTTTATCTAGTATTGGCTTGGTTTTCTCGCCATATCTCAGGTATCATCAGCTGGATTGAACAAGCATTATGGAGGGTGTAGTGCAGCAGCTCGCCAAAAGAGCTGAATGGTGACAGAATACAGAGCTATTATACACCAACCACTTTGTGGTGATAAGTGAGTCAGTGATATGAGGTGTTATTTTAACTTTGTGGGGTGGAAATTCCTTTTCAACATAACTATATATAACAATTTGAATCACATAACTTTGGAAGTAAAATAACTCAGCTTAAGACATCAGCATATCTTACTCACCCAGAAAACTTTTCCCACAGGTTGCAGAAGACAAACCTGAATCTGACAGAAACAAAAAAATCAGCCTCATGTGTGAAACCAAAAATTTAGGTATGGCAAAAATATTCATTCTCTTGGGTGGAAAGAAGCACTGTGAAATTTGATTGCCTTGGCTAAGAACACTAATAACACTGTCATGACTGACCCAAATGCTTTTTTATCCCTGTTGCATTGCTATGATCATGCTGTCACAGAGTCTCTATTACCCCAGTTCCATTGGATAATATACCTCTGTCAAGAGAAAACTGACATAACCAGATTTTTTTAGCTTCATTTTTTCTAATGATCAAGCTGAGATTTTACTAATTATACATCAATACTTAAAATTAGGTGTAAGAGAGATGTCTAGCTACTTTGGTTAGACAATTCCAGAATAAGGGTGAATTTGCAGTGCAAAATGAGTTCAATTGCATTTCATTTCCCATAAAGATCCCCTTAATCTATCTACCCTCCAAAACCACCATACCCTCCCTTGGACAGTACATGACCCAAGCATTAAAGATATTCTTTTGGTAACAGACAAAATGTTGAGACTTTAATTGAAGAAGGTTTTTAGTCTTAAGGTGAATAATCCCTGGATATCAGTGAAAACAGATCTTGTGTTGTACATAAATATTTCTTTGTGATGAACGCTACACTCAGGTATCTGCTTGTTTTGCTGTACATTAATTGTACCTCCACATATAAGAATTACCTTTCAGTTCAGTAAATCTCTTTCCTTTGCCAAATCCAGCTGCTGCAGATACTTGTGTTTGACCCTTTACATCATATAATCCCACAGGAGGTGCCTGAGAAACTACAAGGAAATACTCCTGTATTCAAAATTCCGAAAAAAATGGTGTGGAAAGATGGCTGACCTTGTTCCAGCACACTAACAACTTTTGCTAGCACTAAACTTGATTTCCACCTGACAAATCCATTTCTTAACTAACGTTAGTTTCATTAATACATAGAATCTTATTAATACTTAGAATCTAACAAGGCGGAAAACAATATCAGAGTTCAGCCTCTCCAAACAGATCGTGCGAAGGCTGCATAACACCTTAGTTACTCGTATAGCAAGCAAGTACATTTTAAAGCTCATTTGTTTGTAGGGCAAGGAATCACATCATTCTATAATCCATGCTGAGGTCATAAGGGGTTAAGGAACTGTATTATTTGCTTTGTAGCACAAAGTCAGAATTTTCAATTCAGAAACTATACAATATCAAGGCGGACAAGACAAGCAAGGCAAACCGGACAATCAGCAAAACCGAAGTACCCATTTTGCTCTACAAACTCTTTACGGAAAATAAAATCCCTCTCTACCGCTTACCTGGCTCTTGAAATCTCTTGGATTTGGAGAACATGTTTTATAACAGAGTAACTACTTTTGGATAACGGAAGAATGCTAGTTGTGCAGATGTCGTGCATATGTGCTCTTGAATGGAAATCGACACGGTGTTTCAGGTTGTTCGTTGCAGCAGTGTTTAAAAATAAACCAATCACAGGGAGAGTTTCATTAGTGGCCTCGACTTCACGTTGATTATTTTCCCGCGAGATTTTTTTGTTAAAAATTTGAACTTTATTTTACAGATGTAGTAATGAATACGAAGTATCAGAAACATTTATTACTGTGTCTTTTAATTACTGATCTCCTGTTTGCGCTAAAAAAGGGACTAATCCACGAGAGGCGATTTCTTTAAAATAGTTTATGTTGATATAAAAACACCTTAACTATTATCATTTTTACAAGACATGAAAGGGAAGGAGCCAAGTTTCGATTTATAATAAGCCCTTTTGTGTTCAGTATCCCTGGACAGATTTTAAAAAAATGGTTTATGGAAAGTAAAAGAGAAGGTTTCGGAACTTTTTCAACGAAAGGAAACCATTCTTTATGCCGCCGAAATTCGAAATGTTGTGTTTTCTTAAGAGAGAACCAATTGTAAGGAAGAAAACTACCATGTGATTTAAACTGACCAATAAGCCCTTATTTGTGCTATTGGTTTTGATTGGTTGATCGAGGATTAGCCTACCAACCAAAATGGCGTCTTTTTAAGTTTGATGCATATTCAATGTTTACTACAAAGTTTTGTCGTTTATCTTTGATCACATTGAAGATGTCCTAAAATTTCGATAACATCTGCACTGGAAATGAATATGATCGTCTCTGTAAGAGTTTCTAGAGGCTTTTAGCCAAATATTTTGAGAAACTATTGTACCCTTCCGACCTTGACCTTCCCGTCGCTATGAGTTCTACAGTACGCGATGAAGATTACATCAAATTTCTTCAAGATCAAGGTACACATGACTGTTTATTCAGATAAACGAAGATAGTATGAACGTTTGGCGTATACTAGGGAAGTTTCATGACTAAACTTTCCTTAGACCACCTGTTGATGTTAAGATTTAATTTTTAATGACTTTCTGCGAAATATGGCCATGATCTGAGGTACCTGAAAGTTCTGCAAAAAAGTGACATCAAAATTTTGCAGAATCGATGACAATTTCATCAGATTATTGCTTAATGATAGAATATTTAAAAAAACTGCTGATATCAGGATATACGAGGCTTGATTAAGTTTATTATGAGCTTAATTAGTATCGAAGGGTCGACCTAATTACTACGTATACTCTGAAAATTTAGAGCAAAATCTTGCAGCAGTAACACAGTTAGACTGTAAACGAGCTTCACACTTTCTGAAAATACAGTGTAGAAATACAAAATTACCTTAAATTGTTTACTAGGTGAACAATCCATCGAAAAAAATCTGATCGCACTGCACGAAAACAAGATGCTATACGGAACGTAAAGGTCGTTATTCTGTCAGAGATAGCGCCAGTCATTAAATTATTAAATCAATGTAAAATCAAATGGTTGTTCCAATCATTATGTATATGTTATGACATAGTGTACATGCAAATGATGATGTAGAAAATAATTTTTTCATCATTCTTGTCAACTACGAATGGTAGAGTCACCTTGTGGCTGGAAGTCCTCTCATTTCACATCTGGTCCTATTTCAGTAGTATCATGCTTCTATCAGAATCCCCTCCCACCCCCCCCCCCCTCATTTAGGGATTATCATTTCATGGTAGGGTTACCTATTGGCATTTCATCAATTTGCCTTGTCAATTTGCTGGTACTTGGTTAATTTCTTGAGTGACTTGTCCTCATCCTTTGAAATGTGGACCTTTCAAAATGAGAGGCTTGTAAACTCACCACTCAGCCACATACTCCTCAAGGAGCCAATCCTTTGCTAAATCCATGTATCAAGTGGTTTGGACTAGTCACAGCTCAGCTTGTTTCAGGCCCTTAGTCAGTGGAGACAAGCAAAAGAGTGAGCAAGCATCAAACAGCAGTCTCTCTTGTCTGGGAAATGGCTGCTTTGCCTGAGCCCTGCTGTCATTTTTTAGCACCTGAGAACGTGACATATGCTAATTGCAACTCTAAGAATGATAATAAATAAGCGCCTGTCTACCAGGAAGTCACTTTGAAAGGTAAAGTAGGTCAACAACTCCATAACTAGACAACCAGACCCTATGGTGATGCCTTAAATCAAACAGTGCTGATTTGATGTCCATTGTTATCTTTCAGTGAGGAGACTAAATGCTGTTCTTGAGGAATATCAAAAGAAATATCTTCCTGTTAAAGAACCAGATGTCAAGGTAAAGTTAACAAAAATTCATAATACAATAGAGTCCCAATTTCTTGAATCCTTCAAGCTGGGTTCTTGAAACTTCCAATAATTTGATTCAATGCTGATTTTTACTTCTTAGGCAAAAAGTATGATATTCTGAAATTAATACCATATTTTTGGAATCCTCTCATAATTCAAACCAATTTCCTTTGTCCCAGCCTCACTCTTCATGGGTCAGATGTTTGAGTGTGATACAACATATGCTAAAAATTATTTAATTTATTTTTCAACACTTTTGTGCAAGATATTTGATTATGATTTTATAATTATGATCATTGATTTCAATTTTTAAATGTTCATCTTTTTTTCTCAAGGGGAAAGAGCCTCTTCCTCCATGGATCACAAATTCCAGGTTAGAAAATATTCTGGTGTTAAACATGAAAGGTTACTGAAATCAGCTTATTCCTACATCTGTCCTGGAAGATAATGCTTCATAACTGAGGCATAACTAAATATTTGACTTCCTAACTTGATGGAGACTGGTCTCCATGCAATTGAAACATTATTAAAATTGAAAGCAAGCTACTAAGTCAGAAGACAAGCAATAATTAAAATTACTTTAATCATTATTGTATCTCTATTTCTCAATGTTTTTCAGCTCTTACATTCAGTACACCTAATCTGTTTTCTTTTTCTCATAGATGTTATTATATAATGGTAGTATGAGAAATCAAATGGATGTAATTCTACATTATGCTTGTAATGTCTACTCTCCAGTCATTTACAGCCAGTCTTTTTGGTGAAGTGTTTCTCCTCTCTCTCCCTCCCTCCCACAAATAGTATTCCCCTCCATCCTACCCACTGATAATGTTCCCCCTACCTCCCCTCTCACCCACAGGTAACTGCTTGATGTTTAAGGTGGTAAATTTAGAAACACAAAGACTTTCTTTAAAAGTAAATTTTAATAAAATTTCTAATTCCTCCTTAAACATGTCAAGGCTTATTTCAATATTTTTCTGTTTGTTGCAGCATTTTATCCCCTCTTCTAGTTGAGTATGATAACAGCATCAAAAGTTCTCAGGAGCAGGTCTTGTTCCTCAAGGTAAATCAGAAGCAGATTGAAATAATTCTTGCAGCACCAAACCCTGGTTGTGAAAGATTTGAATGATTTGTAGTCATAAGACTCATTTTTGTCTTTTAACATGACGAATAAGGAAACCATAGAATTTATTAATTTGTTTGTTTCTGAAGTAGTCATGCTGTTTTGGTGGGACAAGTGAGTTTCAAAAGCTAGAAGTTGATTAAGGGTTGATAAAGAAAGATACTCTATCATGACAAATCTGGAAAGCTGACAATTTGAGTGATTTAGTGGGCTAACCTTTTTTAGCATTTGTTCTGCTCTGGCAAAGAGATAACATTTGAAAGCATCATGTCAACTCTCCAAATTGTGTAACATAGTTTCACTTTACTCTGAGTCAGTTTCAAGTTGATTACCAATGCATATTTTACAGGATTTACAAGCACTTTGTTTTAGATTTCCTAAGCATATTTCAACTGTTTTTGATTTTAGGAAGAGTTGTCTTCATTGAAGCAAAAGACAGATCATGTTGTTCAAGAAAACACAAGGTGTGGTCTTAGCTTTGATGTTTTTTTCTTCTTTTGCTCCTGACACACATTGTGGTTTGTTAATATCTTAGTTGTTGTACCGTTTTTGTTTTGTTTTGTTTTGTTTTGTTTTTTTAACAAGGTTACATGAGGAATTAAGAAGAAGCATTGAGGCGCAAATGGATGTTATGCGTCAAGGTGATGGTAGTGGTGTTGAGAAAGAAGTGATGGAGAACATGCGGCATCAGCTCCAGCTACTGTCTCAGGTAATTATTTCTCCAGCAATGGTAGTATTCTATCGAGACCAAGTAATGCACTAGGTTAACTATTCTGTGCATGGTCATTTTTAGGGCTTCCTGAAAGATGGGCCTTATTAGAGAGGAAGGATATCAGAGTGATGGGGCTTGTTAGAGAGAGGGGGGTGTGTTAGAGAGGGAGGATTACAGGAGAGAGGGATTTTTTTAGTGGGGGTACATAAAAGAGGGGGACTTCTTAGAGGGGGTATTAGACAGATCAGGCTTCTTAGAGAGGGTGCTTTTTAGAGGGGAAGGCTTATTAAAAACCTACTCAGAGTTTTAATGAGGTCATTATATTTCCTCAGAGGAAGGATATCAGAGTGATGGGGCTTGTCTGAGAGGGGGGCCTATTAGAGAGGCAGGATTACTGCTAACCAAAGTTCAAATTTTGTTGGTTGTTTTACATTCAAGGAAAGAGACAGCTATGTGGACCTGTGGCAAAATGCTTGCAATGAACTGGAAAAGCTTCAGGAAATTGAACGGGTTTGTTCTGTCTTCTTCTGTCTTAGATTTTTACAAAGTTATACAAACAAATTCTCTTGTTGCTCGTTAAAAAGAGGCAAGCATGCATTTTATCTGTTGCAGGAAAAAGATGGTGAGTTGAAGGGAAGAACAAGAGCAATGACAAGCCTGCAGGTAATTTTAAGTGTAGTCCCTTATAAAGGAGTCATGTCATGTTAAGCCTAGAATTTTCAAGGGCATTATTTGAACCTTAACCATGTTATAGTCAGGCTTTCCTTGTTTATTTTTGGTAATTAGTTGTTGTTTTTGTTGTTGTTTTCCTCTTCATTAAGGTATTGTTTTATGGTCTCCTAACCTTAACTGTAAGCAAAGTAAATTGAAGAGTTGCCCAAAGTTAGTTATTGCTAGACAGTCCTTGTCTAGACAGTCCTAGCAACATTTCCTGAATGCAGCATTATTATGTGCACAGTGGGTTTGTCCATTCAATTTTATGAATTGTATCCTGCATTGGGTTTGGGATGTTATTTGTCAAACATCAGCTGTCGTGCAATGTTAGTGATATTACATCTAAAACAGCAATTTGCTGTTTTTAATTGTGCTTGTGCACAATTTTGTAGGTGTAAGCTTCATCATAGATCTGCTTTGGGCTTGTTTTCTTAATCATATAGAATGATCTTCACAAAGCCAGGCAATTTGCTGAGGAACTTCAGTCAATAAACAGAAAGTTAAGAATGGTGAGAATATTTTAAAAGTTGGGGAGGGGTGAGACTTATTTAGCCTTGTTCCCAGGGCCTTGTGGACAAGTCTAGTCACATGGAACTTAGGCTCAAATTTTGCTATTTCTAAAACCTAGACACAATAATTTGTTTTAGTTTATGATACTTATTGAATCAGTCACATTTGAAACCCTTATCGTCACGTCATGCACTAAAACCTTGTATCAACAAAGCTAATATACCGAAGCAGACACTTTTTTTTTCTTGTTTCGTTTCAGCGTTTCAAACGCAGACCAAAATCACCTTCGTGGTTGATTTAGACGTGTCGTGTGATCGGTCAATTGAAACACCTATGGAATACAACGGCTTTGTGTCTTGATTACTGTTTCGATTCCCGGTTGCAATTAAAGGGATCAATCTTTCCTGAAATGGAACGAGAATTTTTATTTGTCTTTCACGAATGTGCGAAAATTTGCCTTGGTACTCAAAATTTTAATATCGGCTAAAGTGGAAATTCAAGTCTGTACGATGTCGTAAAGTAATAACGTGCTTTCGCAAAATACTGTTGAACGATCATTTACAATGTAAAGGAACCTTTTTGTTCTTGTTATCAAGGGCGTCGTAACTCTCTTTCATTATTAACTGTATTTATCCTTTAAGAACAAAACAATAAATAATTTGTAAGCGTCAAGTTTATTGTTTGATGTACGTTAATTAGTCCTTGTTTTGAAAAGTTAATACAATGGTCGTTTTTTTGTAATTTTGAATCTATTTCCCTCATACGATTAAGTTGAAACCTGATGGTACGAGAACATATTATTTGTTGTTCGTGTGGTCTTATAATTAGGGAAAGCTTTTGTATAAGCTTGCTCTAAATTGCCTAAAAATCTTCAGGCAAACAAACTGTCATTTCCACTTCAGTGAGTGAAACTGAATTTAAGAAAAATACAAGTGAGGTTGAAAAAGTCTCAACAGAGCTTATCGTCTTAAACTAAAAGCTTATTGGTGCATACGTTGTCCCGGAGTATTGTCTCTGAGTATTATTTTCATATTTTTAGGAACATGAAAAATTTCTCGGCACAGCTCAGACCCAAGATCAGGAAATAGACGAAGTTCGAAATGAGCTCAGGTTTGTTCAGCATTTCTACTTTCTCAGGTGTAAATCCAGTTGGAAGAACTTCATTCGTTGAGTCTCAAACTTCAAATTTTTTTTCATGCATTGCGGAATTTTTGCGATCCACACATCGGTTGACAAGTACTGTACAACGATCTTTGAACGGACCAGTGTATTTTAAAGTCAAACTGACCACCGACTACAATGAGAGTGTACTTACGGTTCTCACAGCTGGCTTGCACAAAACAGTATTTTCCCGTAGATCACATGTACGGCCTACAGTCAAGCACTGTACCTGAATTAATTAGAATGAGTGATTGGTTTCTGTTTTAAACATGATTGATTGAAAGACAGGCTCGAGTTTTCTAGACCAATCACAGAGCGTAGTGAGGAAAAACCAGTGAAGTCCTTTTTCAGTCTCGAATTACTTTTGACGCTAAATTGAAAATTGTTCAAATAATAGAATTATTAATTTTGCGAAGCAGTATTGTTTCTTTCCCAACGGCATGTCTCTGTTTTCTGTGATAGGAGGTGCAAAGCTGAGCTGAAAAACTCCAGAGCGCAGAACGAAGAACTTCGCAGAACGCTGGAGATAATGGAAGGACAAATTAGAGTGAGGGTCAGTATTCTGTACCGTGTCTACTTCACTCAGAATGCAGAGTCCTTTGCTCGAAGATTTGAGCGGAGTCTGCGATGATCAAACTTTCCTTGCGTCACGCAAAACTTCCCTTCCACAGAAAATTTTCTTTCCTCGCGGAAAACCCACGCGACTGTGGGCGTCTTTTAACCATCAGAACTGAGAAGAGATGAAAACGAAACTCATCATTATAATATGGGTTCATTATACTTTAAAAAGGTGCTGAAAATCTTCCAACCGATCCACTTTCCGTTCCCTTACGGCACTCTTTTTCAGTTTTCGCGCAGAAAATAACTTGAAAAAGTTGTCACATTGTAGATTAGTTTCCGTTTAATGCTGAAGTTTGATATGTTACCCGAGCTGTTTTCTTGCAGGATAGAGAGAGAGAGAGAGGAAATGAGGGTAACAAAGACCTTCCTGAAGTCGACACTCGAATGGAACAACTACAAACCACTCTAATTGCACTGGAGTCGAGGTGATATGTTTTTACCTTCCATGTACTCGTCTTTTTCTGTTTCTTTCTTTAATTTTGCGCCAACAGACAACGCAGTTTAAAAAGCGTGATCCTTTCAAATCAGTGCAAGTCAATAACACGACTAAACACGTCATAGTCACAACAAAACCAATCTGAACTCTTAGGCCTGAGAACCGCTGGAAACTTTTCTTCCTTTTTCTTACTCACCGTATCGTGGAAAACTTTTCGTTGAATGATGCACGAAATATGTAAGGCTAAGAATATTTTGACATTTACAACATTACCTGTTTGGGGCGCCTTTTAACATTTTTTATATTCTTGAGAATGATATTATTTCATTATTGTATCCTAAACAATAACCTGTTTGTAGGGTGTTCAAACTGATGCGCGTTTCCATTGAGTGTTTAAAAAAACAATTACGACAGAAAAATTGGAGCAAATCACAATGGTCAATCAGAATCAAGGGAAATACCACAAGAAGCCAATGACAATTCAAAGAGAGGGCCGCGTCGAGCGCGGGAAAACACAACTGACAAGGAGTTACGATTGGCTCAAGTTTTGTATCTGATTGGTTGCAAAAATGGCCGCAGTTTTCTTGACCAATCACAGCTCTAGCAAGGCAAAAGCGGTTCCTCATTGGTTCTGACACTCAATTTAAATTGGCTCGACTACTTGTGCCTTGGGTATTTCGTTTGCGTCGTTGTACTGGTCTCTCTGTATTTTACTAAAATTGTCCTTTAATGTCACCCCCTGGATGGTCGTGTTTTCAATGCTCAGTTCTTCCACAATATTTCTTCTCTTTTACTTACTCAATATTTCTTCTCTTCCCCTACTTCACTTAACGATTTTTATTTCTAGGAATGGATAATGACTCTGTAGTCTCCAATTGTTACTTTTGTAACCCTCATATTTTATTTGTAGGCTGTCTGGGACGCTTAAAGAAGTTGGACGGCTCAGATCAGAGAAAGCTGAGCTGGAAGAAAGATTGGAAGTTTTACAGAAAAGAAGGTACTTGGGGCAATGGGGTCGGGAGAGACAGCCTGCGATTTGAAAAAAGTTAAGATCACAAAGCAAATACGCACCTTCGACGTGCTAATCATGGTGAACATGACGACTGCAAACGAACTTTATTCTGAATGCGTTGTGTTTTTCTTTGGTAGTTCTGATCAGGAACAGCGTGAGTTTGAAGCTATTGCTCACGTCAGAGACAGTGTACAGATGGTGGAAAATGCCATTCTTGAGAGAGACCAGGTATGAAATAGAAGATGACTTCGTGAAACTCTTGTACGACAAAATGCGTGTTGAAATCGAAATTTGGTTTCATCCGTTTTTATGCGAATGATAAACTGGTTGGTGAAGTATATCGACATTCGTTTAAGAATTTGTGACGGACTGCGTATATGAGACTTTTGTGTTGTTGATTACTTTCCTTAAAGATAACAATTGCACACGTAATTATTGCGCACGCCTTTTTTTTTTCACTTTGCGCGTTCAAGAGATAAACTTTTTTGTTTATTCCCAGGCCCTTGTCCGAGAGCAACAGAAAACGCAAGAAGTAGGCAGGCTTCAAGAAGTCATCAATAAGATTCTCAGGGAGGCTGGGAAAAGGACAAGAGAAGAGGTAATTGTACGGAGAATTTAAACATAAAGATGACTCTCTGCCTGTTTTACTGCTTTGATATACAATTTTTAAATTAAGAGATATGTGGAGCATGGAGTGAAAAGAATGATGAGGTGAAAGGGTGAAAGATGGCGACTTAAGAGAAATAAAGAAATATTTTTAATGAATAAAAAAATGTTCCTAACTTTTTGAATTGACACGACTACTTGACTCGCTGCTGATACTAAAAATAAACTGGGAGCTCGTCACACATGATTCTATTAATGGCGTGACTCACCTTACATATCTCTGTGTGGATCTCTCGTGAAAATCTAATTTTTTTTTCATTGTCCAACTTTCTTTACAAACTGAATAACGTTTATGTTAAACATTCGTTATTTACGATTGTGGTGGGACGAAGAAAGCTTGTGACGATTCGGACCGTAGCTGGTTTTAATTTTGCCGACGAATGCTGGACTGGGTTACAGAGGACTTGTTGTTTAGTCAAGGGATGTGCTAGATTCGTTTATGACGAGCGCACTACATATCGGGAGATGCAGCGATGTCGAAACTGCCCTGCGTTTGAAAGTGTGGTTTGATAGTTTTGAGCCTCTAATTGTGTTCTAGTCGATTCACATATTGACTGTGATTTTGTTACCAGGTGGATTCTGTTCGGAATCAGTGTAACAAAAACATTCAGAAACTAATGGAGGAGATGCATTTTCTGGAGTTGGTGAGTAAATGGTGCCAAATTAAAGGAGGTTGCGTTGTCACTTTCCCTGGGAAACTTCTGTCTGCCAATAGTTCGAATCAAAATTTTATTGGCAGGCTATCCCTTGTACCCTAAAGCTGTAGCTGGAAGGGGACGGGTAGAGTGGCATGTACCCTCTATTTGTCATGATGAAATTATAGGTTATGATTAGAGAAAAATCTCGCGCACCCCCCTCTCCCTTAGACGCCTGTGTGGACCTCTTTTTAGGAAATCCTACAAACACGCGCAGTTATGATTGCGTGTTGAATAGTAATTTTATGGCATCAATAACACGTTGGTCTTAATATCAGATTCGGTTAATGACTGCTTGTACCAAGTTTTCAATATCAAAAAGTGGTGTAGATTAATTACCAGCGAAAATACCTCAAGAGGAAATTATTCCGTTTTTTACCCAGACACAATCAGAGAGCAAATGTGATCGAATAAAAAACACGACTCTGATACTTTACCTTTATTCTGATCACTAACCGTTACGATTACCCGAATGGTGTTTAGGTAATTAAATATAGATTTTTGTGGCTGTGGTGATTGGGTTGTGACAGACCTCGCCGCTTGAGGGTGTAGACGAAACATCGAAAGGGAAATTACATTTTTTGTCACGTACCGGTGGTGTACTCTGTTGCATGAGTGGTACCACCTGAAAGTCTTCTCGGACAAAATTACGTGGTTTTTACCTCCAGCATCCAACAGGGCAATAAAAATGGTCCCTCCCTCGCTTTGTTCACTTTTTCTCCCGCTAAAAGGAAAATGACAAAGAGCTGCATTGTATGAATTCACTGAAGCGTTAAGAGTTGATTTACGGAAAATAGTTACGCGATATAACTGTCTTGGCCGACAACAAAGGGTCATTTCTCAGTCATGTAATTTCTTATCCACTTATTTTTTCCAAGTATACATCTACTGCACTTATCTTCTTAATTTCGTTTTTCCTTTACGAATTTTTGTTATCCTTTGTCCAGAATTCTAAAATATTCCCGGAAAAATTCTACTAATCTGTGCGGGCTAATATTTAAGCCGGTTAATTTGCCGATGACATCAATCATGCCACTCGCATTTGAAAGCCTTTTTATTGACATTTCGCGAGGGACGCGGTAAAGTCGCTCTAGGTATGAAATAGTGAAAAACTAACTGTCTTTAGACAACTCTTTTGGCGATATGGAAACTTCTCCGGCCCGCACAAGAGACAAGAAGTGGATCTTTGAATATTATCCGGTAATTTAGTGCTTGTGTTAAATTTTAATTTTCTGTTGAATTTAGGAGAATTGTTAGTTCGTTACTGTTTGTTACTATTTCACGAATGTCATGTACTCCGTTGGTTTGGGTGGTCGAGCAGTTTTCTTTGGAATTTACGAGCATGCTTATTCTTTCTTTGTCATGTTATGATCAAAATTCGATTTCTATTTTGATGTGTGGACATTTTTCATCGTATTCGATTCCTTTTCTTTCCGGACGCGTTGTCAAGTTATTTGCATAATGCGCTTATAAACATTCGGTCGTCGGTTTCAATAAATCGCTTCAGTTTCTTCTTTCTCGCTATTTAGCGATACGCATGAAGACTACTATTTCAATACCAGATTATATTCTGCTATAAGTACGATTCTTGACCGGGTAATTTGATGAATAAGCTATGGCTGTGATCTGACACGTGAAGTAAATACAAGATCTTTTGTATTTTAACCCGATGTGATTATTTTTCTCTGTTTTAAATGAACACCAAGAGTTAATTCCTAAGTTTAGATTTCTTAGTTTTTTAAATTTTATTTGCGTGTTGAAACGAATGTTACACATGATTATTGTGTGACATTCCTTTTGGTCTGTCGTCACGCAACCACTTGAAGTAATCATTATGTCACACACTAATCGTTGCTTTAGTGGTATCTTTTCTAATCGAATTCCCCCAAAACACAATTGCGTCGTACTGTTACTTCGCTTTTACTCCAAAGGACAGCTTATCAGCTCAAAAAAACTGACATTACAGTTTTGTATCAAACACTAAAAGTACACCAAACTAGATGATAAAATGGAAGTGCTAACCTGTTATCGTTACATTGGACATAACATTGTACTGATCTGTACTTTTCCAGGAAGGAGCTGAGAAACAAGCTCAGTTAGAGAGATCACTAAGGGAGAAGGCCGCCGTGGAAAAAGAACTTGAAAAGGTGAGGCTTCTACAAGTTATTTCTCTCTGTTATGGTAGGAAAATGTATTTCAAGGCACTTAATTCTGATATTTGCCTTGGATAGCAGACCACTTTTGAGTTATCGTCTACCAGGGTTGGAAAAACCCTGAAAGTTAACCCTTTAACTCCCAGAAGTGATTATCACGTAACTTCTCCCCATAAAATCCAAACATTTTCCAGCAAAAAGGTAATGAGAATACTCAGACTTATCAGGTTGAAGTTGTCATCTTGATCTAACACCAAATTCTCGTAACTGATATACGAGGCAATGTGTAGCAGCTAGAGGGGCGAATTAACAATCAGTTCTAGGGAGTTAAAGGGTTAAGAGTAAACCGGATGTAAAAGGTGAGGAATATTTACGAGAACTTCGGACCACGAACTCTGGAATTGCGGGCTCAATTTTTCAACATAATCTGTGAAGGCAGACAAAGATACCCTTACTCCGCGGGGTTTTCTCTTCTCTTTTTTTTACCATTGTTAGCGGTAAAACTATCCATGGGTGGGTGAGAGGAAAAAGAAAAGCACGTAGAGAATGCTGGAGAGGGAAACGAAGGAAGCGAGGTCTACCACTTTCCATCGTTACTCAAGTCTCTTATCCTCCCAACCCCTTCCCTAAGAGACGGAGGAAGGGAAACGTTGGAAACAGTATGGCCATCGTTTTTGTTTTTTTCTTTTTTTGCACACTTCTCGTTTAAAATAATTTTCTAACCAGTGTGAATTTCTGTGGGGGATATGCAGCGGATAAAGTTAAGATTCGATTTTTACGACTCCATCAGCTGACCGAAGCTATAAGATTCTCTTTGCTAAACTTTCACAATTGCAAATGTTATGAAACCTTTTTTTTTCCGCAGCTCTACCAAGAAGGTCCGTCTGAGATTGCGCGGGCTGGAATGACTTTTGAAGAGCTACAGAAACGAACTGGATTGGCCGAGAGAACCCGGGACGAGGCTTTACGGAGAGTAGATTGCCTCAATTCCACGCTCAGGAAGATAGAGACAAAGTAAATAAGCAGATCATGCATGACGTCGTTTGATTGACTGTTTCTTTGTTTGTTTATTTGTTCCTTGTGATAAATCAGGCAGACGGGAATTCGATTTCAGATAACACTAAACAGAGCTTTAATGTATAGCCGTCAGGTGATTTGACAGGTCTCTGATCCCGGTTGTTCAAGAGGTGGGCATCGCTAATTACTGGATAAATCTCTATCCGCTGGATAACGCAGCACGTTTAGGTGACCCTCATCCGCTGGGTAAAGCAGCACGTTTAGATAACACTCATCCGCTGGATATCGATTTATTCATCCTTTGAACCATCAGTCCCAGGAAGACGATATTTATTCCTTCACCATTTCAATTTCCATCTTTTTCTAGTAGTGAATCTTTAAGTGCTCTCAGTTTTTGTACTTTCGGTCACTTTGAGTATGTTTTACTTTACCACGTACGACCTACTTTTTTATGCTTTTGCCTTTAGACACGAACAAGAAAAATCTCAGGGTGTCTCTGAAATTGGCGAACTTAAAAGGAGAATGAAACAACTAGAAGAAGAAAATGAAGAGATTTCTGACAACAGACTTCAACTGATAGGTAAAGAATCATTTTTCTGCTGTTGCGGCCAAATTTAATCAATTATCTTTGCGCCTGTCCCTTCCAGTTCCCCCTCCCTCCCTCACCCCCTTATCACCCCCCTCCCCAAACGTAGTGGATTATGTTGCCGACTTAATTACGATTACTAATAAATTGATTTTCGAGAATATTTTGAAGAGTATAAAAATTAATTTTACGAAGTCATGTTTTCACGATTGAAGAACATTTTACTGTAAACTTCATTTCCTTACTCTCTCAGATGAAATAGACAAACAGAAACGGGAACTTCTCCAAGCCAAACAAGCGAAAGAGACCGCCGAACATCAGTGCACTTTGGAGGTATTTTTTTTAAAAAGTGTTTGTTGCCTTCTCGTAACCTAATTCAGGATCTATGTATTTTCAATATCTATGTAAAGCTGTCTTTTATAGTAAGGCACAATTATCTCTGGAATAGTTTCCGCCATTCCTGTATTTTGTCCACGGATCTATTCTTTTCTCTTTGGGTATCGTCGAGAACGCGAACGAAATGGGAGTCTTGGGTTTTAAAGAACGCAAGCCCCATGTGGTGGGGAAAGAGCTAGAGAACATCAACGAACGTTGAATTAATTTTTTTATTAATTTTTTTTTCACCTGTTTCACAGTCTCTCCCTTACTTCGCTCTTTTTTGCCTGACTTTAAAAAATAAATAAATAAATAAAGAATGGACGGACTTCCACCTTTGTGATGTTTCCACATTGCTCTAGTCGACCAATCAAAATCCATGGGTGATTTTAAATGGAAGCAGAACTGTGTCAAAGGGGTTCCCAGTCGAAAAAAGATCGTTCAATTTTCTTTCTCGTAAAAACTAATTAAGTTAAAGTTTTCCGTTCTCTTTTATTGTTCTTAATCTTTTGGCTGCGGATAATTTCTCTGCGCTGTATCTTTAAAACAGAAGTCCTTATCTTTTTTCAGGTTTCATCGCTCAATCAACGACTTGAGCAACGGGAAAGAGAGTTTGAATCACGACTTCGAAACGTGGAGGAGATGAACAGACAGTCGGTGAATGAACTCAGAGAAATGTTGAATGGACAACAGAAACTTGGAGCACAGTACGTGTTAAGTCAAACAGCTTTTAAAAATGATTAAGCTCTAGCGTGTTTCTAGGTCTTAAAATAAAACTCTTTACGACGAGGATGGGATTCGAACCCACGCGTGCAGAGCACATTGGATTAGCAGTCCAACGCCTTAACCACTCGGCCACCTCGTCTGTTGACTGAGATATGGGCTCTCGTGATGCGTCCAATCACTTTTTGTTCTTGGCAGGAGAATTTAGTTCTTAATCAGGAATGTCCCTTACATCGCCATGGCTATTAACCTGACGTTGTTGTGAAGGTGTTAGATGTATAATAAAAGTCGATCTCTTTGGTCTGTCAGGTGGAAAGAGGAATCTAGAGCAGTAACGCAGAAATTTGAGCAAACAGTGAATGAGTTGAGGTAAGTTTTTATTTTCCTTACATGCCTAGTCTTTGGAGAGTAACAAAAATAATGATAAGAATTTACAACCATTGCCCTTCTGTTGTCCATAATCTACAGCGCTTCTTCGAAGACGAAGTTTCGGTTTCCACAGCAACTTATACTTCTTTAAAATAATTTTTGTTCGGTTTAAAACTTACGCCACATTGAAAACTATACAAAGTATTGCCTAGAAATTGGCTGAGGAAAAGATTAGAGTTAGTATAGATTTTTTATTCATCTTTGTAGCTTTGCAAACAGTTATAATCCCTTCAATTTTGATTCACAGTGAGATAGAATACCAGAAATTTTTGCCCTAATGTACAATTTTACACCTAAAACTCCGGGTTGAATTAGCGCTAACGCCTCTCAAACAACAGTCTCTAGCAGAACAACTCTCATGGAAGTTGCATTAGAAATAGAAAAAGAAAAAGGAGAAAAGCGAAAAAAAAGTCTTAAACACTCTGAATCGCCTCTCAGCAAAAGGTGTTCACTTTATTTTTTTACCTTCTCTCTACTAGACAAGAGATTAACAAGCAGAAACGAAGGAATAATGAACTGAATGGCCAGTTGAACGAGGAGAGGCAGGCGAGAGAGGAGGTACTACTCGACAATAGCCTTTAAGCGATTGTCGTTCTTAGTATTGGAAAGACATGTTGTTGTTGTTTGTGTCTAAAGTGAGAGCGCTCCAAAATCTGTTTCATTTGCCTTTTCGTCAAAGTTTACGTTAAAGTAGTTCTGGTGTTTATGGTTCCTCATACGGGAAAAACTCGGATTATGGGGCACAGGAGAGGAAAAAGTGTCCCTTGAGTAAAAGAGTCTCTTCATTGATGTTAGCAGACACGAAGCTTACGCGAGCATCCTTTTCCAAATAAGGACGAAATATTTGTTCCTCAAATAGGGGCGTCGCGAGGGAGAGGTTCCGCTCTTGCTGTTTAGAGATTTTTGCGCTGGCTGCTAACCTTCTATTTTCCTTTTAACCTCTTTGCAGTTGGAGTCCAAGCTTTCATCATCAAAGCTTTCTCACGAGAAACTTCAAAGTATGGTCGTCGATGCAGAAACAAGAGCAGATGCAGCAAGCTCTCAGGTAAAATAACGCAGTGCGCTATCCTATTTTATTATACCAAAACATTTTTTTGTTGTTGTATGTTGTTGTTGATGTAGTTATTTCCTCGTTACTATTTTCCCGTGAAAGAGCCAAACAATCAACTCACTTCATATCACTCGAGTCTTTCAAATCGTTATTGCAAAATTTTTAGAGACTTTCAGTTGAGTCTTTAACCCTTTACACCCTAAGATCAGTATGCATATTCTCCACACTGTTCTCAATACATTTCCTAAGGAGAAGATAAGGAGAATCTGCTTACTAATCAAGAGCTTCATTAGTTGGTGATCATTTTCTTCCTTCTCGTGACCTTAATGTGTGAATTGGGGGTGATATTGTAAGGAGAAATTAGATGCTGGTCAGTCTCGGGGTTCAAAGGGTTAAGGAAATCCGGGAATGCGTCGATCTTTCGTTACTGTGGTTTTTGTTTTACAACTAATGGCGCTAAGAAGAAAGATAAAATTTTATCTCAGTTTTGTTTATTTTTGAAAAAAAGTGGCTTTGGCCTCATTTGTTTTCACACCAAAGGCATCCGGCACCAATCATTTTTATTGCTTTTTCTTAGGTAACTACACTTTTAAATCGTGAGAGACAACTTTTACAAGAAAGAAAACTCCTAAACCGCGAATTCGAGAGACTCAAATTAGAAAAGAGTCGGCCTGGGTACAACAGAATCCGGGAACCTCCTCAAAGACTTTCGGACTTGTTAAGCACCGCGAACACGGGAACCTCTGCTCATGAGCCTGCAGTTCGTTTGGACCTGATGTCTCCAAGGGATGATGGGTATTTGCGAGAACTTGACGGCATTGGATCCAGAACAAGTTACAACGGAATTTCAAGAGACAGAGTTATACTTTGATGAAGCAAGAAAACAAGTCTTTTTAGTTTCGATTTAAAGAATGTCTTCTAATCAGTCTTGGTGTCTTTAAGTTCCTTCCGAAATATTTGGTCTCCGTCAAGGAAAGACGTGATGTGCAACACGTCCATGGCTCTAGCGGTGGATAAGTTTGCAAACTCATAACATTTCGATCAAGCAAAGACAGATTTTCAATTTAATGCCCAAAGTAAATTGGGATTGCGCCACTTTTTCAACCAGTCAGGTGCAAGACTTACACCAATCGCGAAACGGAACTTGCGTTTCCCGCGCTTCAGTTTTAGCCTGTCTTTTGGCAAAATTTTCTTTGTTCTGATTGGATGTATTGATCGCTATGTTCTGCTTTTACGTCACTCAAGCGATGTGCGCTATATAATGCAATATTTGTCTTAATTTCTCGAAACACTCTCGGTATTTATTTCAAACTAAGCTTTGAAGACAGGGAGTTTCCTAGTTCAGTAGAGCCTGGGTTTTAATAACAACGGTTTTCATCTACCATTTCAGACAGCCAGATATTTTATCACAATGGTTTTAAATAGACCTTTAGCGTCCATGAGTAGTTCACTTTACAGACCTGATGAATACGGTATTTTTGACGAGAAGACCATAAACATATAATTAATATAAGTCAACTCTCTACTTTTTGGAGTTTGTTCAAGATATCTCTGGTTTTCATAATTAATGATCTTCAACGTGCGGGAAACCACAAAATAATAGACTGATATGATCGGAAAAAACTAAAATATGAATATTAAATAAAACAGGAACAAAGATGGCTAAGAATGGACAAGACTGACGTGGATTTCTTTTTCATGACGAACTTGAAAATTTCAGGCTAATTTTTTAAAGATGTTCAAATCGTGACGTAACTTTTTCAATGGTTAGCGTTTACATGGTAAGCGATCCGTAAGCGTTCACATGACTTTTGTACTAACGTGTTTTTAATCTGAAAGCAAATAGCTGTCTCGTCTTTTGGTGTGGTAGAAATATTGCTATATTACAAAAATTTGGCACTGCCCCACGGAAGATAATTTCTAAGTGCTACCATCAACTCATATTGTACAAAGGTTATAAAATGTAACTTTCATTAGTGTGTGAAAAATAAATTGTATTCTCGGTGAAGTTCTGTGTTGTATGTCGATTGGATGATGTACTCCTGACCAAGCAGTAATATAAGTTTAGTGTGTCGGAAGTAAACAAAAATCAGCATTGTCCTTAATAAGTAATGTTATTTATTTTCGATGTCTTGAATGGTAGGATTGTCTTAGTCTTCTAAATCAAGCATGTTTTTTTTTCAAAAAGACTGATGTTAAGTCAAGAGGTTGTTTACAAAACTCATGACTGAGGCGTATTCTTCTAACTTGTGTAAACTAAAAAATTAAATACCTATTTCTTGTAATCTCTACAATGCCCACGATTTCTTTGACAATCGCTTTACTGGTGCTCGCACGTTCTTCCTCCCTCAAATTTAAACGAAAGTCAAGTACATGCTTGCACTAATCAAAAGCTAAGTGCGTCTCGTGCAATATCCTCAGTTCAAGGGTTTATTATGTTTTTCACATACAATACCTTTGGTCTGATGTTCAGTGCTCACTCGTGTGACTCAGTGGCTGAGGTGTAATCGCTAAGCACATATTGGGTAACCCCAGCCAATGGTTGCTCTCAGCGGTCTTCTCATGATTTTCACCCAGAACTGTTTGTCTAATCTTTAGTGCTCGCTTGTGTGACTCAGTGGCTGAGGTGTAATCACTAAGCATATATTGGGTAACCCCCAGCCAATGGTGACTGTCAGCGGTGTCCTCATCATTTTCACCCAATACCGTTTGTCTGATCGTTAGTGCTCGTTTGTGTGACTCAGTGGCTGAGCTATAATCACTGAGCATATATTGGGTAAGCCCCAGCCAATGGTAGCTCTCAGCGGTGTTCTTATGATTTTCACCCAACACCGTTTGTCCGATCGTTAGTGCTCGCTTGTGTGACTCAGTGGCTGAGCTGTAATCATTAAGCTTATATTGGATAAGCCCCAGAAAATGGTAGCTGTCAGAGGTATCCTCATGATTTTCACCCAATACCGTTTGTCTGATCTTTAGTGCTCGTTTGTGTGACTCAGTGGCTGAGGAGTAATCACTAAGCATATATTGGGTAACCCCCAGCCAATGGTAGCTCTCAGCGGTGTCCTCATGATTTTCACCCAATACCGTTTGTCTGATCTTTAGTGCTTGCTTGTGTGACTCAGTGGCTGAGGTGCAATCACTAAGCATAAATTGGGTAAGCCCCAGATGATGGTTGCTCTCAGCGGTCTTCTCATGATTTTCACCCAGCACTGTTTGTCTGATCTTTAGTGCTCGCTTGTGTGACTCAGTGGCTGAGGTGTAATCACCAAGCATAAATTGGGTAAACCCCAGAAGATGGTTGCTCTCTGCGGTGTTCTCATGATTTTCACCCAACACCGTTTGTCTGATCGTTAGTGCTCGCTTGTGTGACTCAGTGGCTGAGCTGTAATCACTAAGCTTATATTGGGTAAGCCCCAGCCAATGGTAGCTGTCAGCGGTATTGTCATGATTTTCACCCAATACCGTTTGTCTGATGTTTAGAGCTCGCTTATGTGACTCAGTGGCTGAGTTGTAATCATTAAGCTTATATTGGGTAAGCCCCAGCCAATGGTAGCTGTCAGCGGTGTCGTCATGATTCTCACCCAATACCTTTTGTCTGATGTTAAGTGCTCGCTTGTGTGACTCAGTGGCTGAGCTGTAATCACTAAGCTTATACTGGGTAAGCCCCAGCCAATGGTAGCTGTTAGCGGTATTGTCATGATTTTCACCCAATACCGTTTGTTTGATCTCTAGTGCTCGCTTGTGTGACTCAGTGGCTGAGCTGTAATCACTAAGCATATATTGGGTAAGCCCCAGGAAATGGTAGCTCTCAGCGGTGTCCTCATGAAATTCACCCCATACCGTTTGTCTGATCTTTAGTGCTCGCTTATGTGACTCAGTGGCTGAGGTATAATCTTTGAGCATATATTGGGTAAGTCCCAGCTCATGGTAGCTGTAAGAATTCTTTTCGTGTGCTTCCCTTGGTACTTTCTGTCTGATGTTTAGTGCTCGCTTGACTAACTCAGTGAGGGAGGTATAACCTCTGAGGATATATTTTGTAATCCCCTGCTGACGGTAACTCTCAGGGAACTCTTCTTGGTCATCACCCAACACCTTTTTTTTTATGTTTATTGCTCGCTTGAGTGACTCAGTGGCTGAGGTGTGATCACTAAGCTTATATTGGGTAATCCCCAGATAATAGTGGCTCTCAGCGGTCTTCTCGTGATTTTTACCCAATACTGTTTGTCTAATCTTTAGTGCTTGTTTGTGTGACTCAGTGGCTGAGGTGTAATCACAAAGCATATATTGGGTAATCCCCAGCCAATGGTAGCTCTTAGTGGTGTTTTCGTGATTTTCACCCAATACCGTTTGTCTGATCTTTAGTGCTCGCTCGTGTGACTCAGTGGCTGAGGTGTAATCACTAAGCATTAATTGGGTAATCCCCACCCAATGGTAGCTCTCAACGGTCTTCTGATGATTTTCACCCAATACTGTTTGTCTGATCTTTAGTGCTCGTTTGTGTGACTCAGTGGCTGAGGAGTAATCACTAAGCCTAAATTGGGTAAGCCCCAGCTTATGGTGGCTGTCAACGGTCCTCTTGTGATCTTTATTCCATCCTTTTTGTCTGATGTTTAGTGCACGCTCGTGGGACTCAGCGGCTAAGGTGTAATCTGTAAGGGCATACTGCGTAGCCCCCAGTTTACAAGAGCTGTCAGCGGTCGTCTGGTTTTCTTCCCCCAGCAGTTGAGTTCTGATGTCGAGTGCAAACTTGTAAGACTCGGCAGCTGAGTTATAATTAAAATGAATATGAGATCCAGAAGGTCTATTTTCGCAGGTCAGCCTCGTTTTCGCGCTGATAAACGGCATTGAAATAAATGAATTAGGTGTAGCAGTATTTCTATCTCAGAAAAAAATGTAAAATATTGAGAAATAAAACTTTGAGTAGTTTTCTGTGTAGTCCCTTTTTGCCTCGTCTAGAAACGTATTGTGTGCCGATTATATACAAGACTATACACCGACTGTGAAGGACACCAAATCGTAGGTAACGCGAAAAGAAAGGTTCTTAGCATCACCAGATCGCTCGGTGAAATCCGATGAATGCGTGGTTGAAGTTCTGGTCAAATCAGAATCACAAAAAAGTCTCGTTTTAATTTGTTATTTACCTGGACTTTGCGGCTCCTTCAGAGGGTCTTTCATCTCTTGGCTAAACTCGTTAATCTTCTTAGAGATTGCCTCTTTCAGGTTCTCGGTGTCGTCTTTGTGTGCTTGCTGTAGAAGATGTAACTCATCTTTAACACCTTCTCTGACAAGTCTGCTTTCAGTTTGAAGCTCGGCAAACTTAGTTTCAATCGTGCCTTGGGTACTGGCATTTTCAGATTTGCTTGTCTTCTTTAGCTCTTCAGTACCTTCCTTTTGAGATTTATGTAAGAGATGCAAGTCATCAATAACTTCTTCTTCGAGGAATTCGTTTCTTTTTTGAAGCTCTTTTCTGACATCATCCTCCAACTTGCGAACTTTCTCGATGGGAAAGTCTGACTCAGTCAAACTTCCAACAGCATCGATAGGGTCAGTGTTAACTCCAAGGGCATTCATCGCGTCTTTAGCGAGTTGAACGTATCGATCAAATTTTATTTTGTCCAATTCGGATTTATTTAAATGACAGAGCGAATTTCTCAATAAAAGAAGCTGATCGATCGCCAGTGCAAAGGTTTCTGCGTCATCTCCAGTTGGACTAACTACAAAAGAATGGAAAGTACCAGGTGATAATTTACAGGACTTCAAGTACAAATCATGGAGTGTCCTGTGATGGCCTTTGCTATCTAGCAAAGCAAAGGACCGCGCGTAGATGGTGGTCTGGAACAGGGCTGTGCAATCCCATTCATCATAGGAGAGATGTGTGGGGACTTTGGATGCTCCACCTTCAGTACTTAAGAACAAGTTACGTACAGCATTAGAGTCATCCCAGGACTGAAAACCAGGGAGTGACGCAAAGGTGTTGTTCCACATCTGTTTAAAAGTTTGCCGCAATACTTTAGGAATTTCATTCAGCACGATGAAAGCAAACTTGAAATAATTCAATTGTTCATTGGTAAATGGTTGTAAGGCCATTCTGCTCAACGACCGGTTGTCGCGGAATCTGAGAAGTAACAAAAAAAACAAACAAACAAACAAACAAATAAAAATAGCTGAAAGTTATTTCCACGGATGGGTTCTCTGAACAAACGTTTCTTTTCGATTTATGAAAGAAGGGTCATTTTTAATCTGCGCCTTTCGTTAATAATTACTGTCCGTTCATCATAGTTACTTTTGGTTCGTTTTGCCGATAGATCTATCTTTAAGTAAGGTTGCAGCATAGCTAAGGAAGAAATGAAACCAATCAAAAGAAAGGCTTTTAGGCAAGATGCTCCAGAATTCAGTAAGAATTAAATTTGGTCATAAAGCACAAATCATAGCAGATTCATTTATCACGCATGTGTTGGGAAACGACATCACGATTCAACTAAAATACGCCATTATAATGCATTAAGTTTTCCAGGGCAGGTTCACCTGATTTTGAGTCATTTAAAGAAAAATATGCATTCTTCTGTTTTGTTTTGATTTTTTTTCTTTTTTTTGTTTTTTTTTTTACAAATTTTCTATTAGGTACCTGAATTGTTTTAAGTTCAATAGAGTTTTTTTATTTCGGCAGTCAATAAGTCAATAAGTTCAGTGCTGCTCACCTGTTTACTACATGGCTTGCCTAAAACACTCCTAGCAGAGAAACTATTGGAAAGTAATTACTTTTAGTAAAATAACCAAGACACTGTATCTTCAGAGTTTTCACTTATTATGGCAGACCCAGAAAACTGACACAAATTTGGTAGCAATTGTGACAAAAGAAGTTTCAAGTAGTAGTTGTTGGTTTTTTTTTTATGATAGCATAATAATCCACTCAGGATGCTAGGTGGAACTCTCAAAGATATTTTGTGTGCTTCATGTATCAATCAATTTGATGCTTCAAATTGAAAAAAAGACGAAGTGAGACTGTTTCACCAAGAAAAAGAGATCTCAACACAAAGATGAACTAAAACACTCAACTTTCTTATTCACAAAATTTTCCTCATAATAAATAATTTGATAGAAGTCTCTCAAAAAATAATTTCTCATACAATGTGATAGTCCAAAGGATTCTCTTTCAAACAAATCTTAAAGTAACTGTTACAGTATAAAATGAATATCTTGATTGGGATACATTTCTCAAAATTCTTTTAAGTATCTTCTTTACATCTCAAAATTATATTCTAACATTGGTTAACACAATGCAACAAGAACTACTATTGCAAATCTTTGTGTCAGAGGGTCTCTGAATACTAAGATACTAAGAATGGGAATATCAATTCATTGAATGTTAATCTCTGACAGAAACTTAAATGTGTTAAAAGGACTAGCATTGTTGACATCAGTAGCTGAGAGGAAGCATTTCAGTCCCCTTCCTTTAGCCCTTAAATATCCAAGGTCTGATTGTAAATTCTCCCTCTAGCTGCTACACATTTACTGGTAAATAAGTCATTAGAACTTGATGTAAGATCAAGATAACTTCTACTTGATAAGTTTCAGTATTATCATTATCTGTTTGTTGGATAGTGTTTGGATATTATAGGGAGAAGTTACATGAAGCAATCACTGATGGGAGTTTTTAGATTGTCTGATATTTTGGTCTGATTCTTTCATTGCTGTCTTGCCACCTAATAAATTATTTAGAGTCGCGAACTGAAATGGTGTCCAAGGTATAACAAGCATAATTTGTCTTGGGCCAGATGGGCATGAAAATATTATGACATCTGTTAGTTACCAGTTTCCCTCATGAGTTGATAGAAAGGAGGGTTATAATCAAGTGGTTCTACAGGCTCTATTGCATAGCTTCCCATAAAATACAATGTACAAATGGCAAACGCTCATTAACTCTAATGGCATGATGATTGCCAAAAAAACTTTAAGAGTCTGTCCACGAGAGGACCGGGCATGGCACATGATATCTCACTGATTTCTTTCAAGCTTTCACAGTTTACCTCCCAACAGCGGTCGCAAATATTCCAAGTCAAACTCTTATATTTTCGCCATGACGCAAGCGGTCTGCGCACTCTAATTGTGTTACATCATTGTCGTAACACAAAAAGTGAGTCATTTGCATCCTGTCGTGGTCGAGTGAACGTCTTTGGTGGCAGCGAGGTAGCGTGAATATAGGTGGAATGTAATGAGGATTCACTGTCTGTTGCCGTTCCTACGAAAGTTAAAAAGTGTTTACGAGCCTGCGCGACTCCTGTTATTCCTACATGACGAATTCGCTCTTACGGAGGCAACTGACGGGATTCAGAAAGAATCTAAGCTACAGTCTTCCCTAAGAATCTACACAAATGGCAGCAGTTACACTCACAGCCGATGGCTGTGTGAATAACAACAGATTAAGAAAATACATTTCTAGACGCGAGTTATATATTAAACGCATTACGAAGAGACAGACCTTCTTATACACGAACATTTTTTCATATCATCCAGCTGGCGTAATACGGGATTCGTAAAAATAAAGAAGACCTTCGCCTGCTAAGAACGAATTCGTCACGCTCCACGTCAAATAGAAAACGTACAGAGTTCCATAATACGCTTAAAGAATAGTGGATATCTGGAGTCATTTTCTGTGGGAAACAAAGTATACTACTAAACAATAGACGCGCACAGAAGAAAATTTATATTGCCTTTTTGCCAAATCCCAAGAACATAAAAACAATTTCTCAAATCATTCCAGTAATATTGTGATTCCGCTCAACCACGCGGCGAGTTTGTGTAGCATTTAAAGTAATACAGCTTGATCAGATATTTTAACATACCTTTCGTATTGTAGTTACTTTGAATTCTTTTGGAAAACGAGGGGTCTTGTATACCATCGATTAGATGGCACAATTTAGAACTTAATCCGAGCTAAATGGTACTTACGATCTGTATTCTTGTTCCTTTGTACCCTTGCTAACTCTGGTAACGTGTTGATTGTCAAAAAAAAACTAAAAGGGTCACGAATCACATAGCTGTTGCCATAACGATAATCCTTTTGTTTCCGCCGCGGAAACAAAAGTGACTGCTTAAGTTGAAACCAATAACCGTTTTTTTCCCTCAGTTAATAGACTGTCTTTCAAATTATTTCAAAATTTTATCTCCATCATCAAAAAGGTACAGCTAGCCGATATTTAAACACCGAATTCGTTTCCAGTATAGAGAGGCCTTCTTGCTTTGTTGGCCACCACTATGTCTGGCTTGCCCATCCATCTGATTGGTTACCTCTGAAATTACAGAGTTTCAATCCTCTCCAGAGCTGGTGCGTTACTTACCTTCTGAACGAGTTGTAGCCGTGGTGACTAGCTTCTCAGCCAGACCAAACCATGTGTTCGTGGTTAATAATTGTTGGATTAATGGAACGCCCAATCTAACATCTTTACCCACTGGAGTTGTCGTGCGACCGAAACCCTACACCTTACAATGACACACCTTTGAACCCAACTGTAGTGGAGTTCCGACCGCGACGAGATGCTGTTGTGGAAGCACGTCAGCGAATACAGGACACAGTAGAGCAAGATACCTGAATGTTGTTACCGAAGGAACATTATATCCATACTTATTTCTTGTTTTGTTATAGAGTCTGTTCCACGTGCATATGCCTTGTTTCCAAGTCATATGGGGGAGAGTGTTGGAAACTGTACGATATGCTAATTATTCCTAAATTGATCGACATTTATAAGTGATTTCGTTTACCTATACATAACCAAACAAACATGCATGCGGCACGTGTTTCATCGCCCCATATATGGCATTGTTCCACGTGCTTACGACGGGTTCTTTTGTAGTAAGCTGGGAGCTGTGTGTGGGAGTTAACCGAAGCGTTGTAATGGAATCGTTAAATAAAGTAAATAAACCGTGACTTAATAAGGAAGCGTGGTACAGCTTTTTTAAGTTTTCGTGAAGGAATGCGCAAAAAATTGGTGAAAGCTTCTCTTTCACGATTGCTATCAAGTAAAATTGAAAAGTCTTTCTCATAACCTCTCATCAGATAACACTCACATTTTCTCCCCTTGAGTGGTACCGAGAACCTCCTCTGGTCCATGGACTAGTTAGATCGTCAATATCGCTGCATTGGACATAACATTGTAATGATCTGTGCTTCTCCAGGAAGGAGCTGAGCAAACGACTCAAAATCCGTTTTCCGCGCCAAAGCCTAGCGCAAGTCAAGACGTTATTCACCTCTGTCTGAAGGCAGAGGAGGATGCCCTTACTCCGCGGAGTTTTCTCCTCTTTACTACTGTAAGAGGTAAACCTATCCATGGGTTGGTGAGAGAGAATCGAAAAGCACGTAGAGAACGCTCAAGATGGGAAAAGAAGGAAGCGAGGCCTATTGCTCGTTCCATCATTACTGGAGTCTCTTATCCTCCCCACCCCTCCCCCCCAAGAGACGGAGGAAGGGAAATCCAAGCTGGAAACGACTTTGCCATCGTTATTTTTTGCACAATTCTCATTTTCTTTTCTTGTTTAAAATGATTTTCTAACCAGTGTAAATTTCTGTAGGGGATATGCAGCAGATAAAGTTAAGATTGGATTTTTATGATCCCATCAGCTGACCGAAGCCTTAAGGTTCTCTTTGCTCAACTTTCAAAATTGCAAACGTTATAAAACCTTTTTTTTCCGCCGTTCTACCAAGAAGATCCGTCTGAGATTGCATGGGCTGGTATGACTTTTGAAGAGCTGCAGAAACGAACTGGATTGGCCGAAAGAACCCGGGACGAGGCTTTACGGAGAGTAGATAGCCTCAATTCCACGCTCAGAAAGATAGAAACAAAGTAAATAAGCAGATTATGCATGACGTCGTTTGATTGACTGTTTCTTTGTTTGTTTGTTTATTTGTTCCTTGTGATAAATCAGGCAGACGGGAATTCGATTTCAGTTAACACTAAACAGAGTTTTAATGTATAGCTGTCAGGTGATTTGACAAGTCTCTGGTTCTAGTTGTTCAAAAGGTGGACATCACTATTGACTGGATAAATCTCTATCCGCTGGATGACGCAGCAAGTTTAGATAGCACTCATCCGTTGGATAACGCGGCACGTTTAGATAACACTCATCCGCTGGATAACGCAGCACGTTTAGATAACACTCATCCGCTGGATATCCATTTATCCACCCTTTAACTATCAGTCCCAGGAAGACCAGAGATTTCTGACAACAGAATTCAATTGATAGGTAAAGTATTATTTTTCTGATGTTGCGGCCATATTTAATCAATTATCTTTGCGCCTGTCCCTTCCAAATGAACTCCCCCTCCCCAAGCATAGTGGATTATGTGGCCAACTAAGAAGAGGATACAAATTAATTTTACGACGTCTTGTTTTCACGATTGAAGAACAATTCCCCATAAAATTCATTTCCTTACTCTCTCAGATGAAATAGACAAGCAGAAACGGGAACTTCTCCAAGCTAAACAAGCCAAAGAGGCCGCCGAACATCAGTGCACTTTGGAGGTATTTTGCTAAAAAGTGTTTGTTGCCTTCTCGTAACCTAATGCAGGTTCTATGCATTTTCAGTACCTATGTAAAGCTGTCTTTTATAGTAACAATTATCTCTTGAATAGTTTCTGCCATTCCTGTATTTTGTCCACAGATCTATTCTTTTCTCTTCGGGCATCGTCGAGAACGCAAGCGAAATAGGAGTCTTAGGGTTTTAAAGAACGCGAACCCCACGTGGCGGGAAAGAGCAAGAGAATATGAACGAACGATTGATTAATTTTTTTCCTTTTTTTCTTAACCTGTTTCACAGTCTCTCCCTCACTTCGCTCTTTTTTGCCTGACTTTAAAAAAAATTATAATAGATAAATAAATAAAGAATGGACGGACTTCCACTTCTGTGATGTTTTCACATTGCTCTAGTCGACCAATCAAAATCCATGGGTGATTCTGAATGGAAGCGGAACTGTGTCAAAGAGGTTCCCAGTCGAAAAAAGATCGTTCAATTTTCTCTCTCGTAAAAATTAATTCAGTTAATGTTTTCCGTTTTCTTTTATTGTTCTTAATCTTTTGGCTGTGGATAGTTCCTCTGCGCTGTATCTTTTAAAACAGAAGTCCTTATCTTTTTTCAGGTTTCATCGCTCAACCAACGACTCGAGTAACGTGAAAGAGAGTTTGAATCGCGACTCCGGAACGTAGAGGAGATGAACAGACAGTCGGTGAATAAACTCAGAGAAATGTTGAATGGACGACAGAAACTTGGAGCACAGTACGTTACACAAATGTACACAATTTTTCTTCATTCTCTACCCCTAAACGTAAGGTTTATGGAGGATGTCACTGGTACCCGTTTCCCATATTAATGCTTGCTCCAGTGAGAGTGAAATGGCTCTAGTTCCATTGGTGACGCAGAAAGCGTTATAATACAGAAATAAGAATGGAGAATCCAATTTACTCGGCAGACCTGCATGGATTGCAGCATTCTTATTTTAGACAGAAATTCATTTTTCCCTATTTCCTTATATATCACCTATTCACTTCATCAAAAAATGTTTGAATTCAACTTGACATAAGAAAATAGTCAGTGACAGGAAAGTAAAGTGAAGTAGTAATCTCTGACTCGCTTTTTAGGGCGAGGTCAACTTAATTGGAATGAAGCTTTTAAGAGTAAAGAGGCATTTTACCGTGTTCAATCATTAATCATTAAGTTCATGATTAAGCTCTAGCGTGCTTCTAAAATAAAACTCTTCACGACGAGGATGGGATTCGAACCCACGCGTGCAGAGCACATTGGATTAGCAGTCCAACGCCTTAACCACTCGGCCACCTCGTCTGATGACTGAGATACGGCTCTCGTGATGCGTCCAAATCACTTTTTGTTCTTGGCAGGAGAATTTCGTTCTTAATCAGGAATGTCCCTTACATCGCCATGGCTATTAACCTGACGTTGTTGTGAAGGTGTTAGATGTATAATAAAAGTCGATCTCTTTGGTCTGTCAGGTGGAAAGAGGAATCTAGAGCAGTAACGCAGACATTTGAGCAAACAGTGAATGAGTTGAGGTAAGTTTTTATTTTCCTTACATGCCTAGTCTTTGGAGAGGAACAAAAATAATGATAAGAATTTACAGCGATTACCCTTCTGTTGTCCATAATCTACGGCGCTTCTTCGAAGACGAAGTTTCGGTTTCCACAGCAACTTATACTTCTTTACAATAATTTTTGTTCGGTTTAAAACTTACGCCACATTGAAAACTATACAAAATATTGGCTAGAAATTGGCTGAGGAAAAGATTAGGGTTACTATAGATTTTTTACTCATCTTTGTAGCTTTGCAAACAGTTATAATCCCTTCAATTTTGATTCACAGTGGGATAGAACCCCAGAAATGTTTGCCCTAACGTACAATTTTACACCTAAAACTCCGGATTGAATTAGCGCTAACGCCTTTTAAACAACAGTCTCCAGCAGAAAAACTTTCATGGAAGTTGCATCAGAAAAAAAAAAAAAGGAGAAAAGCGAAAAACAGTCTTAAACACTCTGAATCTCCTCTTAGCAAAAGGTGTTCACTTTATTTTTTTACCTTCTCTCTACTAGACAAGAGATTAACAAGCAGAAACGAAGGAATAATGAACTGAATGGCCAGTTGAACGAGGAGAGGCAGTTGAGAGTAGATGCAGCAAGCTCTCAGGTACAATAACGACATGTCTACACGCAGTGCGCTATCCTGTTTTATTATACCAAAACTTTTTTTGTTGTTGTATGTTGTTGTTGATTTAGTTATTTCCTCGTTACTATTCTCCCGTGAAAGAGCCAAACAATCAACTCACTTATTTCATGTCACTCGAGTCTTTCAAATTGTTATTGCAAAATTTCTAAAGAGACTTTTAGTAGAGTCTTTAATCCTTTACGACCCTAAGATCAGTATACATATTCTCCACACTGTTCTCAATACATTTCCTAAGGAGAATCTGTTTACCAATCAAGAGCTTCATTAGCTGGTGATCATTTTCTTCCTTCTCGTGACCTTAATGTGTGAATTGGGGATGATATTGTAAGGAGAAATTAGATGCTGGTCACTCTCGGGGTTCAAAGGGTTCAGGTAATCCGGGATTGCATCGATCTTTCGTTACTGTGGTTTTTGTTTTACAACTAAACGAGCGCCAAGATGAGAGAGTTGCTTGTTTTCTAGCTTTCTTAAATTTTATCTCAGCTTTGTTTATTTTTTTAAAAAAGTAGCTTTGGCCTCAATTGTTTTAACACTATAGGTATCAGGCACCGATCATTTTTATTGCTTTTTCTTAGGTAACTACACTTTTAAATCGTGAGAGGCAACTTTTACAAGAAAGAAAACTCCTCAACCGCGAATTCGAGAGGCTCAAATTAGAAGAGAGTCGGCCTGGGTACAACAGAATCCGGGAACCTCCTCAAAGACTTTCGGACTTGTTAAGCACTGCAAACACTGGAGCTTCTGCTCATGAGCCTGCAGTTCGTTTGGACCTGATGTCTCCAAGGGATGATGGGTATTTGCGAGAACTTGACGGTATTGGATCCAGAACAAGTTACAACGGAATTTCAAGAGATAGAGTTATACTTTGATGAAGCGAGAAAACAAGTCTCTTTTTAGGTTGTACATAAAGAATCTCTTCCAATCAGTCTTAGTGACTTTTAAGTTCCTTCCGAAGTATTTGGTCTCCGTTAAGGAAAGACGTGATGTGCAACACGTCCATGGCTCTTGCGGTGGATAAGTTTGCGAACTGATAACATTTCGATCAAGCTTAGACAAATTTTCAGTTCAATGCCCAAAGTAAATAGCAGTAGCATTGGTTTTGCTTTACTTCATCGTGTGATTTGTCCTGAAACACACGTCATTTTCAACCAATCCGATGCGAGACTTAGACCAATCGCGAATCGGAACTCGCGTTTGTGCGTGCTTCAGTTCTAGTTGTCTCTTAACGACATTTTCTTTGTTCTGATTGGATGTATTGATTACTTTATTTTGCTTCTACGTCACTCAAGTGATGTGCACTGTATAATGCAATATTTATGTCTTAATTTCTCAATGAAAAGTCCACGGCATTTATTTCAAACTAAGCCTTAAGACGGGGAGTTTCCGAGTTCAATAGAGCGTGGGTTTTTTAAAAAACGGTTTTCATCTACCATTTCAGACAGCCGGATATTTTACCACAATGTATTTAAATAGACCTTTAGTGTCTTCATGGATAGTTCATCTCACAAACCTGATGTCTGATGTGAAAAATACGTTATTTTTAATGAGAAGACCATAAACATACAATCTAAGTCAATTGTCTACTTTTTAGTTCAAGATATCTCTTTGGTTTCCATAATTATCTTCAAAGTGTGGGAAACCACAAAATATTAGTCTGATATGATCGGAAAAACCAAAATATGAATACTAAATGAAACAGGAACAAAGATGGCCAAGAATGGACAAGATTGACGTAGATTTCTTTTTCATGACGCACTTGAAATTTCAGGCTAATTTTTTAACGATGTTCAAATCGTGACGTAACTTTTCAAATGGTTAGCATTTACATGGTAAGCAATCCGTAAGTAAACGTTCACATGACTTTTGTACTGACGTGTTTTGAATCTGAAAACAAATAACCGTCTCGTCTTTTGGTGTGGGAGGAATATTGCTATCTGACAAAAATTTGGCATTGCCGCATGGAAGATGATTTCCGAGTGCTACCCTTAACTCGTCTATTGTATTAAGAGAGTGTCTCTGTAAGAGCGGTCCGGTCGATTTTGCTTAAGACACGGATTTCGCTCGTTTCTCGTGTATTGTAAGACATTCATGTACCTATACTAAAACCACAATCAGTTTGATCGGATCTCTTTATTTTTCAGAGTTTTACGGAAATTAAATTTCACTCGAGCGAAGGCTTATCGTGACACTTTTCAAGACTTTAATTTCATACAACTTTGGAGGACAATTTACAAAAAACTACGGAACTCAGTAAAAAACAAATACCTCAGCCATGTATATTAGCTCTATCTTATCCATCGAGGCGACTTTCGTAAACACCACGTGTCAATCAAGGAAACAGGGAGACTTGAATGACACCTTATCGGTTCGCCTAAATCAAACACGCCAAAACCGATCAAATTCAAGGTAAATTTTTGAAAAAGTGAGGCGTTCTTAACTGATCCAACTAACATAGCTAGGAAGTAGGTGCCATAGAAAAGGTAACTACAGAAAAAAACTTTGCGGCCCGTCCTTTACGAGAACTTTATAACTCCGTGAATTTACTTAATTTTCGGCAATCTCCAAGTTTGGCCGCCATTTTGAGGGACTTGTCAACATGAAGCGTAACCGATATAAATCAAGCAGGTAGATCTAAAACCGTCAGAAATACATACGAAAGCAATTCAAATGAGCTTTACTTTCAATTCCAGCGGCAAAATTTGAAATTGTTCGTTAAACTTACCATCCCCATGCGACCATTTATTCCAACAATTCAAACACTACAACTTTCTGAATTCCCCTCGTCGATTCCACCGCAAGAAATAACCTGTGCCACCCAAGCTTCGACTCGAATGTGAAGTACGAATCAAATAACATAACTGCTTCATCTTCGCGGCAATATCACGCTGGTATTTTGATTTTCCGATCGACAAGAACGGTGATCAAGAATCGATCGGTTTGTTTACCTCATAAACGTGACTGCTAACCAGCTGCTGAGTGAAAACAGTACGGCTCAGTGGCGAGAGGCAGGGTGAGGGGTGGGTGCGGGCAGATTATCAGAGATTTTTGGGAACATTCGAACATATGCATTAAAGTATCATGATAAACATTAGGATTCTCAGTCTTAATGCGAAGGCATGCTTCGTGTTGCAGACAACTTTTGTTTCACTTAGTATTCTTTTTTATTTCAAATACATTTCGTTCCAAATAGGACTAGCATCAGTGCATAGATTTAAAAACAAATCTTTACCACGTAAATAAATGTGTTTAGACATGATACCTCACACAGGAATTCCCGGAAACTCCTGCTTCTTATACTATTGATTACTTTCAGACTGGTTTTTTTTTGGTCAAATTCTAAGTCAAATTCAAGGTGCATACTTAGTATTCAGGAACTGTCGTACGTACTCTAACGTTATTCGCTGGCTGAAACGGAGCGATCGCGATGTAAGAAGATTGACAGCTTAGAAGTGTCATCTTTGGTGTCACCTTTATAAGCTGGTGCACAGCATCTTTCAATGAGAGAATATAGCAAAGTAGAACAGTATGGACTTATGTCGAAAGAAATAAGTTGAACTGTGGTGAATAAGGTCAACAATGGGCAAAAAGCACCGTCCGCTAATGATGACGATTATCATAGTTATCAACAAATCTCAGTTATAGTCCTGAAAAAAATCTCAGGGGGTCCTTTGAACCATCCACTTAATCTCGCCAGAAGTCAAAGTTGCCTACACTCATTCGTGCGATTTTACGACGAATTTTCAATTCCGGTGTCTTGCATGCGCGACTTTTGATAGAAAAAACCTGCACGCGCCATAACTTAAAAGAACGTGTCAGCGGAATGAATCAAATCTCTATCACCTTGCATACATTCTTGGGAACAGAAAAAATTACTTAGAGCAAACATTCTAAGTACAGTGTTCATTCCGTGCAATGGGGCATAAATAAAAGGTTCTGGTGGAAAAGACACCTATCCTTATTTTGTACTACTGATGACAAGTAAAAAGGTTATATGGGTACCCGGTTAAAAATATATTGATAACTCTATTAATTAATACCAGTTTTAATTTAAAGGAGAAAGTTATGAGAATAAAATAAAAGTTGTCTGTACCACGAAGCATGCCTTCACTGTTTCGACTGATAGTCCAAGAACTTTTTGAGCATGTATTCGAATATCTTATGACGATAAGCCCGCCACCCACCCCACCCCGCGCTATGCTGCTTTCACTTAGCGGCTGGTCAGCGGTCACGTTTATGAGGTAAACAAACCGATCGATTCCTGATCACCGTTCTTGTCGATCGGAAAATCAAAATACCAGCGTAATATTGCCGCGAAGATGAAGCAGTTATGTTATTTGATTCGTACTTCACATTCGAGTCAAAGCTTGGGTGGCACAGGTTATTTCTTGCGGTGGAATCGACGAGGGGAATTCGAACACTAGTTGTAGTGTTTGAATTGTTGAAAGAAATGGTCGCATGGGGATTGTAAGTTTAACGAACAATTTCAAATTTTGCCGCTGGAATTGAAAGTAAAGTTCATTTGAATTTCTTTCGTATGTATTTCTGACGGTTTTAGATCTACCTGCTTGATTTATATCGGTTACGCTTCATGTTGACAAGTCCCTCAAAATGGCGGCCAAACTTGGAGATTGCTGAAAATTAAGTAAATTCACGGAGTTATAAAGTTCTCGTAAAGGACGGGCCGCAAAGTTTTTTTCTGTAGTTACCTTTTCTATGGCACCTACTTCCTAGCTATGTTAGTTGGATCAGTTAAGAACGCCTCACTTTTTCAAAAATTTACCTTGAATTTGATCGGTTTTGGAGTGTGTGATTTAAGCGAACCGATAAGGTGTCATTCAAGTCTCCCTGTTTCCTTGATTGACACGTGATGTTTACGAAAGTCGCCTCGATAGATAAGATAGAGTTAATATACATGGCTGTGGTATTTGTTTTTTGCTGAGTTCCGTAGTTTTTTGTAAATTGTCCTCCAAAGTTGTATGAAATTAAAGTCTTGAAAAGTGTCACGACAAGCCTTCGCTCGAGTGAAATTTAATTTCCGTAAAACTCTGAAAAATAAAAGAGATTTGATCAAACTGATTGTGGTTTTAGTATAGGTACACGAATGTCTTACAACACACGAGAAACGAGCGAAATCCGTGTCTCAAGCAAAATCGACCGGACCGCTCTTACAGAGACACTCTGAAGTTCTGTGTTTTATGTCGATTGAATGATGTACTCGACCAAGCAGTACTATGGGTTTAGTGTGTCGGAATTAAAAGAAAATCGGCGTTGTCCTTAATAAGACAATGTAATTTATTTCTGATTTCTACAATGGCAGGATTGTCTTAATCTTCTGGTTCAAGCATGTTTTTTTCTTTTCAAAAAGACTGATATTAGTCGAGAAGTTCTTTAAAAAACTCGTGAATGAGGGGTATTCTTCCAGCTTCTATAGGCTAAAAATATGAAACCTATTTCATGTAACCTCTACTGCTTTTAAAACCTCGCTAATGTCCGCAATTTCTTTAACAATCACAGACTAGTCACCGAACTGATTCTGGCACGTTCTTCTTCCAACAACTTTAAACGGAAGTCGAGTCCACGTCAGTAGCTTGGTGCGTCTCGAGCAATATCCTCAGTTCACGATCCTATTATGTTCTTCACTCAATACCATTTTGTCTGTTGTTGAGTGCTCGCTTGTGTGACTCGGTGGCTGATGTGTGATCTCCAAGTTCAATTTGGTTAACTCCCAACTCATGGTAGCTGTCAGCGGTCCCTCTCATGATCTTCACCCAATACCTTTTGTCTGATGTTCAGTGCTCGTATCAGTAACTCAATGGCTGAGGTGTAATCTCTAAGCATATATTGGGTATCCCTTTGCTCATGGTAGCTG